TAGTTAACCTGCGATCTCCCCCAAAACTCAGAGGATAAACTCTGGGCATGGCCTGAATCTGCGACAATCTGAACCACAGCGCAAGTAAACTACTGAGATCCTGGCCAGTGCAGAGACAATCAATATAAATTGATCTAGATTCCGCACTTGCTTTGTGCGATGTTAGAGCCTCGGGATCGAGGATCAAAGGAGATGGTGCACATTCGCGCGTTGTGACACGCTAGGCCCAGCACCTATCCATTGCGCGGATACCCGCACCTTCCCGGTGCCGTATCGATGGGTTCGATCGGTGTGGTCGTTTCACCGAAAACTGGGTGCGCGCGGGAGGCCGTCGAATCTGAGAACGTTTGTACGGCCGTAGATCGTGCTCATGGGCGGGATGCGGCTGCGCTGATGCTGTAGACCAATAATTAACTATGCAGTTACAGCCGGGATGAAGCCCATGAAACGGTCTGGATCAAAGTCAGCCCCTACGCGCACTTAACCATATTGCATACGTGTAAGGTGAAGGTTGTCGTGGCGGTCCCTGCATGCCATTCAGAATGCTGTCAATTCGTGGTGTGTGCTTTCATTCCTTGATATCTAAGAAGATCAACCGTTTAGCGCCCTCAGTCCGAGCGAAGAAAAATCAAATTTTCTGGCACGTAGGAAATGAAATGCACCGTTGGCATTTGCGGTGGGCGGTTTGAAGGAAGAGGAATTCACCGGTTTCCGAGTCATGGCCATGTTGGCGGGGACCTCAAGTCCTGGGGAAAGAACGAATGTCACATTATCATGTGTTCGACGGATAATCATCATTTGTGCCTTCCTCAAATGTTCAATTTTCGGACGTCGAACGGCAGTCACGACCATACCCACCACCGCTATTTCCCCACAGCTTGAGGAGAAAGCAGAAAATCCCATTGCCTTTCTTGCATTGTCCGGGGACAATGATACCACCAGTCCTTTCCTTGTTTTCTACCGCCAATATCCTCGCATTTTGATGCTAATCACTTAATTATGGGCAGTCGGGACACCCATGATAATTATTCAATCTCCACCCTTTTCCCTCCTATACAAGCAGCAAGCGGATAGTAAAGGCAAACGCTTGGTCAACAAATGGTATTCTAAATCGGTTTCCTCAGGGAGAAGACACAGTAAAGGAAGACGTGATACCCCAGGAACCCCGGACTAACGGAGACGAATGGGCGAATAACTTTGCTGGAGGTAAGTTCATGGCGAGCTGGACTGGGGGCTGACACTTGCGTCCTAAGCTCTTAGCGCAGTCCCCCCTCTTATAGGGTTTCACGACGCACAGCCACGTCCAGCTTCCACACGGAACCACAGTGTGAAGAGACAGTCGCTTTCAGCGAATGTCTTCGGCGGTTCCTAGCTTGCGCCGGCCAGACATCGTAGATTCGGCCGCCGGTGGTTGCTTTCATACTCCACTCGATGTTGCAACGTCTGCCCATCATCACTAGGTTGACAGGTAATTATGCACTACGCCCGTATTCGCCACAAGGCAATATTTCTGTTCAACCGCATCCACGCAGGTCGAGACAGCTTTTACATCCTGCTAACCCGTCTTCCTGCGCATGCTTCAACCCTGGACGACGCAGAGAGAGTGCCCAGTCCACAGCTTTGCCATCGGTGCAGCGCGTGGCAGCACAACCGGCGATGCCTCGGCCTCCAACCGCAATCGGCAGAAACCCGCCGGGATAGTCGCTGCTGCAGCAGTTTATCTGCGGCCATGAATGCTGTTGTGGTCGCAACAACATGGCCTGTTGACCAACGTCAGCTGCCCTGCCTGCAAAGTCAACATCGGTGTCGTGTTATCCGCCACTGCAGTATCATGAGCAACCCCCGATTTGCCGTTCTCAACTATCACCGCTTATATACGTGGGACCCTCTCCCCTCTCAAGGCACCTCTCACCCCTTCTCAATATCTGCCTGTTCTTCGACTTCGTCCTACCGATCGCTGGGTACACACTTGTCCCCAGCTCGCGTTCATCACCCAATTATCTCGTGCTAGTCTCGACAGCCTCTATTACCACCCGAGGGCCCAAAACGTCCCACAACTCGGCCCAGTGTCGCAGCAACAAGAAACACAGTCCTCAAAACTCACGCTTCTGGATATAGACCGGTCACGAATCAGGTGGGAGTTATAACTCAACCAGGAAGACCTGCACTCAAGCAGCCTAGACCGATTTTGTTGGTATGTTGCGCCAAGCCCTCCATTACCACCCTTTTTCAGCTTCCGTTGTTCACCTTGTGCTGCCATTGCGTTCTGTGCCTCGAGCTCGGCGCCTGAAAGCTGGCCGATCAGCTTGGTAGCCAGTGATTGGCTGCTGGATGCCGCCGTTGCAAGCTTGGGCTTCAATTCTCAGCCGGTGTCGTCTCCGTTCCATTGCGAGCCATTGTTATTTCTTACCGAAGCCTTCGGCTAGGTGAGCGGCGGCCTGGGCCGGAGTTTCCGCAACCATAAATGCGTGGACGGGACCGTCACCGTGACGAGCAGATCCTCGAACTCTCATGTAACCTTGCGGAGTGGGATCGCGAGCGTTCTGGGGATTGAGGCCCCCTCCCCCCACGTCGATCCACCGCCGACGCTTGGAGCGGCAGAGTCTCTGCTAACCAATAAGCATCTAGGCCACTGCCAAACTGCCTGCCCCCGAACCTCTTCTCCTGGCTTGCAGGAGTCAGTGCTGCACGGGATTCCATTGTGAGCGCCGACCGGGCTGCACCGCCGATCTGCGGTTCGGGTCCCGTCCGAACCCTCCGGTCTTTCCGCTTGACGGAGGCGGGCGCAAGCTTCCTGGCGCTGTCAACCACTTGGTCCGTTCTGCGCGCCCGTGTACGCACAAGATCCAGCTTTGTCTTTGGCCGATCTCCTCCCAAAGTTTCCTCGCAACACTGCATCGACCGCGGTGGAGGTACCTCGCAACGCAGGACGCTGGGTCGTATTTTCGATCACAGGGATCAGAGGATTGCCGCGCAGCTGATCTGGGGTCCCAGATCCGCGAAACAGGCCGATCTCTTTCCCCCTGTGCTTGCAGCCTCCCAGGTCTTGCTCCACACCCATCCAAGAGTGAGCGCTGCTGACCAGCCTTGCAGGTGGGCCTGGCCATTTCCTCCGCCGTCCCCCTAACCCCCATTTGGAGCAACGCCACAACCCCCTGCCACTTCGCCGGCATATCACGCGGCACGCCCCGGGCGTCGCGATATCGCCGACGTCTCTCTCCAGGAGTGCGAGAGTACAGGTACCTTTTCTCCCCACCGGCATCACCCCCTGCCTTCGTCATCCCGTCCAGCCTTTGCTTTTGCCTTTGGCTGCGCTGCGCTTCTTTCCGACGCCTCCACCGCTGTCGTGTCCATGTCCATATTTGTCTCGATCTGCCTTTCTGGCTTCTCCTTAAGCATGTCTTCGCGGTCATCGTTTCGTCTCCGGCCTTGCGGGAGACATTGTCCTCCTTCTCCTTTTGATTTTGTTTTAGCATCATCGTTTGGGGGCCTTTGCACCTCGCCTGCCTTTCTACACACGCACACACAGACATTTCCCAGAGAGACACACGGTCACTCCATGGCAAGTACGCACTCCAGCACCGGTTTCTTCCCCACCCTCCAATAACCCTTGCATGATCCACATCTCTGTCCCGGAGACCATGAAATCCTGCATTCAACGGCTGGGTCGCTTCCCACCCTTGCTCACTAGCAAGGAGTCGCCCGTCCTGTTTGATCATTCTTGTCACCTGCTGCGGTCGTGATCAGGACCTGTTCTCAAGGAGTGTCCAGCAGGACTATTGACAGAAGAGAGAGAGAGCAAGAGAGAGCGAGACCTAACAAGGCAGACGAGGGGCCCTGGAGCGAATGAGCGTGGGTTGTGTACATCAGACTTGGCGCTTTGCTCCGCGGGGCATCCGACGACACTGCTGGGCTGCTCTGTCGGGACTGGAGGGGCGAAGCGGGAAAGTTGCCGGTTGACGCGCTTTTGCTCTATCCCAAGCTTTCCCAAGCCCGCATTACGGGGCTTGCTGGAAACCCGCCAGACTGACACCCCAACCCTTCCCAGATATGCAAGTTGCTCCTGGGGTCGAGTCGACACAAGCGTTCCCCATCCTCCCGCTTGTACTGGGTATCGCCTCTTCGGACTCATTTGTCTTCCGACACACCCTCCCCCCCGGCCTTTGGAGACGTAGCGCGTTCTTCACCCCCTTTACCTTAAACAAGATTCACCCGCCTCTCTTTGGCCGTCTGTTCGCATGTTTCCATGCCTCTGTATTCTCACTTTTTCTCCCACGGCTCCACCCCTCGGGCTCCAGCACACCGGACGAACTATTCACGGATACCCGCCGCGGACGACTGCAAACGTACTGACATCTCATCATGCGAACAGGTTCAGGGTAGCTGCATACAATCAACCCTAATACCCACCATCCTGGTTCCGAGAAGCACTCCTGAGACTTGGGGACAAACGGACCCTTGTGCCAATCAGCAGCCGAGTAAGTCCAACCTTCTGCCCCTGTTCTTGCATCACGGTACGGCTTCAAGGTCCCGCTCCAGATCGCGGAAGATCCCAGTCGATCTAGACGCCATGAGATGGCTACTTAGGAGCGATGCCCTCCCTTCGACCAGGGATCGATCTCTGTGGCTCTTCCCGAAATTGGGACTAACGGATAATTATCAATCTCGGCAGCTCCCCTCTCTAATCAGGCCCACAGAAAAGACTGTTTCCAACATTGAAAGATAGGACGTCACGCCTTGGCCCAGTCAAGCCTGTTTTATCTTCAAGCCATCTTTTCTTCATCATCATTACCCGTACAACTGCCTCATCCCGAAACTGGCAATAGTTGGAAGGGTAAGGACGACACAGTTCCACATCGCAGAAACCGAAGCCAACACAGTCAGATTCGCAAAAGGAAACCTCACGCCATATTCGTACTTCACACGCTCGGTTCGAACCCCCGTTATTGGGACGACGAAATAGCTTCGGCCCTCGCAAGGTGTACACAAAATCCGCTTGAATGTCGGCCACCAAGATTCAACAACCTGTTTACAAGGTGTATGAGGTGGGTAATCCTGAGAACCAGTAGAGTTGTCACAGTTGACACGGACAACTAACCATATCTCGACAGCCTGGGTATCACTCACACCGGCCGATCATCTTGGACGAGCAGATCGAGTCTCCTGAGACGCTGACCATTCGGCTGGAGGAAGAGGCGGCCCGAAACGGCGGAGACCTCAACGGGGGATGTGGCCCTGGCCTCCTACCGATCCCCATGTCTGCGTATAAGCCCCAGCCGGCTCAACTGCACGGTAAGTTGGATGGGACGGAACCAACGGCGCTGACTTGATCCCGAAGGGAGGTGTATCGTTTTGACGGGCTCATCTGATCGTTCCGTAGGTTATGCAGATTCGACTTACCAACAGTACCCGTCGTCATCCTTTCAAAACCAACAAACAGAAAATGCCCCGTCACAGCTCAGTCAGATGGCCTTTGCCGCCAACAACGCGGCCGCAGGACAATATCTGACATCACAAGTACCGTCTGGCATCAACATCGATGTTCTGTCGTGTCATCCCAGCGACGGATCGACGGACACCAAAGTTACCGTGAAAGCAACTAGCCAGTACAACCTCCTGGGCAACGGCGTGGCATCACCCGCACCATTTGTGTCCCTTGTTTTCGGATCGCAGCGGTGTTCGGCTCACGTCTCTCGGGATTCTCGAGATGCAAATGGTGTTTACACGTACACACTTACCGCAGCGGCTCCTCAATTTTTGACGACAGGTTGCCCGTCTCTGAGCAATGTTCCCATAGCACTGCTCGTGGAAAACGCAAACGGAGAAGAACTGGCCCGGATAGGAAATGTTGGTGTGTTTTCCTACCATGATGCGCAAGGCGGCGCGGGAAGTGGTGCTGCGGGAGTTGCAGTACCGGATGACAGTAGCCCGCCCGACCTTGGGTCTCCCAAGACCCGATCACCTGTCCACCGAGGCAGCCCACCACATCAGGCCTCCCAACCACGACGAAAGTCGGACGAGTCAACCACACACCAGGGTCTGGGCGATGACACATCTACAAATACGTACGGATTCTCAACCGCCGTCTCGGCCGCTGGTGCTCCATCCCAACAGATGCAGAGCCAAACTCCAACCCATACGGACTTCACTTCGGGGGCAACGGGAGCCTACAACCCGGGTAACAGCAACATGTTGTCCTCCTACCGCAGCAGTTCCTTCTCGGACCACTACCCACCACGGCAACAATCGATGCTCCGATCGCCACACAGCGCCGGGTGGATGTTTGGGAGCCCGCTTGACCCACTGAGGGCGTCGACTTCGTCCCTGCCCCATGGACCGGTTTCCCGGTCCAGCTTCAGTGGTCTCCCACACTCTGCATCTGCTGCACCGCAACTTATCCGGACCAGCACTCTTGCTCAGCCGGCCAGTGGCTACCCTGGGTATGGCGTTTACCAAGAGAAGGCGAGCCTGAAGATGGTTGGGGATCTTAGTGCCATGGCCGAGGGCTGGACCCATGAGGAATGGGAGAACAAGCGAAGACTGGTCTTGTTCCGGAAACAACAGACGGGGAGCGTCCTCACCGTCAGCTTCAAGCCGGTCAGCGCCGCAGAGCGACCACCCCACAGTATCTGCATCAGCTGCATCTGGTGGGAAGAGAAGCAGGCGTGCTATGTCACGTCTGTCGACACCATCCACCTTCTCGAGCAGCTTCTCGCCGCGCCCAGCCGGTTCGGAGTCGATGAGAAGAACCGCATCCGCCGCAACCTGGAAGGATTCCGCCCCGCGACGGTCAGCAAGTCACGACACGAAAGCGAGGAGTTCTTCAAAGTCATCATGGGGTTCGGGAACCCGAAGCCGCGCAACATTGAGAAGGATGTCAAAGTTTTCCACTGGAAAGACCTGTCGGGCGCGCTGTACAAGATTATTTCCAAGTACAGCGCTTCGACCACCACCGTCATGACCCCGACCACTTCGCCACATGTTGCCTCGACACTCGGCCTTGGCGGAGGCTACCCGGCATTGCCCCCGACACCGGTTTCAACCACGTCCAGCGCTGCGCCCGAGACTGCGGGTACCACAAGCTATGTCGGTGGCCCAGGACACCACCACGCTGACTCTCTCATGAGTCCTCGGACACTGTCGGCAGGCCATTCGTCCTGGGGCGGTAGCTACGGGCCCAGCGCCAAGGCACTATCGCCGGCACTCAAGTCCAGTTCACCGGCTGCTGGGTCGAATCTACGGCTGTCGACCACCCTCCCTGTCGTCTACGATCGCCGTGGATCATCCCAGAGCCTGACCTCGCCATATGGGCTCTCTAACCCAGCTTCACACCAACCACAAAGTACACATGCTCACCATGGGCAGCCGGGCAGCGGAGCTTACGGGCAACAGTCAGGTGTTGCCGTGTCGCAGCAGCCCCAGTCTCGTAACTGGGATAACTACTCCGTCGCAGACGGTTATTCCGGGCAGGCCGGCAGCGGTCCAAGCCATGGCCAGGTGTATGGCGGTGGAGGTTACGGGGACGGGGCATCGCGCGTTTGAGCGCATGACCCTCCCTTTCCACATCGCTAGGACAAGGGCGAGGGGAGGAGGAAATAGGGGGTGTGGGGGGCATCCTTCCGGCAGCGGCAGCGGGAAAGGATGAACTCGACGGGTAACACCGCGCTGGGGGTGGTGGGGTGTTCTGTGGGGGTTGGACATCCCGTTTCCAGCAAGAAAGGATGAATCATGACGGGAAGCTGTGTATGTCCGGAGGTGGACGGTATTTACGACAACACATGGATCTATCATCTGTTTCAGGGTGGTAGCAGAATAACTTTGCCGTGACTCACGGTAAGCGGGGCGGTCTTTTGGGGGGGAGGGGGGACGGGCGTGAAGAAGGTGAAGCGGTTAACGGAAGTGGCGGAATGTCGCGCCAGACAGACCGCGGTTGACCACTTAGTGCTCACCTGAACTGGAATTCATCAACTACCCTCATAAGGAACGACGACACCACATCCTATTACGGCATATGGCGGGAGGAGCCGGCGAGATACCAGCTGGGAGGTGGACTGGGCCGCTGAGATGGGAAGAAGTGGCGATCATTTGGCAGCCGAAACATTTATTCGCTTGGGTCCTTGATTTCTCAGACGGTCAGAGCGTGGTGGGCAAGCCCCAGGGCCAAACCCCCGGCCGAGAAACAAGAACGCGCACGACTCGCGGCAGTGCAACAAACAATTCGGTTTTGTTTCAACGGAGAAGTTGCCCGCTCACAACCCAAGCGGCCCTTGGTGGTGTGGTCCCGCGTGGGGACCGTTGGAGGGAGTGATCAGCTGGTTGTTGTCCCAGCCAATCAGGGGCAACCCGAGACCTCCATCTCGACCACTAGGCACATCCCGAGACCACCCCAACACGACCCCAGCGTGCCCCAGCAGCGCTTCAACACCACTCAACACCACCACAATGCAACATGTCAAAGTCTCCGACCCGCGACGTGTAGCAGATCTTCGCGGCTTTGTTTATCGCATCGTCCAAACGAGACTGGCTCGCGCACCAAAACCTTGGACGCCGATGTCACCCTTCTTGGTGCAAATGCCGTCTTGGTGTTGCAGCATGAGGTCGTCGAAATCCTTCATCACACCCCAAGGGAGTGTCTGCATCTTTCTTCGTGACGGTTGAGCTCAGTTTCCCCCGCCTGCCGCCTGCCCACTCCTTGGTCAACGACTCCGTTACGGAGGAGGCCAATGGTCCGGTACCTACCCAGGCACCCAGGATTTCAGGACCGTTGACGACGGAGTTAACAGGATCAGGATCGGCATGGGTTGCATTACAGCATCGATGCAGCCAGCGCGCACCGGGAAACGCCATCTCCTTCCTTTCCCTGCAGGAAATCCACATCTGCACTGGGGAACGAGTGGGAGCCCATCGCCCCCGGTCCTCTGCGCGATCCTCCGGACTCTTCTCCTAGTGGTCACTCTTTCACGACTTCGATTTTGTTGCAGCGTGCAATCACCTCAGCATATCTCTTCGTTCTGCAGAGTGGTCATGACTTGCCCATACTCAAACACCCGCCCCAACTTCCTCGATGACCCTCTTCATCGGGTATTAGAGTTACTTACCCCCACAACACGTCGTTTACCGTTGATCACACCTTCCGTTCGCAGGCCTCCCGTGGCACTGAACTCTTCCGGACTTACCCCCACTTCCCAAGCTCAGGATCGATGTCCACCGATCACCGGCTTTACCCGGCCGTTCCATTAAACGTCTAGCATCGTCAAGTTTCTTTTACCCATGACATCGCTGCCAAGTGCCTGCCATCCCAGGTGCCCTCGCATAAACCGACACGACCTCGCCCCTCGTGCCGCATGCCGCGCGGTATCAGATGAGCATCAAGAAGATTAGGCATTCTCGACGCTAGCGATGTTGCCGACCGATTGTGGCTACACCATGACACTGTCCGACCCTACTTTATTTCAACGGACCTCCACAAAGCGGCAAATTCCTCTTCGCCTCGACCTTGTTGTATTCATTACTACCACACATCGCTACTGGCTGTCTACCTGACTTTGCCCCGGCCCCAAACCACCGCGCCTAGCCAAGGCCAGGACGGCCGCAGAGCTCCAACATGGTTTCATCGTCCCGCTTTCTTTGGTCACCACACCGCCTAGCCGAAGGTGCACCTAACACGGCCATCACTACCTTCTTTCCCTCTCTATTTTCTCTTGTTTGCTCTCTGAAGCAAACGGTTTTCAATCACGGTCACTGCAAAACAACCTTTTTTGGTTTGGGGATGTGCGAGGGCATGACGGCTGTTTATCGGACACGGATATCACGGTATACCCCATGGCTTACTTGCTTTGCTCATTCATTTTGACTATTCCTTTTTTTTCCTCCCTGGGAACGGCTGCATCATTCTTAACTATCGCTGTCATCATCGGCGTTTCTTCATTTGGACCATTAGCTGCCTGACATATCTACTAATAATCTTGGTGTTCTTCTCCTCTCGTTTTGTCGAGGACTTAGTCCTCAATACGCTGTATCTCTAATATCCTTATGTTTTGGGACATCTTCATATGATGACTGGATGACATTTGCTTTAGCTCGGGGAGTTTTCTGGAGGCGATATGTTTGTTTTTCTCTTTCTATCGCTTGGAAAATCGGAGTGCATTGTGTTTGCTTTGTTATTGGACTGGTTGTCATCGAGACTTAGAACTTTTTAATACCCATATTATTATTACTGCCTTGGGATCTTCACAATACTTGGTGGCAAACAGCACACCTGCCATGGTTTCTCCGTTTCGTAACCACAGAAAGTCAATATACTCGTTTCCCAACTCAAGTCTCAAGTCTGTCTTGAGGAAGATTCCTTCAATCTACCCCCCATCCAGTATGATGTGTCATCAACAGTGAACATACCCCTGTGTATGTGAGATGTGAGCTGAATGGTTATGGGGGGCCTAAGGAGGCGTGAATCGATATATCAGGTGTGACAAAGCGCGATATCATTGTGTTTGTGTTTGTGTATGTCACAAACGTGTCTGACCTCATCTGGTTGGTGACATGTGAACGGGGAGAGGAAAGGGGTGGGAGAGGGAGCACGAGATCTTGTGTTCCTTCTCTGGGGTCATTAGGGTGGGGGTTAGGGTTTGTTCGTTTGCGTTTGTCCGGTGCCTCGGTGAGTGGGGAGATACTGCGGACGGCGGCTGGGTGCCTGTTGGTCTGCTGGCTTTTGTGTTTCCATGGCGTGTGTATGGTGAACTTGCATGGCGACGGTCCGGGGGAGTGAGGTAACGAGAAGGGCTGGGTGAGGAGCAATTCACGACACCCACTTATATGAACTGTATTGTCTATGGCATTGACATTGACATTGACATTGACATTGACAATCGTACTTTCCACGTTTATTTCAAGCGCGATGCTTGCTGGACAACTGCCGCTAGACACCGCGGGACTTGTCGTAATTTGTGGCGTCTTCCAGGATGCGAATTGATGGGGGTGTTTTGTGTTTGGAAGGTGGTGGTTGGGTTCACCGTGGCTAATTAATGAGAATTACAGGCTTAGGAGGGATGTGTGTTTCAGTTTCGGGTCATTGGTGATTATCATGCTAGTCTGTTGCGAAGTTGGGTATTGAGAAAAGTTCCTGAGCAAATCGACTGTGGGTTGAATCTTGTCACTCGCAATCTGGCTGTTGTTGCTGGGGCATTTCTTCTGACTGATACGATGTACGCATGAGTACTAGGTCTCGCGCCCCTTCGGTAAATCCAGTGATGGAAATAATAACCCCAAATCTATCGAAATCCTTCCTCGGTGTTCCATCTGCATTCAACCTCCCGTCGGTGTTTAGCTAATTGGTCGCCATGATGAAAGGCAGTGGAAAGTCCCGTCCAGGCTGCCCGGCAAATCGACGCGTCTGGGGGAGAAGCAAACAGCAACAAACAGCCAAAGGCTCTGTTATTGGTTGGGGTTGGCCTCACTACATACATACAGACGTGCATCTCTTTGATGGAGGGGGTGCTGCCCCTTTCATTGGTATGTGGACTCGGCTTCCTGCTCTTCATCGCTTCGGTTTGCCTTACCTTTTCTGCACCTTTGCAGATAAGTGACTGTGGTAACAACTGCGACTGGCTGGCCCGAGGCAGAAGGGGGGCTTTCGCAGTTCAAAGTCATTTGTTGGGGACTGGTGCAGAAGTCATCGAATCAGTTGGACTTGACCCGAAGGCCCGTTGGTTCTTGAGGACAACGTCGAGCGATGATTTAAAATCACAGCAGAGGGCACTTGAAACACTCGGGTAGTTCTCACCTCCTTTCCCCAACATTCGTCTCATTCTACGATAAAACACACCCATAATCATGTCTGGCGGCGGTACTAAAGGTGCGCAGGCTAAGAACCCCGGTCCTAGCAGTGGGTTCTGGCCGGTATCGTATGGCTTCACCAAATTCCTCAGACCGTTTCCATTCTTTACGCTGCGCTTCAGCTCTCAGCTAACCTCATATCCTAATCCTTAGTCCGTTCAGCAGCACGACAATCACCTTCCAATTTGCGGAAGATCAAAAGCTCAACATTCACCAAGCGGTCTTGGAACGATGCCCAGCACTGGACGGTCTGCAGTCGTTGTTCGGGATAACGTATTACCTGGAGAAATTCCCCGTCATAGCTGGACATTCGTTGTTCCACTACCTGTACACTGGACAATACGACCCGCCGCTGTGGGCAGGCCCCCCCGACGCTGAGAGTTCGATCCAGCAGCTCAAGGTAAAGTTTCGGACATACGGCCTGGCACGGAAGGTGAGACTAGATACGCTGGAAACTTTGGTACGGGAGGACATCGAAGCATTTGCCGAGAAGCTCGACATGTTCGCGATCATGGAGGCCGTCAAGGGGGGCTATCCCGTTCCGATCCGCAAAGACCCGTGGTTCCACGATTGGGTGAAGAGACACATCAAAACGGCATTTGCGCAGCCGAAAAAGCTAGTAGAACTGGCACAACCTCAGAACCCGGACGACGACATGGGTGTGGCGAAGGTCATTCTCGGTTGCATGCTGGAGACATATGCTGATATGATGGAGGCGCTGGCCAATGCGAAGAATGAGAATGCGGGATCGGACCCCGCCGATGGCATCACGGGCTTCGACATGATGCCCCCGGTCAGTTCACATGATGGTCGAACCGATGATGATCGGGAGACAAGCACCACGGAACCCTTTGAGGTGGTTAACACTCCCACCGAGTCCCTGGGTCTCAATTCACCGCCGGCGTCCGATCACGAACACCGCCTCAGGCGGGAGTTCTACGACACACAACAGGCGCCTTTTGCTCCGGAACCGGAACTTGAGGCAGAGAACAATAAGCTGGAAGCGGGTGTGCAGCTGGGAATGGAGCTGGACCCGTCGTACAAAAAGAGTAAAAAAGTCAAAAAAGGTAAAAAGAGCAAGGTATGTACTCTCAAGCAACGGTCACATGCTAGTTGGGTTTCACTTTACTAACACTAAACTTGTTTAATCACTTGACAGATTAACCAGACGCTTACACCCGAGCCTCAACCGGTCTATGACGATATCTGACCGGTGCGAATCGCCAGATAATGGCCTCGGGAGTAGGCCAGAGGCCGATGGAAGAAAGGAATGGCTGAGGAGGAGGGCTGAGCGCTGTGGATGAGCTTGGGGTTGGTAGACAGGATGGCTATAAAGCTGTCGCTTGTTGGTTTGTGTCGCGGTCCCTGTGTTATTCGCTTGATTGTATTTTCTCCTTCATCATTTGTCAGGGTTTGCTGGCGATTTTGCGTGGCTGGATGTAGCGAGACTACCAAGAGGAATTTTCGGCTTTGAGCGGTATAAACCGTAAGGTAATCCATTAACTCCTTACGTGGAAATCGAGACCACCCTTATGTGTATTCCAGGATTCATCCCATCAGAATTCTCTTCGCTTGTACGGAGTATAGCGCAGTGCATCAAGAATCCAGCCCAGGCTACCTAGCAGCTGACAAGCATTGTGCGAAAGAAAACGAAAGCATTCGTTTCTTGGGGCTTCCAAACGTGAGGTTTCTCGTGATTGGTTTCTTAGTGTCCTCATTCGTCGAGGTTGGCCTCAGTACATACCTGAGGCCCGAGTGAGGGAGTGCGAGTCTGATGTTTCATTGGCGTGGGAGGCCTGGACATTCGGCTTCTTGCGTCTTGCCGCTGCAGTTTGCTTTAACGCTTGGGACTCTGTAAAGACAATTGGCTGCTTCAAGGACGGATGGAAACCTGTCTGCCTTTTCAATCGGGCGCGGAGCGGGGAATGCTTTGCAGCCTGGGAGAACCCCAAAGATAAGTATCCAGGTCGCCGTCGGTTGGGTTGTGTATTTCTCCTGCTGAACTCAAGAAAACTTCACTTTAATAATGCCCACGGATGCGGCCATGATCACCCATAGTGAGACCGACAATCAGCGTCCCGGCCCAGTGGTGAGCCCCGGGAGCTGGGAGGCATCGTAGGTGCCATTTCAGATTCCGCTCAGGGTCCGTGTATCAGGTTAGGAGTTAACATGATGCTTAACATCTAGCCCGTTCACCAACGGAACTCTCCTGGGGATCCGATTCGCCAATTCCCAGAGCCTTACCATACACAAAGCAATTCTGGAAAAATGGCCGGAATTGAGCGCCCGGGTGGCAGCCGGGAAGCTAGATTTGTCACAATTCTCAGTGACAGCGGGCCACGCCTTGGTCAACTATCTATACATCAAGAAATACCGACCGCTAAAGTGGAAAGGACCCCCTAAGTCTTTTACTATTCTGGACTCTCGGGAGGCACAGGAACTAAGGTTGCGTCTCGAGACCTACGCTCTTACTCGAACTGTTAACCTCAAAGGCCTAGAGGATCTTGTCAAGAAGGACATCGAGGAGTACGCGACAAAATTCGACATGTTCACCGTGATGGACATCGTCAGAGAGACGTACCCCGTCCCTATCGGCGATGACATGTGGTTTCACCCCTGGATCAAATCGCTGATCAAGAACGACCTTCGACGGCCGGAGAAGCTCGTACAACTGGCCCGATCGCAGGATCTGAGTGATGAGATTGGGGCATTGAAGTTCATCGTTGGCTGTCTGACTGAGACCGTTGTCAGTGAATTGGGCTCGTTGACTAGGGACGGGAAGAAGGTAGGTGTTTAACCCACTTTCTACCCACAGAATACGGATTAGCTCAGGTCATGAAATTCTTACCAGGATACTTTTTGACGTCGTCTACCACAGGAAGCATCTTCCGAATCGGGAGACACCTCTGAAGCAACGAGGGCCGACGATAACACTACCGTGGTTTACACGCCGGCGGGATCAGAGCCGGATTCAGTTTCTGCTACCGTTGTTCACCGACCGCCAGCTCATGAATCCCAATCAGTGACCCAAGAAGGCCTTATACCGAGCTTAGTACCCTGGGCGTTTCATACGTGGCTCAGGATACCGGGGGCCGAGAAAAAGGTGGCCCAAGACGAGCCCATGCCGGTCCCAGAACCGGAGCCGTTTGATTTTGGATATGGGACAAAGAAGTCAAATAAAAAGAAGAGAGCTATGGCAGCTTTGGAACAGGAGCCAGAGTGTTTCCCGAAAACAATAGACGACCCCACCGCACCGGAGGCAGACGAGGCGGTTCCTGCCGAGAGCGAAATCTCATTCTCTGTTGATGTAGACGGAGTTTGGGTCAAGAAGCGCGACGGGAAGTGGGGGTTTGAGAAACGGCGGTAATGGCATGAATAGCATGCGAAGCGCGCCTTCCATGCTCGGTTCAATCTCTGTGTTGTCTCCATAGGCTTGTTGGTGGTTATTGTTGTTGGGGTTTCACAAGCTACCTAGTTGTAGATCTATTTATTTTGCGGGTATTAGCATGAGGTGAAGGACGAGTTAACCCAGCAAGTATCCTTGATTCCCGAACCATGTAGTGTCCCCACTTGCGACAAGTGTTCAACCGTGAGCAGCACTGGGACCATGAGCAAGAACCATGAAGAATCCTCGAGCCTTAGAGCTTTCACACGTTATTCACTAGGGAAAGAAGAAAACAGGCTTGCCGTGCCTAGGTATCATGTATCGTGGTATCATACACAGAAAGCCAAACCCCTTCCTCGAGAAACTCCATGCCTCCTTTTTTCAGCTCCTCCTATCAGCGCGCAACCCCCTTCAAATCACTGGACCCCCGACTCGACGGCGACTCGTCCGTCCTCACCCCAGACCTATTCCCATTACCACCACCACCGTGATGGTGACGATCAAGCCGACGATCATCATAATGCACCTGCACATCCGTCGTGCGCATAATCCCATTATACGTCATGATCTCCTCCTCCGAACCACTCGGGCTCACGCTCCGACACTCGGTCAAGCCCATAACGGGATGCCCACCGCCGCGCAGGTTCTTAAGACGGATACTGCTGTGGCGGGTAACGGCGGAGGCGGATTCGGTGCGGCCGTGGTGAGACGACAGGGTGTTCTCGATGCCGGTGCCGTTCTTGGTGCCCCGGTTGCCGGAAAGTGCATAGGGGGTGCTGCGGCTGCTGGGATGGGGGTAGTTGTTGTTGGGGTTGTATTTGTTGTTGGCGCTGCTGCCGCCGAAGAGGCCGGGGAGGACGGAGCGGAAGAGAGGACGGAGGGCCGGGGCGCAGGCGGAGGCGATGGCGAGATTGGATTCGACGACCGAGAGGGTGACGGTGATGTTGTAGAGGGGATCTGTGGCATTGGATTTGAGGTAGAAGAGGGCGATGACGCCGTGGAGACGGACGATGCCGATGATGGTGACGCTGGAAAAGTTAGATTTGACTGCTGCTTGGCCCGGGAAGGGAGAGTAGCAGAATTGTGAAGGAAATGTTAAAACGTACGCAAGACCCATGGTAAAGATACCGAGCACGGCCACCTTGGCAGCCCGGGGCATCTTCAACCCCAGGAAAATCCAGAACGGCAACGCAATCACCGCGATGTCGGTCAAAATCGTGATACTCGAGATCGTGACGTGGAACGAGTTGTCGATGCACTTAGTGTTTGGATCAGCCTTGACGGCCGCGTCCCAGTTGGCCTCGATGGGTAGACACTGTAGGGTAGCGACGAGGAAGATGGCAATGGCCTGCAGCGCATTGAACGTGTTGAGGAAGTAGATGGCGTTCCTCACACCGGGTTTCTGGCCGCCGAGGCGTAGTAGGAAGCAAAGCACCGAGGCTTTGACGAGGGCGAGGATCGGGTTGTAGAAGAGCTGGGCTAGATAGAACCACCACATCCCCGGTGCCGGGTCAAACTTTGGCACATCCCATGTGTGCCAGCCAAAGTATTCCAGCTTGATATCTGTTTGACGCATGGCCATATGTCAGATATCACAAATCCAATCAACAGTACCGTCAACACCACCAACTTACACATGTAAAACGGCCCGATCATCATGAGCGAAAAGATCATGGCTCCCGTAATGAGATAGTCGTCGATGCCCCATGTTCGCGTCCGGATGCGGGTGATTGCCCGTAGAATGTAGGTAACAAACGCAAGTGCCGTGAAGAAGAAAATGACGAAGACGGCGGCCTGCTGCAATGGCGGCGTCGGAATGTCGAGAACACTCTGGTGTTCCGGGCGGCGAGGAAGAATCGCCATCTTGAGCATTTCTCCCCGCTCCTTGTCGTTTTCGTTGGTGTCGTTCTCTGTTCACCTTCTTGTGTTTGACCTCCACCCGCCCTTTGAGACACGCACTGGGTGGGCCTTAGATCTTGAGACACTGGGGGGTTTGACTGGGTTTTATGGCTGGCCCACGAGATCGATCGATCGACATTGGCCAAGGAAGAATCCTCAGGCAGGGGCTGTGAGAAGATCACAGCATGGCGGAACCAAGATCTCGGGTCGTTCTTCGCTGCGAGGAAGGCCGACGAGAGAGTGAGCGCGAACTAGGGGGCAGAGAGCCTGTGGAACAACAAGGCCAGGCCAAGAAAGAAAAGGAGAAACCGATCGACAAACAGCAACAACACAATGAACTATCCCCTGACAACGAAGTGGGAGATGTCTGATCTAAAAACCCACCGAGACCGGTTACACGGCCACGGATGACCACAGTTAATCTCAACTACGACTCTGTACAAACCCTATCCCAGGAGCCTGGTCCATTCTTCACCCTGCATTGCTTGTCCCCTTGCCCATCTGCAAGACGCAGCACAGGAACACATGCCTAGATGGTCTTGGGTCTCATTGAGAGACCAGCTTGTTCGTAATATTTCAACATGACAGAGGCAAAGTTCCCTTCCAGAACCCCTGAAAGGAAAGGCCAAGCCCCCGAAACCGACGTGCATTTGCCCCAGGGGAGCATTGCGCTTTGACAGAAGGAAGTCGGAGTCAAAGCCGGGCTCAAAGAATTGGGCTTTTTCTCACCCAAGAGTCCAGGACGGAGCGTCCGTGAGACGAGGTGGTGGCCTGTTTGGTGGGAGCGCCTTGGCGTGTAGGATTTTTCCTTGTGGAGAAGCTGGTTCAGGAAATGTTGACGGAAGAGTTCAGCCAGTGAAGTCTCTCGCAACTTATCCCCCTTAGGCCTAGAGCAGATGTCTTCCGTTGCACCCAAAATGCTGATCACTTCCCAATGCGAGGAATTCTTCCTCCTCGGCCATCCGCACCATCCACAGGTCGGGAAGCCGGTGTCGACAGTTCCCAAGCAGCCGGGGTGCCCAAGGTGAGAAGCCGAATACCAGCGGCATTGTCTTTCCCGAGAGGGGGCTTTTCCTCGCCGGTCTACCTTCTTCACCGGCGGCCGAGGTCAGGCCCGCTTTACGAATAGCGCGTCGATTGAGGCTAGCGCCGGCGGAATTCATGCGACTGACTGTGGCATTTTGTCAAAGCGCAGTCGTATGGACTGACTATCAACCATGAACGAGTGCGGGGAGAGAAGAAAAGGAGGAAGAAAAAGGAAAGCGATCGTTGAAGAGGTTGAAGAAGGTCGTGAGGAAGAGCCTTTGTTTGTCCGGAGTGTTCTCCGTGCCAGGCCTTGTCTGACTTTGACAAGGTTCCAAGTGACGCGCACAGATCGACACTGACAGAATCTGGAGACCTGATCGATCGAGGGGATTGACGCTGGGGGTCTTGGGTGGATCGTGGATATGATCTGATCAAGGGCAAGACAAAAAAAGAACAGAAAAAGAAAGAAAGAAGATGGAAACCCATTATCACGAACATCCGTCTCCTCAGTGCAATTTGGAGACTTCCAAGACAGAAAGACTGCAGAGAACTCGGAACTCGGAACTCGAGAAGGGTGGGTGGCAGCCGAACCGTTCGCTTGACACCAACCGAAAAGCCGTGCCGCGGTGTCCAGTCCGGCGGGATTGCACACACGCTTCGACCCGAGCACTTCTCGGGTTCTTCAACACCGCAACAGCAAGATGTGAGCAGGAACTTCCAGGAAAGCAAGAGATGCCTAGCTTGGTGCTAGCACAAAACAACTTTGATTTCTTCAGCCACTCGCTTGACAAGGTCGAGTCCCGAGGCTCTCCAGCTCACAACGACGACGCACGGACAGCGAGTTTCGAGGAGTCCGGCAGGCATCTCGCTCCATCTTCACTAACGTGAACTGGCAGCCAGCCCCCGCTTTATCGACTTTTCGGTTCGTTGCTGACAACATGCCAAGGCCGGCAGTGTGGGATCTCTCAGGGGGAAAACACCGGAGAAAAAAAAGGGGGGAACCGAATCCGAATCTGGCCAACATGCCCGAAGGAATTCCATTGCTCCCCTGCGTCGGGTCATTTGTTGCCGTCGTCGGGCCCACTGCGGTGCGCGGCGAAGCACCAGAATTGTTTTCTTGCCCGTCCTCCCGTCCTCTCCCGTCTGAGGGAATACCACGGATGAACACAATGTGGGCTGCGGGTGAAAAAACAACGTGGGCTCGGGGGGAACGGGAAAGAAGGAGAGCCACTCGTTCAGGCACACACATCCCGAGGAGCAGGAAGCGAGGAAAGCCTCAGACAGTTTGACTGGTTCCCCCCTACGCCCTCTCAGCCACTTCCGATTCCAAGCTCCCTCAAAGCACCCACAGGATTCTGAAAAACAAAATTGCCGTTCTCCAAAACCACGCTCTCACAGGGGTGCAACGTGGGATAAGACAAGTCTCCCCGCAACCCCCCTAGGCGAGAGGCTATTGATTGGTGGCTCGGTAGCTAGATCCGAGCCGGGCTCCGGAGACGAGAACGAGACCAACGGGTTGTGGGCGGACTTGCAGGGCCAAGGTAGCTTCATCGGCCGTTGAAATATAACTCTCGCGCGGCCGGACGTGAGGAGATGCGCAGCTTCCGTTGTTGACATCTTTCTTTCCCTTTCCTCCTTCTTCATCCATCGAGATCTCTCTCTCGATTGGTTGTGAATTGAACTGGGCCATAATCGACAAGCCCTTCGTTCATCTTGTCGACTTGCCATGGCCGTCCACTCCTTTGCGCGCACCCTGCTGCTTGCAGGCGCCGCGTTTCCTTTCACTCAAGGTCTTGCCCAGACCATTAAGACTTCCGATGGCGAGGTAGTCCCCGCCGACAAGACGACGGTCGCTCCCGCGGCTGATGCCGTAGTGTCGACCAACGACGACACGGCCCCCGCGGTGGTTCTTCAGCTGACGGACGCCGTGATCGCCAACCTCACAGCGCACGAGTTGAGCGATATCGACCTTTTCAAGTTTGACGACACCGATTACGAGGATGGATCGTCCGAGGTCGCTAAGCGTACCACGGCGGCGGTCGGGTCTTGCAAGACGTATCCGGGTGACTGGAACTGGCCGTCCCGTTTGACTTGGGGGTTGTTTGACTTGCTCACGGGCGGGGCTTTGATCGAGACGGTGCCGATTGGCGCGGTCTGCTACCCCGACAACGGCGTGTACGACGCTGCCAAGTGCGCCGACATCATTGCTCACTGGACTGAGTCTGCTACTCAGTAAGTGCTGGTCCCCATCTCCGTAGTCATATCAGGGGCCCAGATGTAGAGACTGACCTTCCACAGCGAGCGTGACCCAACATCGGTCATGTCTCCCCTCTACCAGGGCGAGACCTGCATGCCGCAGAACGGCAACTCGACCAAGTGCACACTCGGTGGCTTCCCCTCGTACGCCGTGAAGATCACCAGCGTCTACCAGGTCCAGCTGGCCATCAACTTTGCGCGCACCACCGGTCTCCGCCTGGTCGTCAAGAACACCGGCCACGATTTCCTCGGCAAGTCGTGCGGGTCCGGCTCGCTTTCCATCTGGACTCACAACCTCAAGTCGATCAAGTTCCGCAAGTCTGTTCGCACTCCGTCGTACTCTGGCCCCGCCTTTGAGATCGGTGCTGGGGTGACCGTCGGTGAACTGTATGAGGCCGCCAACAAGAACAACGTCACGGCCGTCGGTGGCGAGTGCAAGGGTGTCGGTGTTGCTGGTGGGTACGTCGCCGGTGGCGGTCACTCCCCCGTCTCGGGCCTGTACGGTCTCGGGTCGGACCAAGTGCTCAGCTTGGATGTCGTGCTACCCAACGGCCGCTTTGTCACGGCTAGCGAGACCCAGAACACCGAGCTGTTCTGGGCTCTCCGTGGTGGCGGTGGTGCTACGTTCGGCGTTGTCGTGTCCATGACCATCAAGGCGCACCCGCGCAACATCTTTTCGGGCGCCACGTGGACGATCACGTCGGGCAACGGCACCAAGAACTCGGATGAGGTGTTCTGGAAGGCCATGTTCGCGTACTGGGCCAAGTTCGCCGAGTACGCCGAGGACCCGGTGTACGGCTACTCGTCCATCTTCTCGCTTGGCCCTGGTGCCGGCTACATGTGGACCATGAACCCGTGGATGGTGCCCGGTATGTCGCTCGTTGACTTCAAGGCCAAGGTGAAGCCGCTGTTTGACGAGTGGACTGCCCTTGGCTTCGACTTCACCCCGGAGTACTTTGAGCACGACAACTTCTACGACGCCTGGACACACCACTTCCCAACCGAGGCCGTGGCCAACTCGAACCTCCGCACCGCCTCGCGTCTCTTCCCTCGCGCGATCTGGGACGACCCGGCTAAGCGCGACGCGCTGTTCAACGAAGTGCGCGCCGTCGTCAGCGAAGGCTCTGCGCTGATCCAGTACAACATGAACCCGGCGAAGCCCGCGGAGGTGCCGGCGAGCGGAGCCAATTCGCACTGGCGCGACGCCATTTGGTACGGTATCATGGGCGCTGGTTGGGCTCCCGGCCTCGAGGGTGCGGAGCTCGAGGCAGTGCAGCGCAAGATCACGGACAACTGGATGGGCCGGCTGCGGCCCTATGGCCCGGGTGGGTATCTCAACGAAGGCGATGTTATGGAGCCCGACTTTGGCGATGCCTTCTTCGGCACCAACTACGACCGTCTGCTGAGCATCAAGCGCAAGGTTGATCCGCATGACTTGTTCTGGGCCCCTACGGCGGTCGGTTCCGACCGGTGGAAGATCGACGGCCAGCCCGACTGGTTGACGTTGCAGATTGGAAAGCTGTGCAAGGTGTCCAACTAATGTGTAGTTTGAGCACCTTGGGGGGTTTTTCGTTTGAGAAGCGTACCGGACAAACTCGACTTTTGAGTAATCGTACGTGATAATTTGATGTGATGATTATGGGGGTATTATCATAGGCGGGCTCAACTTCAGGTAGCGAATTCATTTGATACGTTATTTTTCAGAATCAGCCCAGAGGCAGCCGACAACCTGGCTTTGAGGCCTTGGGGAGCAGGAATCCAACCACGCTTGTCATACCATGTGTTCCGTTTGCTCCTTCCTGTTTCTCTGTCGTTTGTCTCACAGTTTCTACCTTCTTCGTCTTCGACTCCTATCGGGCATAAACGACCCCCGGCCATCCTTTCCCCGAACTAAGTTTCAGGTTGCGTTCAACTCCGGTCAAAGCCCGGTATTTTCTACTAGCCAACCATCTTCAGACACCTCAATCTTGCACACGCAACCTGGCGTGCTTCGTATAATCAAATCGCGAAACTCGATATGAGCGGCGTTATCATTCCCATCATTCCGTATTCTGGAACTCACAGCGAATCCCGACGATTCCGTGAGGATTTAATAGAACTTATCGAACTACTGCGTCTCGACACATTATTTGTCTTCTACGTTTTCTACGCGAGCGCGTGTTTCCTTTCATCCTGTTCGGAGGTTGCATTTCGAGACCCACAACGCTGCATCAACGATGGGGGGCACAACAGACCAGCTTTGACGAAGTTTGTTGCGTGTTATCCATGGCTAAGGTATTCTGCTTCTTGTAATTATTGGTTTGTGTATCCACCAAATATTTTGTTCTCCATCGCCGTTGGTTTTCCTTTCTCTGCTTCTCTCCTCGGTTCCCGAGTTGCTCCCGGTTGCCGGTTCTGACAAGGCGAAACCCTAACCCTTAGCAGATCGGGATCGCCGTCGAATCAGTTGGATTGAGCTCCCTAATCGCACTTTTGAAGCCGACCTAACATCATCCGCTGTGACGCCTAGTCCGTAGCAGCTAACGATCCCAAGAGGGGGCCCATAGGGCCTCAGGGACGTTGAAACCCGATTTTTTCTTCCGAGTTTGCCTCGACACGGTCTTCATCCCGGAGCTTCTAGGAGCATTCGACCAACGCCGAGGGCCGAGTCGGAAGCCCCGACTCCTGCGGCCGGCATTCGGATCCGCTCGCACTCGTCGAACTCCACCCTCGCCTCGCAGCCGTAGTTGAGCGATCGTGGGGATTCGCCACTAGATCACCGCGCTTAAACAATTTGTCGCCTGGTAACGACTTGTCCTTGTTAATACCGGCGTTCAACGACGGTGGGCGACGAGATGGCTAGACCTCCGTCGACAGTACGCGGCTATTTTTCATCGGCATGGCGGGTCGACCCGACGGAGCGCAAGTTGGTGCGCAAAATTGATTTTTTCATTCTCACATTTTGCTGTTTGAGTTACTTTTTGAATTACGTACGTTTGAACGATAGCCAACCCCTGGAGGATTAATGACCGAGACTCAATGATGTTAACATCTTTACCGCAGTTAGACCGTATGAACCTTGCAAATGCTTATGTGTCTGGCATGAAGGAAGACCTGGGGTTCGAAGGTGACCAGCTCAATCAAATCAACACATGCTTCACCGTCGGGTACGTCGAGCCTCGCAATGAACCCGTGTGAAACTGCGCTCACGCTAAAATAGATATGTGATCGGCCAAATCCCCTCGAACCTCAGCCTCCACTACATCAAACCACGTTACTTCTTCCCCGCTATGATGCTAGTATGGGCGGCCCTCACTATGATCACAGCATCCAGCCATTCGCCCCAGGCCATCATGGCCATCCGCTTTTTCCAAGGGATCGCCGAGGCGTCTACCTTTGTCGGGACGCATTACATCCTCGGGTCCTGGTACACCGAGCGTGAACTCGGCAAACGCAGCGGTATCTTCACCGCGTCTGGTCTAGCGGGCACTATGATTGGCGGCTTCATCCAGAGTGGCATATACTCTAGCCTGGAGAATAAACACGGCCTGCCCGGCTGGCGCTGGCTTTTCATCATCGACGGTATCATCACCTTACCTGTTGCCCTTTACGGTTGGTTCCTATTCCCCGACACCCCCGCTACCACGACTGCACGGTACTTGACCCAAGACCAGCGCGACTTGGCTGTGTCTCGCCTCAAGAACCAGAACCACCGCCTCCTCGAACCCGATCCAGACGGTGGAGATCGTGAAAACAACCACCGCAACGACCACCATGATACCACAACCCACCAACCCCCGGCCACTGATACCAGTCCTGCTATCACCCACCAACCCCCGGCCACTGATACCAGTCCTGCTATCACCCACCAAACCACCAACACCACCTCCCCCCTATCATGGACCTTCGCCAAACAAGTCCTAACCTCGTACGAGTGGTGGGGCTTTGTGATCCTCTGGATGATCGCCGGCGAGACGGAATCATTCTCCTCCAACTCGCTCCTTTCGCTCTACATGAAAAGCTCCCCCTCCACTACCTACACCGTCGCCCAGCTCAACGACTACCCGACCGGCGTCCCAGCCGTGGGCATAGTATCGACCCTCTTCTGGGCCGCTCTGACGGACTTCCTCGGCGGAAAACGCTATCTGGTCGGGTACTTCATTGGGATCACCGGGGTCGCGACCAGCGCGATGATTCTGGCCGCTAAGGCCGGTATGATGGGTCCGATAGAAGCGGGCGGGAGGCCAGTGGCGGTGGTGTTTGCGGCGTATTACTGGGCCGGCGCGGTGTATGCGTGCCAGGCGACGTTTTTCGCGTGGGCCAACGACGCAACGAGGCACCGGGAACCTGTGTTTCGGTCGGTGGTGCTGGCGGGGATGAATGTGGGGAATAACGCGGTGAATGCGTGGTGGAGTATTGTGTTTTATGGTGCGAGCATGGCGCCGTGGTTCGAGGTGAGTATATGGTCTTCTTCTTTTCGGCTCTACCATGAGATAGTTTGGTGACTGACGGGAAAGCAGAGAGGGATGTACGCCATGATTGCAACGTCGGTGGCACTGGCGATCTGGACCGCCGGCCTATCGTACATGACTGCCCGGGCTCAAAAGCGCAGGGAGCTCGAGTCTGCTGGAGGATCCGAGGAGGCTGCTACTGCTGGAGAGCAGGAGAAGACTTGATAACTTGATGACTAACTGGGCTTTTCGCAGCGAACTGAGCGAGAATCAATTGAATGTTATTTTCTTGGATATCACATGTACCCTGCCCTTCCCTGATTCCGGGCTCCTTGGCTCAACCGTTGGCTCGATCCTTGGATGTTCCGACTTGGGAGAAATATTTTTGCCGAGCACCGTTGCATTCCATCGGCCCTGCGGCCCCGTTTTGGCCGGCCCGATGCATATCCAGGGCATGACGTGTGATGCATGGGGGTTTCTTCAAAACGGTTTCACTCCCGAGTAGGCGAACGGTCCTCGCTACCGAGGAGAGGAACGGCCCTCGCTACCGATTTTACTTTTTCGGATTCAACGGTCGTGTGGTAGGAGATCTGTAGTGTGGTTCCCCGTGTTTGACCCGCAAGAGCTGGTTAAATCCAGTTTGGGGTGCATTCTAGTGTACAAAGATGTTGGGCCACTGAACTCTTCACCGCCCCTTGTAAGCCGCGCCTTTCATAAGACCGTGTTGGCTGCGAGGCTACTTGCCCTACTGCGACATTGAAACGTCTAACAATGAGTGGGGGGACGTTGTAAAAGGCCAGGATTGGCGATTGACACTCCGGAGGAACCACAAACCCCGGAAGTTCCTCCCAATTCCTTGCCTAGAAATGCTAAAATATACCAGGGGTTGTCGCCACCGTACATACAACGCCGTGCATCGGCGAACCGGGACGGGCGGATTGTTGAGGTCTGCATCCCGCCCCCAACCCGCAGCGGGAAGCGGCCAAGAAAAGCGTAACATCAACAAGGGTAGTGAGTGGGCATGCCGGCTGGATTCGAAGTTGGGGGGGTCAGGCGACCTTGTTCTGGAACTGAACTGCAAACGGGTTCGCATCGGCTTGTAGCTTGCATCCCCGTTGCGGAAACTCCCTTGGCCACCCTCCTGACTCCTGCGTACCGAATGGCGAATGGTAATGGGTCGTGTGGGCTGGGTTGTACACAATACTAATACTTTGTGTGTTGTGTTGCGTGGGTGGTTCGTTCCTGTTGTCCCACCTCCGATGTCCGATCGGGCCCGTCATCCGGTTGGCCTTGTGGTTTGATTGTAGTCTGCGGGCTGCAGGCTGCATCGGGGTTTTACTCGGGTTGCTTCCGAGGTGGTTTTATTTAATAACGAATTCCCCGGACGGGACGGGCCGGGGATGTTTGCCCTTTTTTAATAACGGTTTTTGTTTCTGTGTTTCGCCGCACACACATTGGTGAATCAGGGTTATAGCACGATCCATCAATGGGATTGGATTCATTCTGTGTCAAGATTCTGGTCTCGACAACCCGAGTTGTTAAGATGGCTACTTCTCCAGCACCGACAGCAGACCCAGTGGCCACGCCCTTGCCGCAGCAGCATGGCGACGAACTGGCGAGTTCACCCGCTACACTATTCTGTGTCTGGAGGAGAGTCCTCTGTGAGGCGAATACCTACTAACTTTTGTGTAGGAAGCTGATGATCGTCACGATGTGGACTCAGCCTTCTCGATGGTAAGTGTGTGTAGCGGGGCCGAGGGTGTTGGTTGATGAGACGCTGACTGACAGGATGGGTTTACCCTAGCCATTGACTAGCAGCTTAACATCACTCCGATCGAGTATACTGGCCTACGAACAAGAAAATGGGCGAACCTATCACGCTATGAGTGCCGGGAGTACGTCTTATTCTTGTTCATAAAGTTATTAGTTTCCCGCGGTGTCAACTAACGCAAGGATAGAATACCTGTTTCCCAATGACGACGTACGTACAGCCTGAACCCGATAACATTACGATGGACGGATGTTGATTGGTGACAGGCCGAAATTGAACGATTAGGTTTGGTGAATCATTATGTCCCTTAGGCTGGCAGAATGCTGACCGGCATGCTCAGACCTCCAGCACCACATCTTCAAGCTAATGCTAGATGGCAGGCTGTGTGCCTGTCCCAAGAATGAAGGCGCTAAAAGGGTGTTGGACTTGGGAGCGGGGACGGGTATTTGGTGCATTGACTATGGTAGGTTTTGTTGAGGTTCGCGAGTAAAGATTGAGACTAATGGTATTCTAGCGGATGAGCATCCCGAGGCCGAGGTATGGATAGCTAACCCACAATGCGCTATCTTGATAATTAACGTTGGATAGGTCATTGGTGTGGACCTCAGTCCTATTCAGCCTGGCTTGTTTGTTCACCCGTCCCTCCGCTACTGACAGCGCTAATTAAGACAGGGTGCCACCAAACTGCTCGTTCGAGGTAGTCACTCCTCACTTACAAGAGTAACACGACAAAGGTTGACTAACACCACCGCCAGATGGACGATCTCGAAAAGGAATGGACATGGTCCAAAGACTTTGACTTCATGATCTCGCGCATCCCAAACGGGTGTTTCAGTGATCCTCCCGGTCTGGTCGAGAAGGCGTTCAAGTATGTCCACTCTTGACGATCACCCATTGACAGTATGCCTCCACAAGTATACCTGTTTACAATTACAACGTGCACAGCCAACTAGAACCCGGCGGCTACCTCGAAATTCAAGACATGGCCTGCCCCATCGGCTGCGACGACGGCACCCTCCACCCGGACTCCCCGCTCTGGATCTGGGTAACAACCCTAATGCAAGCAATGGAAGCCGCCGGCCGCCCCCCGACAGTAGCCCAGCAGTGGAAGACCATACTCGAAGAAGCCGGGTTTGTCGACGTCGTTGAGACGGTGCACAAGTGGCCGATCAACCCGTGGCCGCGCGATCCCAAGTACAAGACACTGGGGCGGTGGTCGTTGTTGAATACGGACCAGCTGCTGGAACCGGCGATTTTGGCGCCGGTGACGCGGTTTTTGGGGTGGAAGCCTGAAGAGGCGAAGGTGTTGGCGGCTAAGGCACGGGCGGTGTTGAAGGATGTGAGGGTGCATGCGTATTGGCCGATGTAAGTGGTTTGAAGTCAGGAGTATATCCGTGTAGGCTTAGCTAACTGTTGTAGACATGTTGTTCACGGGCGGAAGCCGGGGTCAACAGCTTCTGGGGGTGCTCCAGGAGGGACTTAGTTTGAATTTGGACTGGAATTCAGGGGGAGGGGGGGTGAACAGCGTTGATTTAATTAATTATCCATCCTTGAACTGGCAATTTGACTTGTTCGTACCCGGATATCTCGAGGCCATCTTGAACACACTTTTGAACAACACTTCCCTCAACCCAAAAGACCGTCCTACACGCTCTCTTTCCCATAACTCCGCACACTCCCCGTCCCAGTCGACCCCGCTGTCTTCACCACAGCCGCAGCCGGAACCCTGCTCTCCTTTCGCCCCCTAAACAACCACATAGCCGCCCAGATCAAGTTTCCAAGAATCGCCACAGCCATAACAACCAACACGGCAATCCACGCGCCCCTAGCCACAGCCACCTCCCCATTGCCCGCCTGGACACTCACACTATTGTTATTTCCATCCCGGAACGCAGCACAGAAATCTGACGGGCTATCACACGAACTGCACCACTCCGCCGTAGTGCTAATCCCAATCTTCTGCATCTCGTCACGGAACTGCGTCCACGGCAGATCAGCCTGCTTGCTGCCAAACAGCGGGAACTGCCGCAGCGGGTTGGTCGTGCCGTTGCGCAGCATGTAACGAACACGCAGGGTGGATTCATCGAGATTATCATCGTTGTTGCCTCCCGGAGTAAAAAGCTCAAACATCATGGTGCTCGCGTAGTCGGGCAGACCATAAAAGTCCGGGCTAGCCTCGGTCAGGCGGGTAAGGCCGAAGAAGGCGAGGAAGGTGTCATATGACCCGGCTAGGACAGTGAGTTTGGGTGCGGCCTTGGTGTTAGTGCTACTCGCGCTCGAGGAGGAAGTAGAAACGGTCTGGTTGAGGTGGTCTAGGACGGCTGCGGCAAAGGTGCGTGCGTGCAAGGCACGGTCGGGCTGGGAGGCATTCCAGTTGGCGCCGAACTCGGCGCTGTCTGCGAGGGTGCGCAGCTGGAACAGCTGGTCGTCTGAGACCTTTTGGATGGGGGAGGAGGAGTTGTGGATCTTTTGCACGTTGAATAGGTCGAAGATGTCGAAGGCTTTGGTGTAGTCGAGGTCGGTGGCCGCGTCGTAGAGCTCAGACACCATCGGGTACAGCGACTGGTAGAAGGCGCGAGTGTCTTCCAGGCGGGTTTGGAAAACGGCGCTGTTGTTGAAGTCCTGCTGGGCGGTGGTCATGGTCGGGCACCCGACATCACCCTTGATCCAGACCGTCTCGGGTGAGTCGGCGTTGATACCGTGCAGCATGACATACTGGTAGCCGTTGAGGGGGCTGGGTACGGAGGAGCCGTTGGCGAGCTTGTCGGCCTGGGTAGCGGCGAAAGATTGGCCAAGGGGCGGGTAGAGGGCCTGCAAGAAGGAGGTGGCCGTCTGGAAGAGCACCGGCTCATCGGGGGCGCTGGCGTAGACTTGGGATGATACGTACTGCGCCTCGGACATGCCGCGGATGTGGTGCGGTGAGGAGGACGAGAGGTATCGCGCGCGGGTGAACGTGCCGGCCTCGAACACCTCGGACGCGCCCACGGGGGTGAGAGAAGTTGGGCCCAGGTGCTTAGCCGTGCCTGGGATGATAGGTTAGTCTCAGTGTCTCACCAGAGATAAATGTCACGTCGAAGGATCCATGGAGGCTTACGGTCACCATGGCGGACAAAGACGAGGGCGCCGTGGACTGTCTCGGCAGCGGCCGTAGTTGCCAGTCCGGCAATAGCGAGGGCTGTATGCATGATAGTCATCGTCATGGGTTGTCTCAACAGACTCAGCTGGCTACCTGGGGAGGAACGTCGGGAGAGTCTAGAGATGCCAAGGATAATGCTGAGTGTTGTAATTAAATAAAAGCAAGGAGCTAGGAAGAACGAGTCAACAAGCCAGAGACAGAAGGGATGGAGAAACGGATTCAGAACTCCACTTGCCATGCAGCTTCTCCCCCGCAACTATGCCGTATAACCATTTCTTATCTGCTAAGAGCCGGCTTTGGCCTGCGGAACCCGGCGGGGGATTTCCTCGGAAATGCGTCGGCCTTCTCGCTCTTTTCGCTCTTTCAGTTCTCACTCAGCACCACTGTCTCGTTTTCCCAGAGGAGGAGTTCGATACACATCAAACGAGCGTGAGGTAAAAGTACCACCCTTGCGTAGCGTCAATAAGGGTTCTCTAAGTCATCAGTCTTATGTTGATATTACCACCATCTAGACCCGCCCACGCCTAGCTACGACTACGGGACCAAAAGGTCTCAACTAATTGAGAACTTTTCGATTCATTTCTTTCGCGACTCCAAGAGTACCGATTGCCCGACCGTTACCATGACTCCAACGTCGTTGCGTCGACTCTTCTACGAACTGTGGAGTGACTCCTTGAGAAAAGTCCAGAACCCCTCACCGAAACCCCCGCTCCACGAACGCCTTTCTCGATACAAGGGCGGAAAAGATAATCTTATCAATTTTTACCTCTTTCCACTCCCCGCTCGTGTGGTGCGCCGGGGGTCTCCGCGGGCCGGGGATTTTCGCGGATCCGGTGTACTCCGGCCGGGTCTCGGCCGGGTCTCGGGGCTTGGGGTCCGAGAACCGACGCGGAGTTTATTGGGTGAGGAAGCAACCTTGATGGAAAAGGCCGGTGATAAACCTTATCAATTGTCTATAAGTATAGATATTTCCATGCAACCCCGTCCCGGCCCGGACCGCAGTTCCAAATAAGCTCCCTTGGAAGTCCGAACTCACTGCGAGTCAGGTCGCTGAACCTGGAGCTCCTGTGGGGCCCGGTCCAGCCCGGGCTTCTTAGCTTCTGGAAGCATTCCCATCGCGTGACTTCACGTCTGGTCGAACCACTTCAAGCTTGGCTGCAGAGCCAAGAAGGAAACGAATCGATAATCATGTTCTCGTGACGGCACTTTTAGGAAGCTGGAGGATTGGGCACTGTCGCGTTTGCACCTCCGCGGACAGCTCTGGGCCTCTGAGGTGTCGAATTGGTTCGGTTGATCGATCACCGCGGGGCTTGGGGCTGTGTTATACGCACTTGCTGCTGGTCACCAGCCGCCTTCGCCTTGGATCCTTCAGACGAGCGAATCCTGTGGCCTCCTCTGACATCATATTATCCATCGGGCTCACAAGGAATCTGCCTCACAAACAATTCCCTCGCAGTCCGCGGAATACATTTATTTTCAATTTCTACCTAGCTTTCTCAGTCATCACGTTCAATACACTACGTTTAATCAGCATCTCGCGTTTAACATTCCACAGTTCATACATCACAGCTGCCTAATTGTCCACGATACACAACAAATCAACAGACACAATGGGCGCACCAAAGAACGACCAACCCCCTGCCTTCCCCCCAGACCAGCCATCCACAAGCACAACCACCACAACATCAACACCACAACCATCAACATCCACATCCACAAACCCAGCAAACCCAACAAACCCCCCACCACCCTACGACCCCCCAGCCTACGAACTCCGCTCCGAAACCGCCGCTCCCGACCCCGACACCCTCCTCGACCCCTGCACCTTTGTCATCCACGGCCGCTTCATCTACCCCATGCTACAAACCGACACCGCCAGCGAAGAACCCGATTCCCAACCGGTCTACCAACTCTCCCGCGCCATCCACGAACAAGGCGCCGCAACAGAACACATCTCTTTCCAACGCATCGACCCACGTATTCGCATGACCACCACCACCACCACCGACGACGACCCAGAAGATGACACCATCGGCGAGACCATCCCGCGCCTGACCCACCGCCCCAAAGACCTGTACAACCTCGAGCACAGAAAGGAAATGGCATACTTGGGGATTCCCTTCCAAGCCTGGCTGGAGCCGCAGACCCGTCGGGGGATGGGGAAAGTGCAGATTGAGAAGGCGCCGATGTTTCATAGTGGGTATCGTGTTGCGAAGATGTGGGGGGAAGGAGAGGTGAGGAGGTTGGAGAGGGAGGGAAAGGGGAAGGTTGTGAAGAAGGGGGAGGTGTATTTTACGATGAAGGAGGCGGGGGGGAAGAGTATCAGTGAAAGCGGGAGTGGGAGTGGGAGTAATGGGAGTAAGAGTGGTGTGTGGTGGGAGTGGAGTGATCAGGATGGGAAAGTGGTTGCGGTGCAGGTAAGGGAGTGGGATGCGAGGGGGGAAGAGACGTTCAAGTTGCGGGTGACAGCCCCGTTGGCGAGGCGGTGGCGGGATGGGTTGGTTGGGTTGTGGTGTTTGTGGATGTGGCATGTGCGGATGTTGGAGGTGGTTCCGAAGAAAACGTGGGAGGATCGTGAGTATTTATCCCGAACTAATTTCCCATTCTTCACCCCACGGCTGTGACTAACATGCACAGGTAAACGCATTATGAAAATGCCCAGGTTGTACTTGAGCCCAACGATGCTGGGAAAGTAAGGAGATAGCTTGTTGTGTCATCCGAGCAATCAAGTTATGAATCTTCAAGACACGAAAGTACGCACACGGTCTAGAACAGCTGCAAATCCTTGATTAGAATGTTTTGCTTTATGATTCTGAGATGCTCCTAATGAGCTCTCAACCGAATGAATGCAGGTAAGTTACCAACGGCCTTTGACGTGGACACACAGGGCTTTCAGAGCCTCATCTTCTCACCCTCGTCCAGCTTCGCCAATGCCCCCTCTACCATCCCCTCCAGGTCATAGTTCCACACCTTATCAAACCGCGCTGTGATGTCCTTCCCAAACTTCTCCGGACTTCTCCTAACCTCCGGATCCTTCCAGTGAAATAAATCACACGCCTTCCGTGTCGACTGCACAACATCCTGCGTCCGCTCATACCTAACCTCATTGTACACTTCCAGCGCCCTTTCCACCAAGGCCGCTTTTCTACCACCACCACCATTTTGCCCAACTCTCTTATGGACCCCTTCCAACAACGCTGCCAACACCAACGCATCCTCAATCCCCATACCACCACCCGCTCCTAGATGCGGTCCCGTTGCATGTGCAGCATCTCCAGCTACACATACGCCTCCACGATGGTACTGCGGCGCCGGGTGCTCGGCCATGTCGAAAATCCCCCACTTGTCCATTCTCTCCTCCGGAAACAAGCTAACGATGCCCCTGGCCGTGTCAGACCACTTGGCGAACGCATCGACAGCCTCCTCTTTCCTTCCAGGCGCTGTATGTCTACCTTGTGAATGTTGATACGGCCAGACCGGGTTCGCGTCCTCAATAACGGCGAGGATGTTCAAGAGTGTGTTGTTAGCGACCGGGTAGGTGATCAGATGAGCATCGTGGCCGTTGTACATGAAACGGGTCAACGCCTTGGTTGCGCCGATGGTGGCAATGGCGCGCTCCATAGGAGCTAACGTGCGGAAACAGAACCCACGGGTGTACGAGGGGTGTGCAGCTGCGGGAAGTTGAAAGTGGTCAGCGGATGACGAAACGTCCGCGAGTAGCAGCTGGCGGACGCGTGAGCGTATCCCGTCACACCCAATGACCGCGTCGGCGGTGGCGGTTGTGCCGTCTTTGAAATGCAACCGGAACCTATGAGGGCTGCCATCCTCCTCAGTGATGGCATCGAGGTGTTTGCTGAACTGACATGCAGCCGCTGGAATCAACTTGGCCCATTCCTCCAGAAACGTGCTACGCAGGCCGCCCTGAAACCCATTCCTGCCGACATACAACTTGAAGATGAGCTCGTTAGTTTCATAACCGTCTACCCACTGGAAGAAATCTTCGCCATTGGGGTTGGCCACGCGGCGGAAGGCGGTAAGGACCTCTGGGTTGACCAGGCCCATGGCCCGCTCGGCGTTGGGACTAAATCCAATTCCGGCGCCGATCTCGCGTATCGCTGGTGAACGCTCGTAGATGGTGAATGAGACATTTCGCGCCTGGAGCCCTAAGGCGAGGTTGATACCGGTGATGCCTGCGCCAACGATGGCGATGTGAAGTTGTGCACGGGCATCCGTTTCTTGAGACGACATCACGTCATGGAATCAGTGTTGATATACTGAATCGGGAACACTCGGAGAGATGTCCTCACACTGCGTGTTAACATCACTGGGAGGCAAGCATAAATCCTAAGCGTAAGGGTTTGAAAACTGGTGGGCTTACGAGTGCGATTTGTGTGATGTATTAATTATTCGTTTTTCCAAGGACAGACTCAACACTTCAAAAGCACAACCAGTGGAACGAACGACTCGCGGGTTTGCAAGAGTTTCAGCGACGGAATGAAAGTGCCCGATTGGCTCACTGTTTGTGGTGTTTCCCGTTGATGCAATTGCATAACAGGTTATAAAAGTGTTGAATCAAGGCAAGCACATTTCGCTCAACTTTTGCAGCGACGCTTCCCCTCAACCGGTGCTTGTTGGTTCGCTGAAATACGCCCATGCTCCAGCACGCACGTACGGTCTCAGTTTGTTTGCCCCCCACCCGGGGTTATCGTGGGGATTACCGGACATACCTGTGCAACTCCGGATCTTGCAGATCACGGGATATCACGGGTTGGGCCGGTTGTCTCCTGCCCTTTCAGTACTTATTCCAGAGCCTGCTGCCCATCATGGCAAGAGCGCTCTTGACAGCTATACAGTACGTACCAAGCCACATCCCGCGCCGACCGCCTCTTGTCTCAGTTTCGCAGCTTTGGCACCCACCTTCACGTTTGCACCGCCCTTCCTTCTTTTTGCACGTTACACAACACTATCGGCGCCACATCGGAACCGATCGCGGAATCATGGCTTCTTCTGCTGAAAGCAACAAGGGCAAGGTGTTGCTCACCGGTGAGGAGACTCTCGGCTACCGCAGGAAATACCCGAAAGCGTGTTATGTGCTAACGTTATCTTTTCAGGCGGAACTGGCTTCATCGCTTCTCATGTGCTCGACATTTTGCTCGAGGAGGGGTAAGTTCATCGCGGGGATAGCGGGGCGGAGTCGTCGTATCTGGCATCGACAAGCAAACTAACAAACTGCTAGATTTGACGTCGTTGTGACCGTGAGATCCCAAGAAAAGGGCCAGCGGGTCGTTAAATCGGTGGATGAGACTGTGGGAAAGAAAGTGTCGTTCGTTGTGGTAGAAGACATTGCCCAGGATGGGGCATTTGACGAGGTGAGAGAAATCCAACTTGTGCTGTACGAATGGTCAGAAAGCTTCCGTCTAACAAACACCAGGCTGTTAAATCAGACCCACCGTTCGAATATGTCATTCACACAGCCTCCCCGTACCAAACCAAATGGGAGGACCCGGTCAAGGACTGCTTGGATCCAGCCATCAAAGGGACCACGGGCATCCTAAAATCGATCCATGCGTACGCTCCCACGGTCAAGCGTGTCGTAATCACTTCCTCGTCGGCAGCAATCCTCAAAAGGGAGAACCACCCCAAGAGTTACAATGAGTCGAGTTGGTCCGAGGTGACGGAGGAGCAAGCACTCGATGGGAGAAACACTTACCGGGCGAGCAAGGTTAGCCTGGCCTTCATCTTCCTGACGTGGAATATGGGATATAAAGCTGACTCTCCCAACTTTAGAAATTTGCAGAACTCGCCGCTTGGGATTTCAAGGCCAAGGAGTCGCCGTTGTTCGATCTGGCCACGATTAACAACACCTATACCTTCGGGCCCATCCCGCGCAGTCTCGCGAGCTTGAACACTCTTAATACCTCCAACCACCGCATCCGAGACCTCGTCCAGGGTGGCATGCGCGAGGCTGTCCCCGCGACTTCGCCCCTTTTCACTTTTGTTGACGTCCGCGACGTGGCGCTGGCCCACGTCCGGGCCATGGCGGTCCCCGAAGCGACCGGCAAGCGGTTCTACATTGTCGGTGGCTTCTTTTCCAACGCCCGTATCGCTGAGATTGTACGCAGCAATTTCCCCGACCTGGCTGCGAAGGTGCTGCCGCCGAAAGAACAAGTCAAGGACGATTTCCCAGAGGACCACTGGACCCCGGATACGACGCGGTCCAAGACCGTGTTGGGGCTCAAGTACACCAGCTTGGAGAAAACCGTCGTTGATACTGTGGCGTCAATCATCAAGTTTGAGGGTGTTAGTGCGTAACGAGCGAAAAGGGGTCTTGTCCCTGGAAAAGGAGGTCTCGTGAGGTTCAAAGCGCAGGGGCATGGAAGGGGTCCAGGGACCTGCGGATGCGATGGTGACAACCCGAGGTCTGAGCCACTGGCCAGGCCCATGCTGTCCTTGTTGGGGACCCCTGTTTTGAGGTTGACGACTTGATTTTTGGTCGCTAAAACGGGAATCCCGACGATTTTATTACATAGTTACTACTCCGTAACATGTTTCGTTTTCCCGGTCCTATGATCAGCCAGCAGTGCACAAAAGAGATGGTTGCCCCCCACAGTCCATGCCAAATGCACGGGGATCAATGCTCATCAATTCGAGGTGTCGAGGTTTCTGTTCCTTGGCCATCTGTCGTGCCCCCCTTGGAGTTATAAGCGACCTCCACCCATGCGAGGCACAGGAACGCAAACGAGATGAGAACCTTATTCGATGTTGCGTTGTGCCCCCGGCTTCACCGAAGGGATTGGGATTGGACCATGTCACGATCGGACCGTCCGTTGCAAAAACAGAAACACACCGACTGACGAACGGTTTGGGCGTGTGTAACGGTTCGGCCTTTTGGGGACCCGCACGCAAGTGGGAGTTACCCTCCCGATCGAGTGTAACTGCGGCGTTGTTGTGGGTTTATTGGGACTGCGTATTATTATTGTTTTTCTTATGACCGAAGCAACACCGGTAAATGCCGGAGTGAGTACCTTTGACTCGGAGGTTGCGGTGGGTCTGACCCTGAAGTATGCCGGTGTTAAACCATGGGTGTATGTCAGTAAGCCTGGGGTTCACGGGGGTAACAGCCATCCGTCGTGATGGAACTGGTGCCGAAGTCGTGCACGACCCTCCTTGCTCTGTTGTTCCCTGTCCCAACAGCCCTCAAAAGTTGGAATGGAATCAAGAATTCGGGAAGAATCCTGTTCGAATAATAAGTGCGAGTTCGGCCCTCCATCCGGAGGGTATTTGAACTTCAGCGCCGTACGCCACCCCCGCAATTAGCAAACTATTGCGGCGATGGTGGCTCAGGGATGGGATGTTTGACAACACGGTGTTCCAGGGAGCCTCGCTTCGATGTTTTCCCCCGCTGCCTAAACTCACATTTGCACGCGGTCCTTGAGATCGGCCCCCCGCCCTGAGGATCGCAGCGCCTGAGATCTATCTGGTTAGATCAGATGAATGATAAAGTGTCCTTGCATTCCATAGGAGTACATATGCTGCGGGGAGTTCTGGTTAGTCTGTTCCGCGTGCCGTTCAAGAGGGCCGGGTGTCCCTTGAGGCGTGATGATCAGGTCGTTTTTCTACATGAGGTTTTCTTGTTGGGCCTTGGCCGCAGCTACCCAGTGTCTGGTGCGTCGTTTGACACTTCTTGTCTGACCGTGATTGACTCAGAAAGGCTGCGTGCAGACGCGGAACTGCAGGCCCGAAACTGCAGCGCCGGACGTGCCCAACATGCGGGCCAGTTGGCGACTCTTGGAGGTGGCTGCGGCGGCGTCTGCTCTCAGTGGACGGCACAGACACGAGCGTCATGCATGGCTTGCAAACTGTCAAGCTGCCGCGTGGGTGTGGAGGAGTGGTGTGATGGAATTCAACCTTTCACGGCTGTTTTGGAAAAAAAGAGCTCAAAATCGTGTCGGCTTCCCCGCTTGGGAAACGAAACACCCCATCGTTCGGTCTCGGGTTCCGCTGAACTAATTTCGGGGAGAATCTTCTATCGTGTTCCCAGCTCCGACGAGATGGCACAGTAAGTACACTAGTAGAAATCGTGAACTTGGGGAAGCGGGGACGAGGCGTTGCGATTGAAGAACGCACCGAATGCGTTGGGTCCGCTGGCTCGTCAGGAACCCTGCGCAGGGCCCCCGTGGACTTGGGATGTCGGCAACACGCAGGGTTGCAGTCAGCTTGAAACAAGCTTAGCTGGGTGGAGTGGCTGGTGCATTCCTTCCAAAACTTCCCAGAAAAGGCTTCGTCAGGGACTGGCCTTCTGGGCGTCTGTCGTGTGGAAGGAAGATAGGGTGCATTTTGCTCGGGTTGAGCGGGTATGCAGACGTCGGAGGATTGGAACCATCGAAGTTTCCGCTTTGGAATTGTTCTGACGAACCTGACCCCGCAATTTCGTTTGCGATGAAAGAAGAAAGAGTCCCCTGTGCCTTCCTTCCTTCCATGTCTCCCTGGGTTGATTCGAGGTTCTTTCCTGATTTTGAATCCTTTCTTCCTTTCTTTACACAGTTTTTGCCCAGCGTGGAAGCTTCGGATCGTCCAACAGCGGCTGAGCAGGGCAAACGTTGAACTTCTCGCTTCAGAATCCCCACCACCGACTTCTCTGCGCGGCACGGACGCTAACGCGCCCAGACCCTTAAACCCGGGTCTGTTCCTGTGCCTGGGCCCTGTCTTCGAAACGGCAAACAGCCCGTTCACACCCGCTCCGTGCGCCTCTAGCCGCCAGGGGCACGCACCCACCACCTGCACTTCTGCAAACACTCGCCCGCAGCGCTGTAAACCAGCAACATCACAAAAGTATTAGTGACCTTCGTTTGGGGAAGCCTTCTCGACCACTGTGCGGTATGCACGAGGCTCCAGCACAACACACTTACAACACCATGTCGTGACACCCGGGTGGCGCACACAAACTTCAAAAAGGGAGATTACGACGTCGCAATCATGGGTGGCATTCAGGACGATGGTTCGCCGGAGAAGTTGGTTGCCGATGCTGGTGGGAATACTAATAGTGAGGGTAGTGATGGTGGTGGGGGAACCGGGACACAACGGATATCCGGCGACGCTATCGATTCTTCCGGCCAGGACAACAACCGACAGGACCCAAACGCAGTGCTGGCCCCCGGCCAACGACGTGGCCAAATTCGAGAATTGGTATATTTGACGGAGGAACTGGACGGCGCGAACGACGATATCGATGCGGACTCGAACACAGACGCAAGCGAGGACTTCCAGCGTTGGTTCGACAACATGGACAGCGCACACCACTCACAGCAAGCGAAACGCACAACGGAACAGGAAACGGCCCTGGTTGGCCAGAAAGAATTACCGCCGCTCCCTTCCGACCTGCCACCACCCTCTTCTTCACCACCGCTAGGAATGTCATGTAGGATCTCGCGCTTCCCCTTCTCGCACCCGTGCGAGGTCCCGGAGTTGATGCCCGACCTGGACGAGTTGTTTGGAATGGCGCCCAGCCCTCCTACGTCGGGGCCGGTCACCCCCAGCATTGCTCCGGACATCTTTCGCCCACTTACACAGCTCACCTCTCCCGACCTAGAGTTAGGTCGGGACTTCATCAACCCCGCTCAAAAAGTCGAGTTTCACGACAGCGTGCGTGAAGTGTCGATCAAGTCGGTTGACACAGCGATCGTCGACGGACTCGATATGATTCGGGAGGAAGATGGCAATCTGGATAACGCCTCGTTCGTGGCCCCAACCCTAGCATCGTCCGGGACTAGCACCGTCGACGGCGGCGACCGGCCGGTGTTCCTGGCTGCGGATGGACGGGGTCATCTTCGCAGTGTCAGTTCCCTGGGAAGCGGGAGTTCCGGCGAGTGGCGCCCGACCCATGCGCGGACGTCTTCACGAAAGTCGCTGGGTGTGTTCTCTCGGATACGCCATGGACACCGTGTTAGTGAAGACCCTTGCCTCGAGAGGCGAACCTTGACACCAATGAAGCTCTCGGCCCCAACTCCTGTCCCCACCAGTGACCCGGAGGATGAAGACCTGTCGACGGTCGAGGGGATAGCTCCTCCATCAACAGTATTGGAAACTCTACCAGACCCCCCTAGCGCTGCTAGTAAATTCCTGCAACGGATCCCATGGGTGGGAGATTCACGATCCGGGAAAACCCCTGTCGTCTTCGGCGTGGACCTCAAGGAAGGCATTCGTGTCGCGCCGATGAAGATTCGGATATCGCACAAGGGCAGGAGCACATCCTACCGGACATTTCCTTTGGCATTGTACAAGTGTTGCGAATTTATTCGCCGAGCTGGTTTGTAACCTTGGTCTGTTCCGTTGAAAATGTCGCTTACTGACTGGCCATAGGAGGCACCGATGGCCAAATCTTCTCTTCACCTGGAGACCCTGACAATGTAAACCAGCTCCAAGCCATTTTTAACACAGCCCCAACATTTGGCGAGCATTTCCGGTTTGAAGGAAGCGGGTACACGGTCCACGACGCCGCACGCCTCATCCTCGTGTATCTCGAGTCGCTCCCGAAACCGCTCATCTCGTCATCTGTCGTCAAGTCCTGGGTTCTACTAGCGCGCCAAGAGGGCGCCATCGAACCGCCATGCCCACGAGTCGAAACGGGTCTCGACTTTTGGACCGAGGCGCTCAACCGGCTACCGACGGTCAACCGCAACCTGATCAAGCACCTCCTCACGATCTTCGCCGAGGTCCTCCTTGCTAGCTCCGGTGAAATTAGTGAGGCCAATGCCCGACAGTTGGCCTCATCCGTGACGAAATCGATCTTCCACCAGGATACCGACGGAACTGGGTTGGAGGGCAAGCCGATAAAAGAGTACAAGAAGAAGCCGATTAAACGGGATGTGCAGCCTACACTAGCGCTCGCGTTCTTAATCAAGAAGCGGGGCGAGTATGCGGTGTCGCTGAGCGAGGTGGCTAAAACTGACGGGTCTAAACGGAACTCGACCTCGTTTTTGCCAAGTACCAAGGAAATTATGGAGTGGAAGGGCTCGCCTCGGTGAGGAATGGGATGGGAGGACGACGGCCTGAGGGTCGTAGCGGGTGGAGGAAAAATACCCCTGAAGATACCCCTTTTCCGGTCGTCAATGGCCCTTGCTTGTGCGTGTCTGTCTTTTTGGCTTGGTGGTTTGGCTCGATATCCCGGTTCAATATTCCTTTGGTTCGACATTGGTGGAGGTAGGTTTGGCCTCGGTTTGGCGTTTGTGTTGGGCTTTTGGACTGGGGATAACATAATTCGGCGGCATAACATGTGAGCATATTCTTTGGGAGAGGGCGTGTGTTTTGTTTTGATAGGCGATGTTTGTAATGTACTGGCAAGAAAGTGGTGGATGTTTGATCTTATGGTACAACTGGGTATATTTTTGACTGCTTCGATCTTTTGGTGTCCTTGACGCCCACAAGCCCATCCCAGCTCCTCTCAGTGTTGCTGATGTTGATTGCTGACGTCACTGACAGGACCCAACCTCGACTTGGCGGTTCTTGAATGGCTGACCGATATTATCCGTACTTCGAGATTATTCGCAATGACCTCCATTCTTAATTAAGGCCGTTTGTCAACTGCGAGACACGATGGCCGAAACAAAACACGGCGTGCACGGTCATATCAGGAGAGTTATGTCCTCAGTCGAAAAGCGTCAAGACTAGGTAGGTACGCGTGAGTTACCGATAGCGTATCATCAATCTGGACTTCGAACAATTGATGGTGTCGGTTAGGTTCTGGCTTTATAGGAGGCGATTTACTTGACCAATTCTTCAAGTATACGATTGTCAGCTACGAGGTTAAGGAGCACGCCGTTTTATAACCCCAAGTCGACTGTTTCGTTCAACGCATTAAGCTAGGGTTACCACCGATAGCTTTCATTTGCTGTTCACCAGGATAAGGTAAAGACAGAAGTTGATGGAATGCTAGCCACCAAACAAAGCTTACAAACTTCAAACGGCGTATGAAGCTCCCGCCCACCTTCAGTCCCAGAAGCTATCTTTCTCGGCGTACATGTTGCCAGCCATGACCCGCGACTCGCCTCCGGCGCGCAGGGAGCCGATAGCCACGGTGATGCCGCTCTGAGGGAGACTCGTCTCCCCTTTCCAAGCAGTGCTGACGAAATCACCGCTCCGAAACCTCGCCTTGTCCGTCGTGTCTACAGACCCTATCGAGATGCCCTGGTTGGCGGCGGCCTCTACGGCCTTCACGGCCTTCGCACCGACGGCACCGTCGACCTTGGCGGCCAGGAAGCCGAGTAGCTTCAGTGTATCCTTTTGCTCCGCCGGCGGCCCCGCGCTGATCTGCTCGGTGTCCGTCTTGGCGAGAGCATTCGCCTTCTCAGGCGCCGGGAAGGCCTGCTCGAGGTTGTCGACGAGCTTCGTGATCCCCTCCACGAGGTCGTTATAGCGGTCCCGGTGGTACAGGGCCCATGACGCGAGCTTGCGGAAGCCGGTCGACTTCTGGCGCCGCTCGGCCAAGGCTTTCATCTTGTTGTCTATGGCGGCGAACCTCGGCTCCATCTCGCCGCGCGTGAGCGGCGTCAGGTCCTCGCCCTGCCTGGCCTCAAGCCGGTATTTGTTGGAGATGTTGTTCGAGTCCTCGAACAAGACCAAGATCTGGCGGAGCGTGTTCTCAGCCAGCTGCACGTCGGTGTCGGTTGCCTCGGGGTGGCCCAGCTTCGGATCGTCGTAGATCTGGACTGCCTCGCCCCACCGGGATAGCCGCAGCTTCAGGAGACTGAGCGTCAGGAGGTCGACCTGGAAGTCTTTACCGAAGCGGCGGCCGGTCTGTACGTAGTCGAAGCACTCCATGCAGGTGCTAAAGACGGATACGATGCCAGCGGTACCCGACACGATCCCGAATACTTCGGCCATGGTGCTTTTCGTTTTCTCTTTTGGCCCTTTTTTCAACGGCCGTGTTACAAAAGGTGCGAAGGGCTTTTCGGAGCGGAGAGCAGAGCCTCGTGGCCCTCGTCCCTGCACGCAGCGGCCCAGCGGGTCAAGGGCTGTCCCGAACTGCGCCCGACTCGAGTGGCCCGACTCAGCTTCCAGCCATGCATGGTGTGGTCGGCCAACGGGAAGTCTTATTGGCTGCGACCCGTAGGGGGGTTGAGCGCGTATGTACCAAGAAGTCTGAAAACGCGCCTTCGTGGTAATCCTATTCGTCCTCTGGTCGGCAACCGTTTTAGACCTGCATAATCGGGCTGACACGGTTCAGCTTTGGCTGCCACTGTCCTTTTTTTTTCTTCACCTTTTTCTAGCGGCAAGAGCCTCGAATCAGGCGTTATTAACCCCGGCCTTCCAGGGCGATGCGCATACCATTATCACCATTTTTCTGTTTAATCTTTCAGTGCAGCGCGAGAAGATGAACCACACCGCGCTCAACTCGACGACGAGCGCGGCGGGGAAGGAAGGGGACTGGGGCCGCTGGGCCGAGAATGAGGGAGAAGGAGGCCTAAAGAAGAAAGTCGCGATCTCGATACAGAGTCAGGCTGTCGACGGCAACGCGCGAGTACACAACGGCAACAACTTCTACATGACCAGCCAACCATCCACCTTCGATCGGCGCGATGCTGACATCTTGAAATGGCTGGCGCCGCGCGTCAGCTTCCACCAGACGCACGATGGTATCCAAGAGCAGGCACGCATCGCGCATTATGCCGACTCGGTCCGCAACGACAACTACCCGGGAAAGTGGCTCATCGAGTCAGACAAGTTCCAGGAGTGGAGATCCGGCTCTCTGCTCAAGTTATGGTGCTTCGGGATGCGTAGGTCGGCCACCAACCACCTCGACCGGCGTATGCTGTAGAGAGGCTAATGAATCATAATCGTTCCGATTTAGCGGGTGCCGGCAAATCCGTTCTCGCGTATGTCTCATGCCACGCGAGCACCCCGAGGCGGTAGGGAGACTAACCTGCCTTGTCCCAGTTCTATCGTGATCGCGCACCTGCTGGAGCTACAAGAGCAGCTGAAGAGGAGCAGGGATAGCGCCCGGGTAGCGTACCTCTATCTGAGTTACAAGGAGGAGTACACCCTCCAGGAGCTCCTCGGTAGTGTCATCAAGCAGCTAGTCTCAATCGACGACGTGGTCCCCGAGTGTGTCGTCAAGGTATGGAGGAAGCGGGGCCAAGGCGCCGACGCGCCCACGATCGAGGACTTTTCGGCCATGCTACGCAACCTGGTGCAGGAGCGACGCGCCCTGCTCGTCGTCGACGCGCTGGACGAATGCAAACCCGATTACCGGCTCCGGCTCATGAGCCTCCTCCAGCCCGAGTCCAGCAACGTTAGCCTCTTGGTGACGTCTCGGCTGCTGGACGAATTCGACGAAGTGTCGAGCGACTTTGAGAAGATCGAGATCACAGCCAACTCGACCGATCTCGATCTCTTCATTGACCACGAGTTTAGATCGCATCCGCGGCTGAAGAAGTTCCTGAAGATGGACCCCACGCTCCAGGAAGCAGTGAAGAATAGCATCAAGAGGGCGTGCCGTGGCATGTAAGTGACCAGGCTAAATCCGGCGCGGTAGAGGTGATAGACGTATTGGGACTGACAAGTCGGGATCTGCTTAGGTTTTTGGTCGCCTTCCTCCAGATGCAGTCTATCGAGGCCGAGCGGACGCTGGGGGAGATCCGTGGGGCCCTGGATAGCCTCCCGCGCAAGATCAACGACATGTACGAGCACACCATGGCACGCATCTACGGCATGAAAGAGGCCGACAGGAAGCTCGCCGTCCGCACTCTGTCGTGGATCGTGTGCGCCAGGCGCCCGCTGGCCACCAAGGAGCTCCAGCACGCCCTCTCGGTCGTCCCCGGCAACTTCGAGCTGGACCTGGACATGATATACCCCGAGGATAACATACGGGACGTCTGCGGCGGCCTGGTCACCATCACCGACGGCCTGGTTTCCCTCGTCCACAACACCGCCCAAGGCTACTTCAGGGGCCGCTTCTCCGGCTTCCACGCCACCATCGCGCAGACCTGCATTAGCTACCTATCCCTCGGGGTCCTGGAGCAGCCCGACGACGACACAGACGCGGCACGCAGTCCGCAGGAGCTCCATAGGTACTTCGAGGCCCATAGCGCCTCGACCGACAACCGGCTCTCATTCGAGGAAAAGATGGACAGGTTTCCATTCGCCGGATACGCGGCGACAAGCCTCGGCAATCACCTGCGGATGCTAGACGATGCCCCGACAGTGCCGAGCATCGCGCAGTCGCTGGTCGAGCTTCTGCAGAGCCGCCCCAAGAGGGGCTTCCTTCTCCAAATGCTTCATGCCAGCTACTATCCGAGGCCTTACCTTTTTCGCGACATGGAAGAAGAACAAGAGTTTGGGTCGGATGCTCTCCGGCACGACATAATGGAGTGCCCGAGCGATTCCGACTTGAAAACCACTTCTACAGACACGCGGAGACCGGCGCCAGGCCGCGAGGTCAATGCCATCCACCTGGCAGCCTTCCTTGGCTGGCCACCAGCCGTGTTGAGGATATTAGAGACGGCCGAGGCGCCCTTCGACATCAATGTCCTGGATACGGTTTCCAGGACGCCGCTGTGGATAGCGGTTATCCAAGGAAACTGGGACGTGGTGGACGTCATCCTCAGCTACGGCGGGTCCATTGACTTCCTCGACAAGGCGGGCCATAATATACTACGGCGCCTAGCCAGGGGCGACCAAGTCGACATCATCAAGCACTTGATCGCGGCGAATCTTAATCCTGCTCCTGCTAAGCTCTTGCAGTCCGAGAACCCAACCGAGGGCGTGGCGGAGGAACCGCGCGCGCTCCCCGGCAGGGGCGAGGAACTGGCCGCGTCAGAGGCGCAGTCGTCCACCCCGTCGAACCACCTTACCACCTACCTCCAGCTGATGCTGGCCGCGGGCCTGGGCGACATCGGCACAATCCAAAAGCTGCTCGCCGGTGGCGAGGCAACCTTCTCGGCGGACACGACCATGTTTTACATCACCGCCTTCTTCCTCGCCGTCGAAGCGAACCACCTGGCAGCTGTCAAGAAGATGCTGGACAGCGGTGTCGACGTAGACACGCGTGGCCTTGGGCGCGAGACGGCGCTGCACATCGCCGCGGCCCGGAACTACGTGGAGGTCGTGGAGCTTCTCTTCGCCCGGAACGCCGCTCTGAACCTGCGAGATGAATGGGGCGAGGCACCGTACACGGCGAACGCAGACAAGGAGCACAAAAATGGTAAGCATACACAGACATAGACACCCTGACACACACACACACACATGTATAAGAGCTTACTCCTTGTTTTGTAATACGCCGAAACTAACAGCAAGGTGGGGCAATCTCCAACTTCTGCGCACCGCCGGCGCCAATCCCAACGACAAAACTCGGTATGGCTTCACCAGATTACGCCTAGCCGCGGGGGGCGGCGACATCGAGAATGTCAAGTTCCTGCTGCAGAGTGGTGTCAACCCGTCCATCACTACCGGCTTTGACCTGGCTCCGCTGCACTGGGCCGCCTTCGCAGGCCACGCCGACTGCGTGCGCGAGCTGCTCAAGTGGGGAGTGGACCCGAACACCATGGGGTACGGCTCGAAGACGCCGCTCGACATGGCCCGAAAGATGGGCCAGACGCACGTAGTCAAGATCCTGCTCGACGCCGGCGCGAAGACGGGCCAGGAGATGTTGGAGAAGAGGGCCAAGGTTGAAGACGGCGAGGACGAGGACGGGAAAACGGCGAGGACGGGGATGGGGACGGGGAGGGGGACGGGAAGACGGCGAGGACGGGGGCGAGGACGGGGACGGGGACGGGGACGGGGGCGGGGGCGAGGATGGCGAGGATAATGAGGACGAATGGGAGTTTGTGTGGAGAGCAGAAACGGACCCGGAGGTCTCGCCCGAGGCAAAGAAACGTGTCTTGAGCTTCTTGGGCCTCGTGGACACGGAGCTCGACGACCGGGGAGCCGGATGGGCCAAGGAACCACATTCTAGCGGAAGGGCTGAAGAAGGATCCGCTAGAGGGTGGGATAGGGAACACGATACAGAGAGTATGGGCGGCGATATGAGGACGGAAGGCGCCGAGCGATAATTTCTAGTAGGTTGGATAATGTCACGAAATGACTATACAGGCGGCTAGGAGAGCGGTAGCTAGAACGCAGGACCCTCCGAAAATTAGCCAAGGCTCATTATAATGATAGGTGGTTTAGCAACAAGAGGATTATACTAAAGGAAGTAACCCTTAAGGGACGGGATTTATTCCAATGTGCTACTAGTGGAGTGGGGGATGTTTGTTCTTATGGTACAACTGGGTATATTTTTGACGGCTTTGCTCTTTTGATGCCCCTGATGTCCACAAGCCCATTCCAACTACCTCTTTGTGTTGTTGATATTGATCGCTAACCTCACGAATATGGCCCAACCCTGACCTGTTTTTGTAATTGCGCCCTACGACGGATAGATTGGCTACACCAGTTCAACGTTGCACTTTCTAACTCACATGCCAACCTGCAAGACTTACTCAGTTTGCAAATTTGTATGTCCCATTCTTCACGCAGTTGGGTGTGGGCGTGGGGGCTGTGGGCCCGATCAACTTACACCGAGTACCCCTGGATTTCGGCTCGCATCAGCGCGGGGGAACTGTCTGCCGGAGGGTGGAGGGCCAGTATTCGTAATTAACCCTAAATAATTCATCGGCTGTAATGCTCTAAACCGCAGGAAATACGATACGTACGAAGGATGTGGAGTTTTCACTCGCAGCCTTGACACCCGCCTTCTTTTACTTTTCTCTTTCAATTATCTCCTTTCCCGAGCGGCAGTTCTGTCGAAATAGCCGTCTCAATTCCCAACAACCAAAACAGCTCGAGACAGCGACCCTTTTGAATTCGTTCTAACCCCTGAGTCAGTGGCAGAGTCACAAATCGCGAGTCTTCTCACCAGAGCATATCCTCCAATATGGCATCCCAAAACGCCCAACCCGGGCACGACCGACCAGATGAGACAACTTCTCACCCTCCTCCCTACTCATTCCCCCTCGGCCCCCCCGCCCGTCCAGGACAAGCCCTCCTCCCGCCGAAGCAGCCCCTCATCGGGCACACCACATCCCTCGTCCCGCTACAACCCACCCACGCGCCGGCATTATACAAGCACCTCGGCGGCGAAGACAACGCGTGGCGGTGGACGTACATGTTGTCGGGCGGGTACTCCAATTTCGCCGAGTTTGAGACGGTGGTGGCTGCTTGGAGCACGTCGCGGGATCGGGATTACTACGTCATTCTATCAGGGCCAGGGACGGGGTCGGGCGATGGTGACGGGGTTGAAGCGCTTGGGCTAGTCGCGTACTTGGGTGTTTCGACGCAGATGCGCCGGCTTGAGATTGGAGGTGTCATCCTTGGTGGGGCTTTGACTCGGTCTCGGCGGGCTACGGAGGCTTTTTTTCTGTTTCTGCGCCATGCGTTTGACGACCTGGGTTATAGCCGTGTTGAGTGGAAGGCGAATCAGCTGAACTCGACGAGTATGCGGGCTGCGACAAGGCTGGGGTTTGAGTTTGAGGGTGTCTTTAGGTATGTGCTAATTATCATATGGGCCCATGTGGTGGGGTGACTTGAGGTTCCGGTGTTTTGGGTCAAAGATTACATTGGTTGGGCTAACCATGAATTTAACCTCGGGTGTGATATACAGGAAGCATATGGTCGTCAAGGGAAGGGTTAGGGATACTGCCTGGTTCAGCATGACGGACGATGAATGGCCAGGGATTAAGCGTGGGTTCGAGAGTTGGCTGGATGATTCTAACTTTGACGAGCATGGGAAACAAAAGAGGACACTTCAGGAATGTAGGGAACAGCCGACCGAGCATTAGATGTAATAACTAAACTAAAACAAATACTTCCTCCGATCTCACATCGCCTAGCAAAGCGCAGGCCTCTCCGCCCATGAATCCCTCCGCGTAACACTCTCCGACTAGATAATACTCGCCGTCAGAGTTGCTCCCTTGCTCGGAAAGTTTCGGTTTCGGTCGAAGCAGGTAGGGTACATTCCCACCATACAACACGACAACTATATCACCGACCCGAGACCCCGCGGGGCACAGACCGATACGCCCCTCTACATCGGTGAACATGCAGTTCCCATGACAAGGGAGCCAGGTCGGCTTAGGGCCGTCTGCAGCGTTTCCCCCAGATGCAGATGGAGGAGCAACACCCCAGTGGGACATGTAATGCATACCCAACTCCCCACGCTTGCTCAGATGAAATTCCACGTCGACTGGCTCGCCGACGGAGACCTGGGTCCTGAGGCTGTTCCAAGTGCCAATGGTGCCTGGCGGATCGAACAACCGCACGTATGCTTCATGCATGCTCCTTGAAGAAACGAGCGGGATTTGGTAGAAAGGGTACGGGTCGAGTGAGGCGATGGTGCTGAGGCGGATACCCTTGAGCGGGAGGGACATGGGGGATCGTGTCGACCCAGTTGCTTGGATTAAATCGGTGTCGAGGACGCGATCCCCCGAGGCACGATACCCACACTGGCCGTGTAGGCCGAGAGTCCCTCGCGTCCACTCACTGAAGCCCTCATGCCACATCATCCAGGACGGTCGTTGGGAGAGGTCGAATCTGCCGCTGCTTCTAGCCGCGGTGTAAGAGCTTGTTTTGTTGACCCAGGACCGGCCCACGATGGTATGCACGGCAGAGAGGATACGGAGCGAGGCGTGACGCACAATCCACCATCTCGTGAAATCTGCGTAAACCTCTATGGCGTCCTTGCTGTAGTTTGGTTTCACTTCGGGTGGAAGTTCGTTGACCTCATGGGTCTCTTCGCCGAACGTCAACGGCGCAAAGATCTTGTCTCGTGGGTCGGTGGCTTTCATGCCAAGGGTTGAAAGGAGAATGTGCAAGATGTCCAATCTCGGCGCTCGCTCGCATTTCAGAGTCGTTCCGTCCCGCTCGACGTTGAACAAGGCCGTCCACATGGACGGAAGCACCGCTCTGGTCAGCAGCCCTCTCGTCCTCAGGCAGTGGTTTGCTTGCATTAGGGCTTCCCACGACAGTTGATAGGAACCACAGAAAACTTGGACGTGCGAAGCCTTCCAAACTTCCTGCAGCACCCAGACACGTTCAAACCAGGGCAAGAAGAAGATTTGGTCGTTGTTTGTCTCGACTAGCCCCGACGTCTTGTTGTGGATGATATCATGCGCTTGGTGCGGATGTGGTAGCTTTCCCAGCGCCGTTGTCGAGTGGCTCTCCGCCTGAACGCTGGCTTCATCGTAGCGCTTGGAAACGCTTTCAATGGCCCGGCAAATAGCAGCGGTGGTAGCATCTGGCTCGCCCAGCCAAACGCACACGGTCCTTGCGGATGCGAATATATCGCCCATGAGCGCAACCTGGGAGGTTCGTTCATCTGTGTCGGTTTGGTTGATACACAAGAGATCAATCCAGAGTGTCCTCGGAGTATCTTTACGTCTCAACTGCTTCAGGGCCTGGAAGAGGTTCCGGTTGGTGTGAATCGGGATCGGTGGCTGATGAATTCCATGCTCGTCAGCGACAGTCAGCAGCAGCTGTTGGCGGTCCTCCGCGTCGCCCCAGCAGTAGGACAGGCCTTCATATTCCAAACGATCCGAGTCCCGCAGGTGCGTATACTTCAGCGTCAGTTGAATCTCTTGGTTGCCCTCTCCAGGTTGAAGCTCCACGACTCGGATTTCGTCGATATCGTGCCTCAGCGGACGATAACTGCTATAATCGTTCTTGTCGGTAAGGGATTCCGACACCACCAGATCCACGGCCGGGTCACTCGGCGATGCCCACGATTCGATCTTGGCCGATCTCACATAGTTGGTCCACGCCGGGAAGTGCGCCCTTGGCATGATTTGCACGGTATCGCCCGGTCGTATGCCGGACATCCAGCTGCGGAGATCGTCATCGGCGCCTTCCAAGCTCCAGCAATGGACATGTGTCTTATATTCGAACCGCGCATGCACGTTGCGATGGATCATGCGACGCGGGCCCCGTTCATGGCCGGACGGGGCGAGAACACACGCCTCGAACCATGTGAAAGAGGCGTCATATGTACCACCGAATCGATCCTCCTCGCCGCTGAACCCCTGATCGTGAGAGGTCGTGGTGAAAGTAACACGCCGGACAACAAGTCTCTGGCTGTGGTCGGCCGGGACCGTCTCCGGGCGGCCGAATCGCAGAGAAACGTAGGGCTGCTGAGGACAGTATTGTGTTGTGGTGATTTGTACGTCCTGCTCGGCTCCAAAGTACACCCAGCGCGGGTCAACTGCCATTCTCGAGACTTCGAAAGCGTATATTCTCGCATGTGGTAAGTGAGATTTAAAGGAATAGAAGGTCGGAAGTTTAAGCTCGGCAGTTTATGTTACATTGATGAATAACTGGAGGGACCAGCCTTTCCAACAGGATCAGTCATACTCGGTGTTTGGATGTTGTACTTTGCGAATTGAAGGTTTTTTGACCGCAAGCCAGCGCTTTCCTCTGCCGGGGAAGAAGCTCATGCTGCGAGTGTCGGCCTTTCAAGGCATATCCTTCATCTTACAAATGCGCATACCAGGCTGCCTCGCCTCGCTGCGCCTCATCCGCTACGGCCCCCACCTCCAACGGGCAGCGGGAGCGGTAGGAAGCGACCCATGCTAAGTACTGTGTCACAATAGATGGCTGATCATGCGTCGAGCAAGAGGCCCCCAACAAACCGGCGGACGCAAAAAGGAAAGGATTCGGATTGGCCGGAAAGAAGCTCATCCCAAGTTTCGACCAGATCCCACTTGAAGGATTCTAAATCACGCGCTTCGCTGCTGTCCTATACGGCTGGCCTTATCCCCTACATTAATCGAATACTGACTGCCGTGGAGCATTATTCCCGTGTTTCGGCCCTGAAACTGTGCACCGTGCATGATTACACATGGAAGCAGATAGTTCAACGAAACTTCAAAGCCAAAGGATCGATCTATACGGAACCGCAAACTCCCTATAGCTTGTTTCTGGGATAGATGTACTAGGAATTTGAAAGCTAAGTGCTTAAATTTCAGAAAACTATGGTCAGGACAAAAGACACTGGTCCGTCACGATGGGGAATCGGTAATTACCCGTTAAAAGTAAGAATCTTGGAAAACCCACCATCACTGCTTATACTCCCCCTTAACAACCCGTTCAGACAGCTCCTTAAGCACATTGCCCACCCACTCGAAGTCCTCCAGCTCGACATACACCTGCGCGCTGACACGCGCCCACCAGCGACCGCGGTACACATACAACGACACAAAGGTGTTGTACTCGTCGACCAGCTTGCGTTGAATCCAACCGCTGATAACGGGGATCTCACTCTTGGGAAACGACGGGCGGCTAGCGAGTTCCTCGTCAATGTCAACGTTCAGTGCCTCCGCGTCTCCTTCCTCCAGTTTAACCGCCAGCGGCAGCGCCACGTTGACCATGGAACACCGCGTCAAGCTGCGACTAGCGTTGTCCAACACCTTAGTGCCTAGGATATCAGCGATCTTCTGCCCGCCCTCGCGCGCCAACGCGGTGACTTCAGTCAGGATACGCTCTTCCCCGCCTAGGACCTCCTCACGCCACTTCAGGCTGTCCGCGACACACAAATATGGCGTGTTGTCCACCGTCCCGAACGACTGGAACGCCTGCACAAACGCGGACTTCTTCGAGGCCGGCAACGGGTTAAACTTGCGCGGCGGTTCCGGCTGCAGCCCTTCCTCGCCCGACGCATCATCTCCATCATCGTCCTCCGCGCTAGCACGCGGCGCGAACCCATGCGATGTCGGCACAGTCGACCGGATCAAAGCCTGATTGCGCACGGGCACATAAAATACCGCACATCCCCTGGGAACATGCAGCCACTTGTGGCAGTTGCTCACAAAGAAATCTGGGTCGACTTTGCCGAGATCGATATCGACCATGCCCACGCCCTGCGCACCATCGATCAGAGCCAGCAGCCCGCGCTCACGGGAGGCGAGGGTCAGGTCCTCAAAGGGGAAACGGACACCGGGGAGGGAAGACACCACGTCGAAGAGGGACAGCCGGGGCCGCTTCCCCGCAGCGATCGAGGCATCCACCGCGTCGTGGAAAGCCGCGACAATCTCGGCGTCTTCCAAGGGGTAAGCCAAAGGGATGGCTCGGGCGCTGAGCAGACCGGGGTGAGTTTCGATGACATATTCGATGGTCTTGTGGCACCCGCCGTAGATTGTGTCGAAGTAGAGAATCTCGTCACGGCCGTCCGGGTTCCAGACGAGGTTGCGCAACACGGTGTTGACGCCGGTTGTGGCGTTGGCGACGAACACGCAGGTGTCGGTGGGCACGCGCAAGTGGGCGGCGATGGCGGCGCGGGACCGGTCGAGTAGGTCCGGGTAGATGTACCGGATGAAACGGTCGGGCGCGGCCTCGGCTTGGTCCTGGTAGGCGCGCCGGGCGGTTTGGATGGCGCGGGGGATCGTGCCGTAGGAACCTGTGGGTGAGTAGGTGTAAGTGTACTGTATGTACATACAAGTTATCTGACTATTATCTGACGATGGTACTTGGAGGATGAGACACCTACCGTGGTTGAGATTCCGGTAGGACGGATCAAAGAGAAACTGCTCGTCCCGCAGGCCGTGACCAAACTTAACCGGGCCGTTGGCCTTTTCCCGTAGAGGTAGCTCTTTTTGCTCGGCCATTGTGACTTGGGTTACGGGATCAGAGATGTTTGAGGGATTGGTGTTAACTAGGTAATCAGTGTCGGCGTTCGACGAGCAAATGCAAAGCCACCGGTTAAGTAAATGATCAAAATCAGGCAATGATGGGAATCGTAATGTATGTCCCAACCCAATTCCCCAGGGGAGACAGGAATTATAACTTGTGCCCAAATTCAAATCCCTGCTGTGCTGCGGATATATCAGTTGACAGTCCGGGTTGACTCGGACTTTGACTCGGTCTTTGACTCATGCCCCTGATCGCAGCTTCCCCACTCTGGCGTTGACCCTTCCGACCCGCTGTCCCCGCCAACCGGGCTAGCACGACATGGTGAGGGGTATCGTCGTGGGCTGCCGCTGAGAGATGTCCCGGGCAGGGCGTACTCGGTTATGCCTGATTGTTCGATTGTTCAACGGCGGGTACGGCGGGGTCAAGACGATGTGCAGAGGGGAAGCTCCCAGCTCTCGAGTCCAGGCCTGCGCTAACCGCAGTAAGCCGCGCTAGATTTAGGAAGGATACGGATCCATCCTTTAAGTCGTTTTTCCTCGTATCGTTTCCGTCGCGTTGGCTTAATTACATTATTGTTTTCAGCCCTCGGACTCATAAACCTCGAGGGTCAGATCCTATCCAAATCTCAAGAGTCAATCATGAGGGAGCAGACGAACCGCAGAGGAACCACCGTCAAAGTTCCACAGAGTCCCCTTTGACCACCGCAATCCGCTGCATCAACCAATTCCGATACGCCGCAAACATCCTCACCTCACGCATGCCCTTCCGCTCACAAAACGCCACCAGCTTCTCGTACCGCCGTACTAGCCACTCCTTTTCGTCCCCATCCCCCTTCCCAGTACCTACTAAATTACTAGCACTACGAACAGCCCTTCCCAACTTGGCCTCACACACCAAACACAAATACGGCGGCTGTCGCAGATCCTCGAGGATGCTCCCCGTCGCTTGCATCGCACAGGCGTAGAACACGCAGTGCGCGAACCCGAAACAGTGGCCGACCTCGTGCGAGGCGGTCAGCACCACGCGCGCTAGCCAGTAGTTTGCGAAGTCCGATGTGGCTGTTGCATATGTAGAGGGAGTGACGATGCCGTCAGTGGGGATGTTGGGCGGTGGGCGTGGGCGCAGGGGGGTTGGCGAAGGAAGGGCGATAGCAGAGCGGAGGACATTGGCGAAAGGGGATTTTGCGTCGGTGGTGGCGTTGACAGTGAGCACGGTGGGAGTGGGCTCGGGAAGGAGGCTGGAGGGTAATTCAGACGCAGCCGCGGCGTCCTCCCAACACTTCCTCCGCACATATTCCTCGCAGTGGGACAATGGCCAGGTATGTTCGCGGTCGACGCCCATATGCTTATCCAGCACCGGCGTGTACCGCGCCGTCGACACCACGGCCACCCGGCTGCCACCGTACGCCCGGCCGCAGCAGAAATCGTCGTCGTCGTCCTCGTAGAGATCGTGGTGTGTCAGCATCACCATGGCGTAGGCGTCCCGGGGCAGCGCGGCGATGGCTGCGTCGAGGAGGTCGTTGAGTTGTAGCTGGCGCGGGAATTGTTGGTCAGGCGTGTCTCGCGTGGTGATGCGTGTGAGGTTGTTCTTGATTTGCAGGCCGATGTACTGTGGCGGACCGGGACGGGTGTTTTTCTTGGTGTTGTCATCATCATCGTTATCTTCCCAGTGTACGAACTTGGGTGTTTCCGGGAGAAGTTTCACTGGTAAAGGGTGGTAAAACGCTTCAAGGTAATCGCGGATGGTTTCTACTGGCGGCGGGTCACACCTGATTTTGGCTGGTTCAGCCACGGAGCGGGCCCAATGGCGCATCAAGGAGCAAAAGAAAGGGCTGACGCTATCGTCGGTCGGTGGGGGAACGACGTAGATGGTTTGTTGGCGACGTGTGATGGCATTCCGTTCTTTCAAGGAGATCCAGGAGCGTAGCGTCTGCGGAGGTTCGTCACACTCATTTATCAGGCCATCATCTGGGAGAACGAGAGGCGGTGGGAAAAGAGATTCGAGGCTAGCATGGTCGTCCGTATTGCCGGTTGCGCGCCCCGAAGGCCTTGTTGCTGCTTGTCTTCTGGCTATTGGGGGTGGGACGATGCCTTCCGAAGCGGCTGTCGGTGAGCTGTCGATATGGACCGTTTGATGCTGGCAGGCCATTTTGAAGATTTCAACAGTTGGAACAGCTGAGCTTCATGACTGAAGTGCAATTAAATTAGAAATATTAAGAGCTGAATTTAACCGTTGTGAGAGAACAATTTGTGAATCTATCTCATCCTTCCGATTTGTTTTTTCTTCAATGCTGCGGAGTCATTGACTTGACCAAGTCACCCATTCACGTATTTACTGTGATGTTGACGCGCCGGCCGCTCGACGAGCTGAACTTTTCGCTCAAGGCAGCAGCGCCGACAGGGGTTTAGCTTGGTGTCATGCCCCTGGCTGAACAGGGTTAGGGTTAGGTTCCCCTTCCCCCCGTCCCCCTCAACGCGCCCGGTTATCGTGCACTTTGTCTGAGGAGGTTATGGTTTCGTGTGATATCCTCAGTTTGTTACATGAAGTTAGCTCCTTCATAACCTGAGCTATGTTGTGAGTTGTGCCATTCTTCTGTTGTGAGTACCGTGCAGCCGGTTCCGAGTCCTTGGCCCCCAACCAAACTGCCGGACCGCACTCGTTTTAGGCCCAGCTTGAACCCAAAGATGTCCCACACAATCCCGTCCTCAACTAAACTAATGCTTCCAGGCGACGCGAAACGCGTACCAAGTACGTCGTGAGCTGCGTCTCCAAGGCTCATTTCATAATCAGCATTGAAGGTTGGAGCATTTAGGACTAGGACTTTGGGTTGTCTGCCTAAGCCAAGGACGTCGATCATAATGCGGGAGTCGAGGACGTCGAGCACAGCCCGATGTTCAGCGCGCTGAGAGCCAGGCCAAGCAAAGTCCTCGCTTGCGTGGCGCGCCTGTGGTAGGCGAGAGAGCCGAATGCGACAGTGGCGCGCCACCAAGCAATGGCGTTTAACAGTGGCAGGGTTCCCGAGTCCGAAGTCCGATGGGACCTATGAGACTCAGCCGCCATCATGGTCGCAAGCCTGTGATAACGTTAATTGCCTGGCATTATAAATCATGTCTCAAATTGTCGTTCCGGTCGCCATGCCATGTTAATACCATCAAAATTTACAACAGTATGGCGTCTCGTCGTGCTAATTCCCTGATGAACGGCCACGGCAAAGATGACGACGCAAGTGACCCTGCAGGCGACGCATCTGCTCAGGCGGAACAAACATCAACAACCAAATTCCTTCTCGTTGGGTTGCTGCGATTTCTTGGCACCGCGGTTCTCGCGGTCCTATTCTACATTATCATCCGTCAATATCAAGGTCGTACCTTGACTTCGGGGGACAAGTCGATTTTCGATACTCTTGTGGTGGCTGTTAGTTTAACACTCGGGCTCAACAGCGCGGCGTCCCTAAGGCACATTGCACTGTTTGCCAGGGGTTGGTATGCGGAAACACGCCGTGTCCACGTCAAAGAGGTGAGTCTCTCAGATCCAAGGATAAAGAAGTAGTTACGAAAAGTATCCATCAACTAACACGACTTAATAGGTCGAAGTACACAGTTTCGTCGCGTTGGTTGGGCTGCTCATCCGCACGCCAGCTCCGCTTCTGAAGTTGGTGTGCGCAATATGGCTGTTACTGAACCTTGTAAGTACTAGGGTGGTGTCTATTCCCACGTAGCAAGACACCCATCAAACTAATTCCCTCCAGGCCATCCAAGTGGGCATTTCCGCAGTCAGCTTGACCTTCAAAGCGGAACCCGGCATCGAGGAGATCTACCCAGATTCCACCCTCGGTAATGTCACGATCCCAGACATGAGCCGTTTCGCCCGGGTCGGCAGATTCAACGACGGCGCACGCCCGCAGTCCCTTGCGGCACACATCCTCGGTGATACCGCAGCGAGCTACGAGTTTGCGCCCTTCCCGAGCGGCGTGATGACCGACGCCCCCATCGCACGGTTCCCCCAAGCGTACTGGGACGCCGGCGACCACTGGGAGTTTGTCTTTGCCAACTCGGCCCCCGTCCCGGGCTCAGCATCACAAGACCTCAATTTCCTCTCCTTGTACTCCAACCAACACGTAGAATCCTCTGGAACCTGCAAAACACCACGCTACACCTTCAATCTAACCGAGGGCATCCTCACCGTGAAACACACCGACGAACAAAAGACAATCCTATTCCCGGCGTCAGGGGTCGGCGACGAAGCGATCACTTATCTCACCGAGCCCGTCCTCCACGACGCCCGCGCTGGACCCAACATCACCGGCACCTGCGGCCCCGGCTGCGCTACGGTCTATGTTGTTGAACCCCACGCAGGAAACCCAGTTCCCGGCTCTACCTTCTCCAACCCCAACTCCAGCTTTTTCTACTATGAATGCAACATCGCCGTAAAACCCACCACCGATCCCAACGCAGGGCCCTTCAAATTTGCCCCGATGACCGCCGCCGTAGCCGCTCAAGCGATCGCCCTGTCAGGCCAACGAGCACCCGCAGCAGCAAACGGTTCCGCTTCGCGGGCTGGGTTGAACCAATTCACGTCGTATAACCTAGGCCTGGACTTTGGACAGGCACAGAACAACAACGTCACCTCCATGGCGAAGATGCTGTCGCGTTTTGCAATCGGCGTGGTAGCCGCTGCGGCGCGGAGTAATCCGCGGGTGACGGTGCAGGGCCACACGCCACGACAAGGGGTGCGGTTGGTTTTGGAAAAGCCGGTGGTGTTTGGGGCAATATTGATTGCCACGGCTGCTGTGCAGCTGGTGTTGATGGGGGTCGTGTTGATTCTTGTGCGGGTGTTGAGGAAGAGCGGGAGGGGGGACACAGGGAGTAGGGGCGAGGTGAAATATGTTACGATTTGATGAAAGGGAAGGGGTTTGTTTACTTCATTGCAATGACTGCGCATCAGACATCTTCACTCCATGTTGACGGATCGATACCTTGCATACAAAGCACTGCTTTGGCTTGTACTAATTTAATCGGGGCCAAGAGTCCAACATGATATCTTGAAACTCTCGTTCCCACGCACGTCTCAGCTTTGCACGGACTAATTACCTCTCTGCGTCTCGAAAGCTCTGGCTGTTCAATAGCTACAATATCAACCCGGGATATTAGCAGGTCAAATCTACAGCGACTGAGAGCTGCCTCATGCCAAGCGCAGTGACTTGGGGGTGATGGCGGTTGAACAGATTCTGAGTTCCTCCCGAAGCCGAGTAGCCGCGGGCTCAGCGCTACCTGACACGTTACTTAAGAATAAGGAGCCCAAGCCCTGCTTCACTAGTCCATCTGCTAACCGGTTCTTTCCCGCCATTTAGGGGCGTTTGACTCTCGATGCTCGCTGTTGATTGTTTTAGAGTAATTAGGAGATGAGTTCTATCAGCAGTATGAACGAAGCAGATGCTAGGCCCGGGCTGGTGAATGTGAGGCGGTACCGTACCCTACCCGTGTAATTATGCTGAGACGCGCACCGCTACGACACGAAGCCACACAACCCCGTTATTATGTTGGCAACCCCCATAGTTATCATTGTCCGAGCGAAGGTACTCAGCCCAAGGAAACAGGCGCCGCCTCGGAAGGCTTTCATGCTCTATGGTAGAACTTGACGCGTGCCGATGATTGCTACAAAAGATTGAGTAACCGCATTGAACTGATGTAGCACCACAATCATGGAACGATTCATCCCATCATTTCTAAGGACTCAGATCAACTGAGGGATTACCACGGGAGCTATTGGCCTATTTGTTTCCCTAAAGTCAGGGGAAGGCAGTATTCGGTGGTATTGGAAATTTTCCCCTTGTAGTTCCAGACGTTCCATAGCTCATGGCTCAGTCGCCTGGACTCAAGGGAAAGATGGGGGGCTGCACGTCACATCGTAATCAGATACACAACCCTACCTCTGGCCGGAGGAGGAAACACGGGTGAGTAATTGTCATGTTGATATGTGGCCGTTTCTGAGCGCCCTTCCTGTACGAATAGAATCGAGCGTGCCTAACTCCAGGACTTTCCACCGAAGCAACTTTCCCGGCCCCCGGTGCCGTCAATTGATTTCCCCACTTTTTAACGAAGACATATCAAGGAATTTAACGCTCAGCGATTCCTCAAGGTTGGTCAGCGGCAAGCCAACAAAGCGCAGTTTGTCCTGCATAATTATTGCTTCCCGAAGAACCATACCCACCACTTCCGGGTTCCTTGAAGCCGACAAGCCGAACTGCGAGAATCAGATGGAATGTTCTGTGGCGCAAAGACAACCCGTCCGCTTCCTCTGGTGTGTTCCGTTGTAGGCAAGAGCCCTTAAGCAAGCTTTCGTTTTAGGCAACTGCTGTCGGGTTGCATCCACCACATGCTGCCGCTGGACGGGTGCGCTTTCCTTCCGCTCTCTATGCAGTAATAGGCCGAAATACTGCATCGTTGGCCGGTGCGATTGAGCAATCAGCCGGCAGGTACGGCTCTTGATAAATGTATACGCTTCCGTAGCATCTTCGGTCCCGGATATCAGCCACGGTTGAGCCTGATAGGCGGGAGGAACGACCGATGAAAGCAGGCGCCCAGGAAGGTTTGGTCCGGCACGCCACTTGATCAAGTTGATTCCGCACTCCTGCTTATGTTGGCCCTTCTTCCCACGGACCCAACCTGCAGTCGAAACATGGAAGTTGGAACTGTCATGCGACCACTCGGCACTATTCCACAGCAATGCCCAAATCAAGTGCGAAGACGAAAGACAGCACGAAGCACAGAGGGTTCGAGTAACAGTGTCGCAACCCGTTTCTTCCCCACCTTTTCGCGTGACAGCCAACCGAAGCGGTGCGCGACTGACACAGACACACACATTGATCGACAGATTACTTGTTGGCACTTCCTGGTTTCCGTTCAGGGCGATGCCGAGATGCGCTGTGTAACCAAGCTTGCAGCTGGGCGCTTCGATCCGTCACTCCTGCAGACGAAGATCCGTCGAATCGTACAGTTGAGGAGAAACCAGGAAAAGGAGAAAAGCATCAATCAGTAAGTGGAAACAATGGGGTTGAGTGCTCTATAAAAGACTGTCTATCCGCCTTCCTTGCGGTTCTCTTCTGTATCTAACGATTCGCGTGTGTGTTCAAGGCGCTAACCTGGCGATTAAAAGTCCTTAGCGCCAGGCTCCTGGGGTCAAAACAATGCCAACCTCCTCCCTTTCTAACCATTTATGACAAGACCGACTTCGAACGAGGGTATCGATGAGAAAGGACAAAAACAGAGGGGAGAAAATAAAAGAAACGGATCGAGATGCGAGGCTATACCGCGCATATCTCCTCAGACGACATCCTCCGCCACTTCTAAGCGGGATTCGTCTACGGTTTGCAGCGCGGTCGAGCTGAATGGGAGATATTGACCATCGGGCTGCGGGTTCGAGATGATGATGGTGACCAGGCTGCCGTTGACAGCAACCACTTTGTAGACCACGGTTGAACCGCGGACCCGGACGGCATCACCTGACGCGAGCTGCATAGTCGTTGGGCCGGTTTCAGTAACACATCCGACAACAAAGCTCGATCGCAATAAAAGGGCAGACCTACGGCCATGTTGTTGGATCGTTGACTCGGTGATTCCCGAGAAAGACGAGATGGCTGGGGGGCTGTTTGCCGGCTTCGTGAATGAGGTCAGCGATCCATCCGCCTCACAAGCAGCTCCCGGCGAACCGCCGGGGAGGGGGGTTTGAGCTCCGGCTTACCTAAAGATCGTATGGCAAAGCTACGATAGTGGGGATGGGCAAATTTTCTAGTCGTCCGGCTTTACTGTGCGCGCATGTGTGCTTCGAAGAGACGCCGACATGGCCGCCGACACGGGTGACGAGGGCAACGAGGGCTATTTAACCCCGTTCGACACGGGTTCACGGAAACACGACGATCCTCGGAGGGTGCCACCTCATCCAGGCTTTCACACACACAGAAGAAGCCTAACTCTTCAGTCGTGGTGGAACCCCGCGACCATGCGCGTGGCCCCGGGGCGTGTAGAGGTTGTTATCGGTTCCCGGATATCCCTCTTGGGTCGTCATCATCTCTAGCCACTAGGACAGATGCGGTTGTAGGAGGGGAGGGAGGGGAACGACGGGAGTACATCCTGGGGGCCCGTGGGAACCCAGCGGCTGTACTCGACCCGACATGCATGCCACGGATGTCCTTTTGCTTCCTGGTGGGCCGTGGTGGATGGAACCAGCAGCTTGGTTGCGGTGGCGTGACCGTGCCCGTTTGAGTTGCCGTTCAGGGTGCAGCCGGTCATTGGAGCCCCTCGAACCCCCCTTTTCGGGAGCGGTTACATCGCACAGCGTTCACGGGAAAGCCCCTCGGGTCCCTATTGAACGGGGTTTCGGTCTCTGTCGTCATTTCAATACCGGTCGAACGAGCCGGTTCAGGAGGAATCGGGAACCCAAAACCGTCGCAAACGTCCAACTAAGCCCGTTCATCCACAAGAGCGGCCATCCTCGCATCGTGGTCATCGATTCATGATGGTCCTTCTTTCATACGCAGCTTCCTTGTTGAGAGTGGGATCGCCCAGCTCTCTGACTTTTGGGTCATCCTTTGGGTGAGAGGTACATCTCGTTACTTGGTTACAACGTTAAGGAGCGGCCACTGGAACCCCAGTGGAGCTTTTCTGCCCCCGCGCTGGGCGGCCCATCTTACCCGACCTGCTGGAAACTTTTGGGTTGCCGCCCCTCTCGAACCGCTGCCAAGGTCCGTTCCGTCGGGCAGAGAAATGACTCAGGGGCAATCGAACGACGGAAGTCGGCATGGTCGTGGTCGTGGCCTCTGAACCCGCGCGCGCGCTCTCAGGGTCTTCCTTGACCCGAGAGTCGGGCGGCCCGGCGCAGATCGCAAATCGCAAAAGGCTCAAGACCGACCTTCACAATCACGACAAAAGTTCTCCGCACCATCTTCGGGCCCCCCTTGATCACTTCAGAGTGGGTGGCCACTGGCCAGCGGCGACTCACCAGACGATGCGCCCTCTCCACGCCAGTCAAAATCGTCAAAAGCCGACTCGGCCACGGCCTTTTGCGCGGCGGGGAACTGGCCCGTCAATAGCGCTCACGCGGATTGGGGGTGCCACAGTGGCCGCCGATGGCACGCAAAACCCCGTATCGGGAGACATTGGAGCCCCTTATGGGCCACGCCCCCACTCCCCCGACGCGTGAAGTGTCCAAGAACAGACCAACGAAGCCAACGTGGGTTTCGCTTCGAGGCAACGAGCGACCGAAAAAGGCGAACCCCAACCGACAGAGCGTCTCTTTTCGGGCACTCCTCTCCTACTTGAGACTCGAAACATCCGTAACAAACCCCCCAAGAACCCACCTAAGCTCACGGAGTGTCGACGGCCTCGAGATCATCTTCGGCCTTACTAACAGTTTGTGCTTGCTCACTCGGCGGTGCCGGCGTCGGCGGACAGCGCTGAACTCAACGTTTGGGCAGCAACATGGCCGGGTCCTTTTGCACACACCCGCAGCAACGGCAGGTCATCGGCGACTGCAATTGGGTCTGCCGGAGGAGCCCAACAGTGATGGCCGCTAAGCCCACGGCGATTACTGACCGGCCGTCCAAAACAGAAAACGTCCAAAGCCGAGGTGATCACCAGTCACGTCTTCACCAGCCGTCACGAGCCGAAAAGCAAACGGCTCGCTGCCAACCTTCGCGTTCTCGGACACCGGCGCGACCTGCAAAGCAGCTCACCGGCCCTTTTTCTTGCCTGCGTGGCTCACTTCTCTGCAATCCCTCGCTCTCCCACGCCAACATGCCCGAAACAGAATAGGCGGGCAAACGCGCCGTGCCATCGCGCCGTACCTTTAGCGCTCCAACCCAACACCACCAAAAGGGGAAAGAGAGAGGTTTTGGGGGCTCTTCTAGCAGGCGGACGAGGGTTACGAACAGGCACGCGCTCGGCCGTACGCCCGCGCTCGCTGATACCGATTGAGGAGGGAGGAAGGCACGGATAAAACCTGTTGGTCGCGCCAAAATTTGCTGTCCTGTCCCCTCTGACACGCTAGTGCCAACTTCGACGCGCCCGAAACCGCGCGCAATTGGCCGCTAGCGCTCTCTGGTCAGGGATGGGCGGTCTTGTCGGATTAAGCTCTGCCGCAGCAGCCGCCGCGGGGGTATTGTCCGCCCGGCAGACTGGTTGTCCTGGCAAGCCTGGCACACCTCTGACTTGGCCGTTTGCTCCCCCCCTCCTTCAACATCGTCATCCCAAGATCATTGCTGTTGCGGTTCTGGTCAGCGATCGTTCCAACGCATCCCCCAGAGCCTCCACGCGCGCTCTGCCCCCCACCCCCTTTCAACTGGTCCTCAAGTCTTCAGCCCCGATTGTCCAGCATTGGGCTCGAGATTATGCTTACCAACTGTTAGCAGATGGGGGGAAAGGGGGGATATTTTGGCATTGCCCCTTTATTTGTGTCGACTTCTCAGGATAACGTCATTGCCCGCCAAACGAGCCCACTGCCATCGCTGTCCCGAGCTAAGATTCGCTACGAGCGAGTTCTTCGGACCAACCATTGAGACCACATTGGTGGAACCTCGTCCCGATGAGCCTGTTTGCTCGGAAAGAACTTGGACGATATGTGGCGGTGAGAGAAACTCGATGCCCAAGGTTCATCAGACAGTTTCGGATCGGCCATACTTGTTCCTTTGGACTCGCATGGTTCTTCCTTGTCGTGTCGGCTGAGTAATAAAGGTAACACGAGACGAACCCCCTTTCCTCCCTGACAAGCCTGAATCCCCCTCTTGCCGCAATATCAACCCACCAGTCACCCGTGTCACCCCCATGCCCCTTTCCGATCCCCAGAGCCCCGCGTTGTCCCTTACCCGCTGGTCGGTTACACAGGAACGTTACAAGCCGACTTCAGCCCACATGCAGATGGGTCCAGTAAAGTTATGTCATAGCAAAAAATAGCTCGGGGCGATCGAGGGTTCGGTGTTTCGCATCTCTTATAAAAAGCAAGTCAGGGTGGAAATCCCCGCTTTGCATTCTGCCAAGACCTCTTTTTTTCTGTCTTGCTTAGAAAGAGCTCAGTCACTTGGGAACGCTAACTATCAATCATGAGATGAGGATTCTCAATGTTTGTGAAGGGAGTTCTTCACTCAGGTCAGCCATGATCAAGTTAAAAAAACACAGTATTCCTCGCACGGAAGGAAGCCGACGATGCCTGATATACACTGGGCCAGAAAGCCCCCTCTTTACTTTCTCTTCACAGCGATGAACTCAGATTTGCCCATGCATCGTGCAACTGGAGGAATTCTTGGCATTGATACTCCGAAACGTCCTTGTTCTCTACCCAATAACTACATGGTAATTATTGGTCAGTTCTGCTAGTTCGTTTCCGGGAAGTAAAACCCCCCACTAATCCTTCCCTCCCCATGACTCCCACCGTGGTTGATCATCCCGGTAAGCCGGAATCGCAATCCGAAAACATCACCCCGTTGAACACTCCCCACCCACACGAGTCCACGACAACCGTGTCACCGATCCCATCCCATCCCCTCTCTCGCTCCAACCCAACCCATTCTTTCCTTCCCGTGAAAACCCAGCCTAACTCCGGCCGGTATTCCCTTTACGAGAAAGGGTTGTGCTTCACACACTGCACGCGCTGCGCCTTGCCTGTGTCAAGGTTGTTGCACCCACCCTCCATTGTCCCCAGCATCTCGCCAGAGCAACCGCCGGAGCCCTTTTGCGAGTAGCCGGCCCACTCGCCGCCGGCCATGAAGACGGAGTGGGAGGTGTCGTCCATGGTCACGTCGGTGAGGGTGTCGGAGTGGTGGCCGAAGTTGAGGTCGCCAGAACTAGAGAGAAAGAGAGAGACTGGTTAGTGGTTTTGTTTCTTTTGTCTTTGAGGCTTGGAACAGAGAGTAGGGTATAAGGGTAGGTGCAGCGGTCAACGTGATTGGTGGACGCACCAGTCGGTAGAGGTATACTCGTTGGCCTTGGGGAGCTCGGCGTAGGCCACAGCCAGGAGAGAGGAGAGGACGAGAACGAAGGCGCGCATTTTGACAGAGAATAGATTTTCAAGAGACCGGCTCGAGAATTATGTGTGATGTCGGGTTGTTGGTTGGTATTGGTTTAGAGTGAGATGGTGATGCGATGGTGAGAACAAGAACGAGGTGATTAGGTCTGCGGACTTTGAGCTTTTTATCCTTTGTTGAAGTGTTGCTTCCCGGGCGAAAACCCCTCATGTGTAAGTAATACTTGAGGAGCTCATGAATTGCCCAAACATTCGCATCGACTCAAAACAGTATGAACTTGGTGTTGCGGTCTCAGAGTGGGTTGCGAGACCGTGGGGCTGCCCTCGGACTCAGCAACCAGGGGTCGCAGTACTTGTCCAGCAACCCAAAAATTGTGCGAGACATAGGCTGGCTCGGATTTGATGATACACTACATAATCAAAACGAGAAAGAAAAAACTCTCTTGACTAGAGGCTAGAGTTTGGGTCTCGTCCAGTTTGCCGAGATTCCAGTTTAATTGCGAGATTTAGGTATGGCCCTGTCTCGACCAGGGGAATTGACCGGGGATTGCATATTTACATCTTGGATAATTGCATAGCCGCTGAAAATTGAGCTGAGATGGGAGTTTCTTTCTAGCAAGTAGACAAAGCTCTGGTCTTTTGTGGCCCATGCCAGACAAGCTCGCCCTACAAATAGCCTTAGACATATTAACTACTTTACAGACCTTGTTAATGAATCCAGCATTTCGGCGCTTATGTATGCCGGTGTTGAACGTTGTCCGACAGTCTTCGTTCCTGCCAGCATTGTTCCAACGCGTCTAAGAGAAACTGGCCTCAATTTTGAACTTCCTTATATTAGCTTCTGTGGCGCGTTGTTAGGGTATCTAAGCCCTGTGATTTGAGAGTTAAAACTTCCTGCTGGTTTCTTTTTCTGTTTGGCTGGCGGGCAGGAAACACGCAAGTTTAAGCACTAGAAATGTTGTGGGTTCTGTCTCTTGGTAGGCACGCGCAAGTAGATGGAGACCTATCTTTCAGGTAGGAATCATAACGTCCACCCTCGCCGCAAGGTAGGCGGGTGGCATAGACATATACTTTTGGCTTCATCTCTGGAGTCTCTTTCTCCCACAATCTCCCCCCCCCCATTTCTCGTTCTTAACTCAAGGCAAGCACAGAGTCAACGATGCCAGGAAAAGCACACTTCATACCTGCCACCCCGGCCGAATTGATGTTTGGCTCACACTCTCAAGATAAACAGTTATTCCGGCCTCGCTGTAGATAACCTTTCTCTTCCTACTTTCCCCCACGCCACCATTTTCTTTCACCTTTCACCTTTCTCCAAACGCCGAGCATCGCACCCAGTTCCAAACCACCAACCGAAAATCAAGTAACACGATCTGATCTTTCGGTTTGATCCGATTGTGTGACGACATCATCGCCGATTTCAGGTGTAAGTGGTAATTATCCTTCTTTTCATCCGAATAAATACTGAGATGAAACCTCGCGATTAACAGGCCCCTCTGGTTGGTCGCCATTTACATAGAGCGACGAGGTTCAAGCGGATCATCCGATCTAGAAATCATGTCGACCACCGCGTCTAACACCGGCGAGCATGCCGAGAAGACTACCGTCGACTCGAACATTAATTTGGTCGCCGGACAGTCTGCGGTCGATTCTTCGGCCACCGAGCTGAACGCTGCCGAGATGGCTGCCACTGAGGCGATCGTGGCCATGGCCGTCAGTAATACTAACAACGTTGCGAACACCAACGCCGTTGAGAACACCACCGCCGTTGAGAACACCACCGCCGTTGAGAACACCAACAACATGGCCAATACTACCAACAGCATGGATAACACCGTCAACATGGCCAACGCTTCCAACTCTGTTCACGGCAATACTACTGGCAATGGCAAGACTCTCATCCCGCCGGTTTTCCCCTCGTCGGCTTTCGCCACGTCGGTCGCCGCCGAGTTGGCCAAGCTGACCAAACCAGAGCTCAAGGCGGTCAGTGACGTGATGGTCGACTTTGGTATGCTCACGACCGAGATGGTCGGAGCCGTTGGCATTACCACTCCCGACGAGTTGACTGCCTCTGGCCTGATCACGCCCCAGATTGTCGCGAATGCTATGATGATTGCTGGCGTCGGTCCTTATGCTGGTGCCGGTCCTTATGCCGGAGATCCCGGTACCTATGCCGCGAATGCGGCCACCTATGCTGCCAATACCAGCAAGCAAGCTGCCCCTGAGCTGCCTGCTTCTCAGCCGGCCACCGTTGTGCCTGGCCCTGCCACCGCTGGTCCTTCCACTGCTGGCCCTTCTACTGCTGGCCCTGCTAAGGCTAAGACTGGCGTCGCCAGTGGTCGCGTGACCAAGAAGAAGAGGTAATTTCGGGCATTCACTGTCATCACTGACACTCTCAATTCCTTTATCGTTCAAGTGCAAGCACTAACGTTCCTACTTCCAACTCTCACAGTGTCGCGACTCCTACCAAGCTCAGCGCCAAGGCCAACAGCTACATTGACAGCGCCGTTAACAATTCCGGTGACAGCGGCCCCTCGACCCCGACTAACACCACGCCCGGTCTTCTCATCGGCAAGGCTTCCGGCCCCACGTGCATCAACTGCCGCAAGAATAAGGCCCGCTGCGACCGCATCGTGACCTGCGCCAAGTGCGCCAAGGCCGGTGTTGACTGCGAGATCAACAAGGGCAAGGGAATTGACGGTTCTCATATGAAGCCGTCCGATGGACCCCTCAAGCTCAAGGCGTGCGACCGCTGCAGGAGGATGAAGTCGGCCTGTGTTCGCAAGGACAAGTGCGTCCGCTGCGACAAGAGGGGTGAGGAGTGTGTCGTTGGTTAGGAGTCTTGCATTGACTCTTGATCATCACGGCACGCACTGTGGGCCACTCTCGGCAAATTTGGAGGAGGATTTTTTGGGGCCCGGAGGAACCGCTGCGAGTGGTTGACTTGTGCCAGAGCCCAATGGATTGCGCTACTTTATTTGACTGGGATGATGGTAACCGAGAACCTCGCCCGTAACTATCACATCTTGGCCTTGAGTTTTACGCTGCTTCTGGCTTTCGGGCCAGAATTAGTAAGCTTCGCACTCGAGAATAAAATAGAGGAATCTGACAAACAAAGTGACGCTTTGTCTCAGCCAAGAGTGTCGAGAACGTAGTCCATTGGCGCAGTGTTGCGGCACGAACAAGGGCCCCTGTGATTTTGGATTCCCAAAGTGAGACCTGACCCTCGGCCCATCCTGCGTACTTAATTGGCCCTCGGAGATATAAGCTTCAAAGGGCAGTGGCAGTGCTTCCTGAGCGCGGCTAACTGACCAAGTTGAAGAACTCTGCAGCTCTGCCGGCGGCACGGGCGTCTGTTTATCTTTTTCCCCTTCCCTTTACCGTTGACTTTCCCCAGATTTCGTCTGATTTTCCAAACAGCGTTCGGAGCCCATCCGGTCCCTTCCCTCCCGTCATCCTCCCTTCCACCCGCCCGCGGTCTGGACTTTGGTCACTGGTGCCTGAAACCACGGCTGCACGGCATCATGCACCAAATAATCAGCACGCTGGGGGCGTTCCTCCTCCTCATGGGGTCCATCCCGACGGCCTTCGGGCGGATGAAGTTCCTCAGTCCGCCCGAGTTCGACGGGCCACGAGATGTGCGGCAGAACACCGTGTGGACGGTTGGGTCGCCGCTCGAGTTGCGATGGACCCCCGGCGAGGAAGGGAAGACGTTGTCCGTGATGCTTTACCAGATCACCCCAGAAAAGGCGGCGACGTTTGACGGGAAGTTTGATTACACTGAGTCGGACGGGGCCGAGTATATCACCCGTATGTCTCAGGATTAGTTCCTTCATATGTTGTTTTTCTTTTCTTCTCCTTTTGCCATGTGCTTACGAATGGGTTATTGACTAACCACCACGCAGGCGACCAAATCAATGCAACAGACTTCACCTGGCTAGTCGGCACCCGCCGGGACCTCTCTGTCTCTCCCATGTTCGCCATCGCCATCTGGCAGCAAGGCGCCCTCATCACCGACTCGACCATCAACATCTTCAACATCTCGGATGCCCGCGCACCCCCGCCATCTTCAACGCAGACATCCTCCACACTAAAGACCACGACAACAGGGACAGCAATGGCAACAGCAGCGACGGAAACAGGAAGCGAAGGACGCACCACACGATCAGGAGCAGGAGCAGGCACGGGCGTGCCTCCGACGCCAGCAACAGGGACGGCTGGGGGGATAGAAACTGGGGTTTGGGCAGGGGCGGAAAATGGGGGATCGGGTTCATCCGGCTCTTCCTCCAACAGCAGCAGCAGCGGTTTATCCACCAGCGAAGCCATCGGCGTCGGAGTCGGCGCCACCGCGGGAGTTGTCTTACTCATTGCACTCGGCTGGTTTCTCGGTCGCCGCTGCGCCCGAAACAAACATAACCGTGAGAAGCTAGCGCTCTCCGATCCGAGCGTGTCCAATGAGCAGGAGATACGAAGTGAATATGGGCATGGAGATGGGAACAGCGGGTACTACCTTGGGCCAAATGGGACGTATTATTACTATAGCGGCACCGCCAGTCACGGCCCACCGACTGAGATGGGTGTGGAAAAGGATCCGGTTGAGGCGCTGCCAGGGGCAGATGTGCAGAGAAAGGTCGAGTTGCCCGCATCAGGGTGGTGAGAAGATAATGAAAGTCAAAAACAGACAAAAACACAGGAAAAGCGCATATTTGATGAATAGTATGCTGCAAAATCATCTCAAGTCATAGGCCATATCAGGCTGATCGCTGTCATTCAAGCTCATCATCATCGTGACAACCGGTCCAATATACTGCACTCTGAAGAAAGAAAAAGATATATACTGCTGCCCCAAATCATATTCACCAAATTCACCCAACCATACTTTTCTCGGTCTCGCGGTCTGCACAATTCTTCCCGAGCGACCTTAAACGGTAAACGTCCCGGTCAACCGAATATCCCGCGAGCTGGCACCCACCGAGATACCGAACTCGCCCGCAGGTACCACCCACTGCCCCTTGTCAGTGTCCCAGTAGCTGATGTCCCTGCGGCGCAGGTTGAAGGTCGCAGTGCCCGCCTCGCCGGCCTCCAGCGGCAGCTTGGTGAACCCACGGAGTTGCTTGGGCGGGGCCTCGGGGGCCGAGGACGGGAGCGTCAGGTACAGCTGGGCGACCTCAGCGCCGGCGACGGAGCCCGAGTTGGTGATGCTGGCGGTGACGGTTGCGACGGTCTCCCAGAGGTCGGCAGCGCCACCGGGGATGATGTCGCCGGTAGCGGGACCAGCCGCAGCGGTCGAGTCGACGGTGATGTCCGCGTAGGTGAAGTTGGTGTAGGCTAAGAGAAGGGTGGGTGGGTTAGCAAGGTCAGACGGATAAAGCAAGCGCCAAGTCTGAGGGGGAACAAAACGAAAAGAAAAAAAGAAACCTACACAGGCCAAAACCAAACTCGTAGCGTGGCTCAATGTCCGCGTGGTCAAAGTGACGGTAGTCAATGTACAGACCCTCACTGTAGCTATCCGAGCCCTGAGACACGGCCGAGCCGTAGTCGTCGGAGCTCTTGGCAATAGTGAAGACCAGCTTGCCCGACGGCGAGGTCTCACCGTACAAAATGTCCACCAGCGCGTTACCGTTCTCCTGGCTGCCCAGACCCGCCCAGACGACGGCCTTGACGCCCTCGTTGGCCAGGATCTCCTCGAGAATCAACGGGCCGACGCTCTGGACGACCACGATGGTGTTCTTGTTCGCCGCGGCCACGGCCTTGACCAGCGCGTTGCCGTTGTGCCACGGGTCCAGGTTGTTGCGGTCGCCCCCGTTGCCCTCAACCTCGATGTAGCCCTCGCCCGAGTCTGAGGTGACGAAAACGATGGCCACGTCGGCGTCCGAGACGGTGTTGCTCACGCCGCTGGTTTCGTCGTTGTCCTGCAGCGAGAGCGTGGTGCCATCGGCGCTGGCACGCTCCTTGATCGCATCATAAGGCGCCACAAAGTACGGGTATTCGACCGATCCCGAGCCCCAGCCCATGCCGAGGGCGCCGGTGTTGCAGCCCTTGTCGGTGCAGGCGTTCATGCCCTGCGGGTTGACCACCGCGGCCGAGCCGACGAGGGCCACCTTGCCGGGCTTCTGCAGCGGCAGCACGGCGTCGTCGTTCTTAAGCAGCACGATGCCGTCGCGCGCCACGGCCCGCACGTTCTCCTTGTGGGTGCCCTGTACGTTGGCCTTGATGTTGATTTCCGGGTACCCAGAGTCTTGGCCGAGCAGGTACCACGCGGCCAGCACACGCTGTACCATGTCGTCTAGGCGGTCCTGCGACACCGCGTTGCTGTTGACCGCGCTGGTCAGCTGCGGACCCCATAGCACGTTGTTGCCGTCGTAGTCACTGCCCGGCATCGTCATGTCCATGCCGTTGTTGGCTGCCCCGTTTGTCGTGTGTTGCGCGTTCCAGTCGCTGACCACGTAGCCCGGGAATCCGAGCTCCTTCTTCAGCAGCTGGTTGAGCGTGTGATCGTTCTCGCACGACCAGTCGCCGTCGATCTTGTTGTAGCTGCACATGGCGCTGGCCACGTTGGAGTGCACCGCGTCCGCGAACGGCCACAGGTACAGCTCGTGAATCGTACGGTCGTCCACCTTGTTGTCGATCGTCTCGCGGTTGAGCTCCTGCTCGTTGAGGATGTAGTGCTTCGCGCAGGCCTGCACACCCGACGACTGGATGCCCTCAATGGTCTCGCTCATGGCAATCCCCGACAGGTACGGGTCCACGCCGAAACCCTCCCAGTTGCGCCCCCCCTCTGGAATCTTGCCCAGCGCGCCGCCCACGGGGCCCAGGTTGACGTGGATGCCGCATCCCTTGGCCTCCTCGCCCAGGAACTGGCCACGCTGACGGAGGAGGTCGATATCCCACGTCGCCGCGGCCTGGATACCCGGCGTGAACGCTGTGCTGCCAGTGCCAAAACGGATCCCAAGGGGCCCGTCTTGCAGGCAGATTTGCGGGTAGTTGATTGAGCTGACCGGGGCCGTGTTGCCGACACAAGGGCCTTTGTCCCAGCCGATACCGCTGACCACGCTGACCTTGTCTTGCAGCGACATCTTGGCCAATGAGGCCGCCGCCGACGAGTGTGCAGCAGCCCATGCCTCAGCGCCCGTAGGAGCATCCTGCCGGCGGACCTTGCTGGGCATCTCGGCACGGCCGAGGGATGCGGCGGCGGCCAGGAGAGCGACGAGTCGGAGACCCATGTTGGTGGTGGTGTGTGTGTGTGTGTGTATGTGTGCGTCAGGGGAGAAAAGGACGTAAATTATATCTAGGCCGGCCTCGATAGGTGGCACAACTGTCGTGTGCTTGCTGGCGTCCAAACAAAACTTGAATTGAACCAAGGTCGATGCGATTGAGAAAGTCAGCACGAAGACCTTGAAAAGAAATTCGGGAACAAAGGGTTCTGGGAAAGGACGAGTTCTTTCCCTCCCTAGCCCAGTTCAGTCCGTCCGATATGCGGTTTGTGCTGTAGTGTTTGCTTTTGCAAGCTCACGGCCCTTGGGAAATGGTATGCACCAGCTCTAGGCAAGCCACTTACTTGCTTCTCTTCATTTATCTTATAAGTCGTCCTCTGAGCGGAGCCAGCTTCTTTCAACCGTTCCCTTTTCCCAGTGCCCAGCCTTTGTTCTCGGCCATATTATATAATAATGTACCCCGTCAAGTGATATTTCGCGCCCCGCACGACCATCTCTCCCCAGATCTGGCAGACCCGGCCGTGGTCGACTGCGACCTCAATCAGGGCAGCGAGGACTAATTCGGCGTTCGCCGTCCGGACCCCCGATGAAGGCCCTGGGCGGCTCCCGTTGCAATTCGCCAAGAGAAGCGCTTTCCCAGTGCCACAGTGTTACAATGGCAAAGAAAGGGGGCCTCACGGATCCCACAGCGGGTACGGGCTACAGCTGGAGCCTGAATCGCGAACAGGGGAAACATCAAAGTGTGCGCAAAAGATAAATGACGCGAGAAAGCTGGGGTGCAGGCGGGAGGATCGGCATTGGAGAAAGGGGGGACATTCTTGCGGTACTACACTAAGGTACGACAGGATGTACACTAACTCTTCCGTCGGCGAATGCGCCCATGCGGGAGCAATTTGTGGTCCGTCCTTCCCCGGTTGCCGTTCTCGGCCCCCAGACCCCGGCATGACGCCGGTACGGCGAACAGCGAGAGGCGGCTTGTACTTGTAAGGAGACGATTGGGCTTCGGCGCTGAAGAAGTCGCCATTATCACAACAGACGGCCCATCGCAGACGGGCCGCTTGGCCCGCTGTTAATTGAGGGCCCCATCCCTGCCGTTCCGGGGGATAGTCTCCCGCAAGAACCCCGCAAAACTGCTGGCTAATACCGACATTCCAAGACTTCTGGAAGGGTTTTTGCCGCAGAGTTCGGATCACCTAGCCCCGGATGTCACGTTGCGGCTTGGGAGCCCCATCGCTGGGTTCAAACGCCATCCGAACCGCACCAAACAATCGTCAAAGGCGATCCACGTTGCGACCCTTGAAAACATCGAAGATCCGGTAAGTTCGACCGCGGCTCCGATGAACCGATTTTCGCGCAGCACGGTCGTGGGAGGACTTGAGTACCTAACCGACGGTTCGCTCTCGTCAAGTACTATCAAGCCGCAAGGTGCTCAATCGAACGATCTCGCTGTGCCGCTTAAGCGCTTTGCCGGACGTATCGAACCCCTTCAAGAATAATGCACGAGCCACATGCTGTACAAACAAACCACCGGGAAGCTTGACAAACAGGGAAAGCACGGGGTCGTCGATAAATTCGTGCCAAAACAGGTGACGCTGTGTCTCATAACGCTAAGGTTGAAAAATACATACAGCAAGTTAAAAATGCGGCGCCATGCCCAACTCATGGTTGCCTCCGTGGAAAACAACAAATTGGGACCGGAAGAAAATGTCTCCCCAGACTTGAAACTGGGTGGTGGTGCGTTGGATGCCGCCAAAACAACCTGTCCGCTGTCAGTAAAGAGAGCGTTTGCGCGGAATAAGGAGAACCACATACGATCATCCTGGAACCTCCCAAAGTTGATGTCGGCTCCTCTCACTGTAGCTGTGTAGACACTTCCGACATCGAGATGGAGATCGGGCAGCGTGGTATTACACGGGAATGTAACGCCACCCACGCCAGCAGTTCGCTGCGCCCCGGGAACATGGCGATAATACCCATCGACGATATGTTGGGACAGCAGCAGGAGCGTGGTACCTGTGTCAACAATGGCTTGTGCGGCCGGCCCCCGGGTCCAACGACTGCCCCCAACCGCGAACTTCCTGGAGGGGACCTGCCAGAAACCCCTGGTTGTGTCGGCCTGTATCTAGGTGAGCTGACCTGCGAACCGGGAATCGTCAATGCGGCCAAATTCGTAAGCCCCGGGGGCGCCTTTGCGGAGATCTGCTGTGAAGAGGGGTTCGAGGAGTGTCGGCATCACATTTTCAAAGAATGTTCTCTGTTTGACTGGTTTCACGGTGCTGAGCTGGGAAAATGCGAGGCCCAGTAGCCCGTCGACATTTGTATCCTTGGCGAAACCGGACGAGACGGTGGTTGCTATCTGGACAGCTTGGTTGATCGCCGCAGCGCCTCCAACGTCGACAACGTCGACTCCAACATCGCCGGACGCGCTGGTACCATCACCATACTTGATCGAAAAATTCGCCCCAGGCATGGGTTTGAAGGTACGTGAAAGCAAAGGATCGTATGTGCGATGTCCGACCTTGGCTGGGGGGGGAAGGCCAGCACCGAAAACCCAAAGGTCAGCCGACCCTGAATCAAGAGCGACGTTGACTGTTTGGCCCCCGATTCGAATAGGAGAGACATATTCGACCCCGTCCGCAGTGAGAGTGGCAGGCACCAACCCAATAGCGTCGGCAGACCTAGCCACTGCTTTGGTCCGTGCAAGTTTCAACGTCCTCCAAGGCCCCCTGAGCCCGTTGCCGTCAAGAGAACCAGAGCCAGTCCCAGTCCCAGTCCCAGTCCCAGTCCCACTCTTCGTCATGTTCAATAAATCTTCTGGGATGGGCATTCGATATTTCCGGTAGGTCATGAAGAGCTCCGTTGGGCCATCGTGTCGTCGGAAGCCGGGATTCCCGACCCTGAGGACTCGAAAAGCGCGCTTCTGAGACGGTGCGGCGGGCAGAGGGTGTGCAAAAAGCAGTAACAACAAGATAAGCCAAGAACATGACGACATAGCGAATCGCCAAGGAAGAACTTAGGATTATAGGTGACGTGAGGGAGGGATAGAGGGCGACGTGTCGAGGATGACCTGAACTGTTGAACTTTTGTGGCCGTGAAGAAGCATCCTGACAATACCACTAAGCGAAAACAACATAGAACGCTGGTAAGCGCTTGCTACACGGCAATGGCTAAAGAATAGGAAGGAAAGAAGGAAAGAACGCAGGATCGTTGCTTAGCTCAGAATTATCATGGTTGAGTGTTTGCATCCCCCTTTGGACTTCCAAAAGCTCTCTTGGGTACAAGGGAAACATCATGTCCACAGTCATCAATTAACGTTAGATGGGCGCAAGACATAGGAACCAAATTGAACAATGGCTCTCTGTTAGGGGGGACGAAAAGGCAGGGAAAAAAAAACAATTGCAACAGCCCATCGGACTGTGTGATTTGGATCCTTCCGAAAGAAAAGTTAGGAGAAGAGGGTAAAAGTCTGTAGGCTGATCCACGAGAGAAAAGTTGTTTGGCGCGGAAAGAGGAACCAAGGGTGTTTGTTTCCGCTTGTCTTGTCTTAGAAATGCAGGTGCGATGCAAAGCCGCGGCCTGGTGATTGTTTGATTTTGCTCCTTGCTGTTAAAGGCTGCTTCTTACAGGCTCCTTCCATGACAAAGTTCGGTGCAAAGGCAAAGTTGAAACAAAAACACATCTAACGTTAAAACAAACCTTTGTCGCGACGAAGAAAATCACAGCCAAAACGCGTCATTTGCCGACGGATTCCAGATTACCCCGCGGCCGTTCTGGACCAGGAAGGGCGTGGTGTCGCGTGCAACACGTGACATTGGGAGGCTCCCGGCTGTCCGTTTTGTAGCTGACGGCCGCCCCCGCTTCACCGTCCCAGTCCCAACCTTTCTCTGCAAATGATCCGCCGCCATCCATCAACGCCGAGTGCCACAAAACGGTGTCTTTCTTTCAACCCGCCCCCAGAAAACAAAGAAGTTGAAGGCGCGCCAAATCGACATGAACTATCTTGGTTTTTGTCGGGGTGTTGTTTGAGCGATTGTTTTGTTTTTAATACAAGCCGGCGCGACCACCATCGCGACGGGCATTGCTGGAGCTTCTTGCCTGATCGTGGTCTTCAATCTTCTCCCCAGCGCAGCGCTAACGACCTCACGCTCGGATCCCCTCCGTTTCGGCCATCTCAACCCCGTTCGTCCAGTCGCAACACTTCCATCGCCACGACGGCCGCATCCGCCCCGGCCACTGTGCTGCGCGTTCATCGTGATCTCATTCGCGCCCGCCCGAGGGGTCTTCCCGCTGCCGTCCTCGCCGCTGCCTGTCATGGCCGACGAGGACTTCTCAGTCGCCGCCGGGGGCACAGGCAGAGCAACAGGCCCCGGCAAGCACCGCGGCCCCCGCTTCACCTGGAACCCCCAGTTTGAGGCCACCTTCTTCCGCTCCCTCTGCGAGTCCGTCCAGCTCGGCCTGCGCGATGGCAGCACCTTCAAGCCGGAGGCCTGGGAGCGTGCCATGCAAGCCCTCATCGACAAGCACAGCGCCTACGCTAACAAGGGCCACCTGATCAACAAAACCGACAACGCCCGCAAAAAGTACCGTCTATGGCGCGGCCTGCGCGAAGACCCGGAGTTTTACTACGACGCCCGGGGACGCACTGTGACAGCCACGGATGACGCATGGGCGAGGCATCTCCAGGTAGGTGACCCGAGGCGCGGTCCGCGGGAGCGAGAAGAAATGCTAATGCCAACGGCCCATGTAACAGAAAGAGCCCCTTGCCAGATCTCTCCGGTCGCGCCCTTTTGAGCACGAAGAATACTATGAGATCCTATTCCCTGACGTTATTGGATCCGGCGGCGCGCCCAAACGACTGACGAAACCTCGGAGGAAGGGGACGGAACCGCTCAATGGCGCCGAGGACCCGGAAGCCTCAGGCGCGGGCATCATGGATCTCCTAACAGATTCCTACATCAACCCCAGCCAAACTCACATTTCCGCCCCGATGCCGCCACCGATGCCGGCCGCAACAATGACTGCCCACCCTCCCCCAGCTCCGCAACCCCAACCGCAGCAGCAACACCGGGCCCCAACGAATACGATGCCCCCTCCCCCGCCACGGTCTTCCGTGTCCTCTGCATCTGCCCTTACGCCACCCGACGAAACCGCACATCAGTCCCGAAAACGCTTGCAGGCGCCCGACGGGAGTTCTTCCACCGGTCATGCACCTGACAAGCGTCGTCGTACTGCGGCACCCGGGTATCTCGACCTCTCCCAACAGCACCAACAACAACAGCAACAGAAGCAGTTGCAACAACAACAACAACAGCAGCAGCAGCAGCAGCAGCAGCAGCAGCAGCAGCAGCAGCAACAGCAGCAGCAGCAAGAGCAGGTTCAGCAACAGCAGCAGCAGCCACAGCAACAACAACCTCCCCCGGTGGTTGCGGCCCCTGCGGTGCTTGCCAACACTCCTGCAATAACGACCGGTCCAGGGGCATCTTCCGTCCTAGCTGAGACCTTACATCTTCTCTCAGAGGCAATGCGGGTCGCACGTGGGGGGGTGAAGCCTAGCCCCTGTTGGCAAGAACAAGCCATGGACGCGTTTTTCCGAGATTTTGCGGGCGAGGACAAGGACCTGCAGCTCAAAATTACCGAGAAGATCTTGACGGACGAGAACAAAGCCATGCTGTTTGTCAAGATGCCTGATACGATGCGGCGACACTGGGTCAAGAGGCTGAGGGAGGTGCATAATAGGACTGCGTAGCTCCTTACGGCTTCTAGGCCTAGGCATATTGCCGTTGGTGGTGGTGGTGGGTTGGAGATGGTGAGGGGGGATGAACGAAGCGAAAAGGTTGATGACCCACAAAGGGAATGACGGCGGGGGATGGGCGAGGACGGCGAGGAGACCTGGACAGTACACTACATTTAGGGGTCGGCCCTAGATCCAAGGCCGTTGGCTTTACCGAGATTCAAGGTCTGATGGATCTCGTGTCTCGCGGGATCTCTGGTGGTTTTCTGGGTTGCATGGCGGCGTTGCGGACTCCTCTTCACACATCACTGTTAACTCGAGGTGATGATGGATACCCTGGTTGTTGTTGTTTTGGGCGGGACTTTCTGACGCGGATGTCTTGTCACGCTGCCATCCGATATTTGTTGTCTTTTACCTTTTACTTTTTGTTACTGTGTGGACTATTTGCTTGTTTTCCATTATGTCTTTCATGTCATGGCGTCGTCCAGATACCACCGGCCACCTGTACTAATGATACACGGTTTGTTGAGGCCATGCTGACTTTAATGTGGAGGGTGAGTAGGAGGAGGGAGGAAGACTGTTAATGAGGAGGATAGTTTGGATACCCAGGATGTTGGAGTTCGAGACCTCTAGGCAGAGCGGGTCGACGTTTGTAATTCGATGTCTTGTATGTGCCAATGCATGATCACGTTTACTGAGGTCTGCCCCGGGCGATGACAACGAGGACAATGGTGGGAGCGATGGGGCGTGCTGACACGGGTCGCAACACACATGACATCCCAACACAGTTATCCGGCTGCATTGAGACCTAACGGCGGGCAGGGTACGTTATATTGGCAGGATGTACTCATTGATGACCTTGATTGACGTTGCTATAGCCTCTCTTGACGCTTTCCCCTCGTCGCTCAAGAACATTCGACCAATTGCCTGTCCAAGCTGGAAGATCCTAGATAAGCCACCTGCCGACTGCGCCGGAACGAAAAGATGAGCCAAGAGCGACACAACGCATGCTCGAACTTGTCCCTCGTAGTATCAACAACCGTTACCGTCCCCCCAGTCCTCCGTTCAGTCGGCCATCCCGGGGTATGGTGCCCTATGGAAAGGGGGGGTGTCTTGTTAGTGTATATGTTTTGAGAAACAGAAGCATGAGGAATCGTAGGGATACAACATGGAAAGAGGAGGGAAAAATACCTTCTATTTGTGGTCGGTGCAGCCATCGCAGGTGCAGCTGCTGCCGCAGTTACAGGTACCGGCTCCGCACATGTTGATGGTGGGTTTGAGTGTAGAGTGTAGTTACTTGTTTGTTTGGTTTGGTTGGTTAGGAGTGCTTGATGGAGAGAAAGGAAGAAGAGAACAGATGGGCGGGGTCAGAGAGGTCTTTTTATCTTCCAAGAGAGTCTCTGATCCTGCCCTCTGCATCGAAGTGCTCGGTCTGATGTTCCCCTCCCCCACCTTCTCCCACACTTCCTCTCTGTCAATCGTCACCTTTCCCAGGCCCTCCATCCATTCCCCCTCATGTTTCCTCCGTGTTGTTACTTGTTAGTGGTCTCGAGGTGGGGCCAGCTGACCCCGTGCTACATCCGCGCCAAACCGCTTTCTCTCCTTTTGGAGAGGTACCCTTCATGGGGCGGATCCGTGATCCATCCATCTCCCACTTCTTAAGGACGCGGAGAAAACCCCTGCTCGGAGCTAGCGCGAATGAGTGAGATGGAGTGAAAACTCATACTCTGATCAGTCTCCTGCTTAACGCCTGTCCGGACTGTGTGGAGGAAGGTCTGAAGGCTAGCTATCAGCGGCTATCAACGCAAGTTTGGCCGGCCGGATGTGGGAGTGAGATGGACGTTGAACGGCTGCTGGTTGGTGGAGGACCAGATAGGCAAGTGTGGTTCGCGAAAGCAGGGGTGGGTCCAAGCGCCCCAGGCATTGGTTCGGCAGCGGCCAAAAGAGCAAGTTGCGCGCATTGTGCGCGTGGGATGCAGTTGCAGCGTGGCACAGGGCGAATGCAGACACCCGCAGCGTCTGCAGCACCAAACACGACGGCGCCACGGACGAACAAGGCAAGCTAGGTGGGTGTGGGTGGACACCGACGCCAATTCGGTCTTGGTTCAAGTGAAGAATGATTTCAAGGAGGGGCTTTCTTTAGGGCTTTTTTTGGAGGGTTTTGTCCTTCAGTAGGTAGGTCACCCCCATTTTCGTGCCCTCCATCAGGGCGTTCCAGGTCACGGGCACAGCCTTTGCCCCCCATTTGAAGGTCCTTTTTTGTTGGAAGCGGGATGGCACACCTCATCTCAAGAGCCGGCATAACCGATATCCTCGCGAGGCTTTCGGCTCCGAGGGTTTCGCTGCGATTCCCATCACAAACCACCGAGACCCGAGTTTTGTTTTACCCTGGCCACCTTTCTCTACGATCTCTCTTTAGTTAATTACCAGAGGAATTAAAAACCCGAACATTGAGGGGTCGCGATGGCGACATCACGGAAGACCCACTCGGACGGGCCGGACAGGCCCTCTGGGTGAGATGGCATCGGAGATCTTTCGTTACACGGCAGTTGGCCTTGGCAGGAGTTTTCTTGCAGTCCCGCCGGAACGTGTGCCATGGGCAAAGCACATCATAGCCCCGGCGGAATGGGAGATTACAAAATTTGGTATTCCGAGATCGGCTTACGCTTCCGGGGCCATAATAGAGATAACCAAATATCACGCTTCGTTTCACGATTCAACGCCCGCGTTGGGCGTGCGTGGGTGAGGCCCGACCCGACCCGGTAGTCAAGGGGAAGAACAGTATGGATGACCGAAGGTCGGAAGTCTGTTCCGAGAAAACTTAAATATCTCCTTACCTATTTCAAATCATCTACACTAATTACCTATCTTGTCTAGCACCCGGAATCTATCGTCCGTTCCAAGAACTCGCATCCCGATTCCCCGGAGACAGTTCCCGACCGTTACGTAAATACCTCCCAAGCCTCAAAACCACAGGCACCCGAGGTTCCCCAGTCCGGTAACTATGTGTCCCGGGCTCGGGCCTGCCCGCGGGATTCAGGACGCCCAACGGCCAAGGGGGGTGGGAGAAGGGAGGCTCAAACATGTCATTGGTGAACATGGAATGGGGATTGCGTCAAACCTGGCAGGGTCCACGTGGGTGATGCCCCCTCTTGTTGTCATGTGAGCTTGAGTGTCCTGGTATTTTAGTCCCTGGTTCTCGGTGTTTCCGGTTCGGGTGATAGGCATCGAGCACTGCAGATTTCCCCGTTGGGAAAATGTGACATTACATCAGAGACACCAGATATCAGGTGACACAATGGGAGACGTGGCCAAAGATCTCTGTATTGGGAGCCGTGCATAAGTGGAAGGATTTTGAGAGCCTCGACACACGTCTGGGCCTCCTGAGAAGCGCTCGTTGTTAGTTAAGAAACACATCTCGGTTTTCATGTTTGCAACTCGCTTAACTGGAGGACTTATACAGTTAATTACACCTAAGTTATGGGGTGTGAGGCTTGTGTTCCAATTACAAGTTTGTACACTCTCCGCCTCGAAATTCTTGTTTGCACTTAATATCAAAAGGAAAACACTTCGTCTTCAAACGGCTTAGTGTGGTATTCATGGTCTCATTACTATGTATTAAATGAATAGTGAATAATTAGAAGACATCCGTTTGAAATTCCCAATAACCTGTAGCCATTTGCTCTATGAGATCAGGAGAACTTAAGGGAGATATTCCAAACACCAGTGATATGGCGTCCCCTCTCACCTCTCATGGGACCAGATGTCTACTCTGCCACGGCAGGCTTACCCCCAATTCCGAGTTAGTCCACCCCCGCCCCTCTTTCGCATGCATGAATAGATACGAAAAAGACATCCCAAGACAACTCAAATCAACTCTTCGCCCCGAAAGAAAGCCAGGTCTGCAGTCGCACAATTCTGCCCGACACCCTCACTACAGCCTCCCAATCTCTCAACGCCAGCTCCACGACCCCGGCCACTACCATGGTTCTTGCCACATGACTTTCTTGTGTGGGCATCGGGGTTTTCTCCCCTCCAATTCCCTCAACATCCTTCTTTTCCTTTGCGGCTGAGGGTAAGGCGGCGGCCAAAAGAGAGATCAAGGTCTCGAGCATGTAAAGATTTGTTTCTTTCGTGGTGTTTACCACATCATTACTCCCCGCCGTCTTATGCCTCTCCCCTCGGTGGTCTTCAACTTCCCACAGGTCTAACGGTACATGGTTGATGGAGCGGACTAACTCGGCGATGTCTTGCTCGGTGACGACCTCCGATAAGGGCCGACGAGCGTGGATCGCACGGCAGTAAAATAGAGACGACATCCTAATCGCTTGATGGAAATGATAATGCGTATTGTGGTGACTGCCTCCGTGGGATGGGGCCAAACTGGATGAGGACAGGCGGCCCTCTACCCAACTGGACATACTCTGAACTTTTTGCAGCTCCCACGGTGACGGATTCGATGGGAGGGCGAGGACGGTGTCGAGAAGGAAAGCGGTGTCCTTTAGGAGCGCCGAGGTCGTGGGGTTCGTGGTAAGACACGACGGCCGGTGTGATTGTTTTGGGGCGGGATGAATTGTCGGTAGGGAGCGGGACGTGTGAAGAGGAGGTTCACTGTGAGGATGCGACACGCTGTCACGGAGGTAGTCGGTGTAGGATCCGAGCTCGTTGCCGGGAAAGCAGGGCGTAGTTTCGAGGACCATGGCTGTGATGAGGTCGGCCCTGGTTAATTACGTCGGTTAGTTAGTCTCATGGTCGATGTAGAAGATAGGTATTCCCGAGTACGCCAGTCGTCGGCGCAAGCTAACTTACACGAGGACCATTTTTGCTAAATGTGGCGTCGCTGCGAGCGCAGTGAGGCCTCCCCTCGCTCGTACCATTTCACGGGCGCCATCGATGTGCAACAGCAACTCGCTCGCCTGGCCAAAGCAGAGGTCATTGAAAGCAAGCTTTACTGCAACAATGATGGCCTCATTACTGACGGCGGCTTCCGGAGATCTCAGGAGGGTGTGGAGATGCTTAATGGCCGCGAACCGAGCGCCGAGCACGGCATTTCGGTCTGTGGTTGTTGCCTGTGTACTGCGCCGGCATGTCTCTACGACTTGTGCCCTTGTGTCAGCACGATGGGATTCACTCTTTAACAACTATGGGGGCCCTTATCAAGGCGGTGAGCGTACACATTGAATGTGATGGCCCGTTCTGGTGCTCTGGCCAAAACGATAGAAGGGAGCCTTCACCAATCTCCGTCGGATTGGGCGGGCGCTCTATGAAATCCAATTGGTTCGTAAGCTAGCCATGCCGAATAGAAAATAATAACTAACGTACCTTCCTTTGGAATCGTCCAGTCCAAGTATGGATTTGTGTATCCGTCGTAGCTATACCGAGTTCCGGGTGTGTTCGGCATGGGTAACAGATCGTCAAAATTGAGAAGTTCGGCTGGATCAGGGGACAGGGTAGCGTCTGAAAAGTCGTAGATCTCTCGGCCCTTGTCCTGAATATCCTTCTTCTCAACCTCGCCGTCCTCGTCCGATGCTATCCGGCCTCGACGGCTAGGGTTATGCGAGCGGCATGAGTTTACGTCCAGTTGGGCGGAGGTACGTCAACATCGAAAGGGGAAGGCATGGCTTACGGCGTTGTCTGGTAGCGGCATTCTGGCTGAGGTGTTCGGCGCAAACAGTTGCGGCATGGTTGACGTTGGTCGCACTGGGGAACAGGGTCAACATCCGTCGGCCTGTAACCGCGTCCACGATCTTGGGCAGTAAAGTAGGTAGTGTGTGGACACTGTGGAGGCATAATTACCTTTTGTTTCCTCCGTCGACACTCTCCGCACGACCGTTTTCTCCTTTCGAATATCATCCGCAAAGGGGCACTCTCAGGCCTTTCGGCGGCCATCTTGCTGGCGAGTTGGCCCGTCGGTGTGTCGGGAATAGGTTCAGTGTTTCTCGTGTCTCGTCTAGGAGATGGAGATGAGAGCCAGGGCTGAAAGTGGCCACGACTTGGCTCGCTCTGGGGGAGGAAAAGAACGCGTCACAAAAGCCGAGCGGCCGGACGACGAGGGGGTGAGTCAGGGGTAGTGTTAAATCCGTGGACAACAACCCACCGCCCGCCCTACCCCTTGACAGGCACCGGCCTCGAACGGACCGACGACCCCGACCGGCCGCCCCATAGGGCTGACGAATACCAGCCGTGGAAGCGTGCCGATTTGTCCAACTTGCGCGACTCGCACTCCTGAGTCCTCCGGCCGTTTATTAGTCAATTCTGCGTTGACCATCCACTGGACGAGAACGATTCTCGACCGGCAGTTGCTGTGGCTGTGAAGCTAATCACCTACTTTCCACGTGTTGTGAGTTGCCCCGGGCGGCGCCCTACCGTGCTCGAGGTGCTCACCGAACTGATCTCGCATTCCCATTTTGTCTCTCCAAGGAGTCTAAGCCGCGGCCCCAAGACACCCCGAGCTTTTGAGCCGGGCACGCTATGTCTCGCCGAACACCAACACATTGACCGACGCCGTCCGCAGCGAACCGAAAGTAGACACTCTTGGCCAGGTCCCACGGCCGGTGCGAGCGAGCATGCATGTGTTAGCGACCCCGTTTGTCCCCACTTCGGCGCCGCAGCGATGTTTCGTTCGGCTGGCCACGCACGAAGACTCGGCGGTGTTCTGTAGTATTGCAGAGGATGTGGTACGCAGCCAAGCGGGCCAAGGGTCCTAAAGTGGACAGGAAAGCGAAAATAGGCTGCGACTGGCCAGGGATGCGAGGCCTGTCCACCGTTGATCGCGTGCCGTTCATCAGTCACGGGCAGGGCGTTTTCCGATTTACCGGTGAGACGGGTGGGAACTTTAGCGTTATTAACTGATTACACGAGGCCGTTGGCCATGGTCGACGAACTGGAGAATCTGGGGAATATTCCCGGTTCCGAGGTGGTATTGTATTTTCGCGTATTGGCCTGCAGTGCTGCGCTAACTCCGTGAGGGGTTAGATACCTACGTATTATTACTCGTTCGCGGGCGAATTAATCTCAACGTTTGAGCTCGCAACCCCTCTCCAATACTGAGAGACTCTGGCCCTCCAAGTCGCGAAAGAGATCTCAGCTCGAGCAGACAACCCAATCACTTTTCAGCCACCCGCACCCCATTCAAGGACCACTGTTCAACATTCTAATATTGATTGACGTTGACGATTGTTTTACGATTTCCTTTTTGGGCCTTAACCCCGGCCGCAACGGACACCCTGGGCACCCCAGACTACCGTGCCGCGCCGGTGCCGCCGTCTTATTCTAGAACCATGCCCGGTAGATCCGAGAACCCATTGCCCCACCAAAGGCGTAGTGTTTGTGATCTCAAACCTTCATCTTCGGGTCATCACGCTGTTTTTTTCCCTCGGGCACGGCGAGAAACGTTGCCGAGGTATGGATTTGTCATCGAAATAAACTACGACGGAGACATAAAAGGTTTGCCCGACTGAAACGACATGGCCGAACACACGTGGTAGACGTTAGAAGTTAAAAGGAGGATTGACTAATCCTCAAGAGGCCGAAACATATTAAGCGAGATAATCCACGTCACGATATCATCCCAGGATTTGTATCGATAACTCGTGATCCAGTCAAAATCCTTAGGGACAATACCAGCAACTGTTGTTTCTCCCACAGCTTACACCGGCTATGTCTTAGGAACTTGGGAATGGCAGAAGTCTTGTAAAGGCTCGGCGATATTCCTAAACCCCGGTATTCAACCCTCCCATAACTCACGGGTAGTATTACAACGCATCATTGCGTCGTAAGTGGGCGATAGAAGCGAGCAATCCGAGTTAAGCGAAAGGCGTTGAGGTCATTCATTGCATGGCTAGATGCCGAAGAGTCTCACTTGATACTGATCCTGAAAGTCCCCGAAGTCCCATCGCGGGAGCGTTACCATTAATTACTAATAGAGTGCGACACCTCTTGTTACGGTGCGACATGAGGTCGACTTCGGTAGTTGCCGGGGATGGAGTGGTGTGAGTTGCGGGGAGAGATATTAATTAAGGGGAGGGCGCTGCGTGAGATGAGTAGCGGCCAACCCAATTTTGGAGGGCATAGTGAGGAAATGCGGTCTTGTGTTGGCAAAATATTTCCACTCGGCGAACCACTGATGCAATTAGTGTATCCTGAAAGCCTAGAACAGAAACAGGAATGGTGTTGGAGAAACCTTATTCAAGGGGTTTAACGGCATTACCACGGAAGCGAAATGTAGGGATTAGACAATGATAGAGGATCAAGGCAGTTGAAATTCCTAGCGCTTGAAATGTGGCTACAGTTAGGTTGCAAGGCACCAACCTCGATGGTTGAGACCGTGGACTCACGGGTCGGAGATCCCCCAGGCTTGGACGAAAATTTTCATTTGTAAGGCATGAGGAATGAACGACATCGATCCTCACAACATGCTGATAGGAAGCCACTTTGAACCTCCTGGTACATGGCCAATTCTGGTTGCTGGGTGTCTTGGTTTAATCGTGCCCAGTGTTTATCGGTGACATTGCTCGCCTATCAACGCCTAGAGAAAAACAAAAATACTAGACCCAGCCAGAAGATGTGGGATTAAGGCGAATTCAAGTGAATGCAGAGTGAACCACACCCAACATTGTCCGAACCTGTCCAACCCAGGCTGTCAAAGACCAGCAGCTGGGCAATCCTAGAGAACCCCTGGCCTTGTGGAAAGAAAAAGAGAATGCCGCCCTAGGTCCTGTGATTGTTGTATACTGCACTGCCTTGTGCGCTTATTGCGACTTCTTCCCCTTCGCCTTCGAGAAGTAGCTATTGTGCAGCGTTAGTATCGTCGTAGTCCAAGACGGAAATAGCTCGAGGCGGGAAAACGAGGGGCGCTCACTTGGCAAATACACCTTCAACCGCACCGACCGCTCCAATCACACCAAGACCGATGCCCGCCTCCTTCCAGCCGAACCGGCCACGATCATACAGCCCCCAAGCCTTGAAACCCAACCACCCACTCAGACCGACAACGGCCACAATATTCGCCACCGCAATTGCACCCGCCGAGCCGCCTTCCGACACCGTCTGGAACTGCTTCGTCAACCAGCCGCGGGCCTGGCTAGCCTTACTAGCCGCGGCCTTCTTCTTAGCGGCCAGCTCTTGCTCGGCCCGCTCGCGGGCAGCCTCCTCGTCCCGGGCCTGCTGCTCCTCTTCGCGCTCAATACGGGCGGCCTGGGTTTCGGTCTGAATTTCCTGAGACTCGAAGTCGGACGGCACCGTGTGCACGGATGGGGTATCAACGTCGATGAGCGAGGCGGTCGAGGACGCCGTGGTCGGATCGATTTGCGGGGGTTGCGGGGCGGCGGCCTGACAGCTGTTAGTCTTGTATATTCCGCATATCCAACTCGGCCAAACGCCGGCCATGAGCGACAACGTACCTCCTCCGGAGACTGCTTGGGGCCTTTGGACGCAACTTCGGCGTAGGAGGACACTGCACGGGGAGTTAGTCAATCGTGGCTGCAAACCGCAAACCGCAAAACATCGATGTTATGCTAGCGCAGATGGGGGCACAGGCCGGTAAAACGCACACCCGAGCGCGGGGCAGGGACATGAAAAAAAACCTACTCTTGTTTTCACTGGTGAAAATATAAATTGTAGGAGAGAATATCCTTTGTGACGTCTGTGACTGGGAATGACGAAGCACAGTCGACGTAGAAATGAAGTTGTGCGGTTGGGTGGGGTTGGAACTAAATCTCTGTGCCCCGTTTCAATCGATCGATGATGGTGTTCCAGATAAACTCAAGGCCGTGCGGTGTGCGGTGTCGGGCAACCGTGATAGCGGGACAGGATTGGGCAAATGGGAAGGGCACAACGCTGGGCCGGAACTGGGCTTGGAGCTGCAGGTGCTTGGGCTTGCGTGCAGCAAAACGTGCGGGCAGCAGGAACAACAAATAGGCCGCGCCGGGTACATGTGATATGGAGACTCGATGGGTGCCCAAAAACCGGGCAGGAGGAATGGGCAACCACGCTCTTGTCTTGGCTAAGGTCTTGGGGGTTCTGGCCTCAGAATTGGACCACTGAACTACACCATCATGCCCGCCTTGCCCGCCAAAAAGCTGTTGGGTCTTCCTGCTTCTGTTCGTCCAAGGGCGGGGCATAATTCCTTGGGCGAAAAAAGGTGCAAGAGCAGCTGGCCATGACGTCTGCGGCTCCGCTAGTTTCACAGGGGGGGCATGCTAAGCGGGGCGCTAAAAACGCCAGAGCATCGTGTGTTCCAGATTATCTAAGAAGTTAAAACCGAAATCGGGTGCGTCGAGAGCTTATTTGCAGCTCCTGGGACAGTTGTTGGTTGGTTGGGCGCCATTCCAGGGATGTGCCGTCCACAAATCATCTTCAGGTCCAGCTAAGGCGACCAGGCAGTTGTACGTCCCGGAGCCTTTAAGGATGTACACCAGAGGGACGTATCGGAATGTAGGCAAAACAGAGGAGCTTGGGGGCGCGAAACCACCACAGCATATAGCCACAGTCTAATCACCTTTATTTTCCACCGTATACAAGGTACATCTGGGTCATACACCGCGCTCATCCGCCGTCTCTATCCGTGTGCAAATAAAATGGTGTTGTACAGTTGGCGTTGATCGTGCTTTAGACTAACTGGCCGAATCTATTGCCCCCCCTTCTTTTTCTCTTTGTTCGCGTCCGTGGCATCGACCGCCTCCTTAGGGATCACCTCAGCGCCTCCCTTAGCTGGTGGTGCTACCTCCTTTTCGGCATCAGCGTCTTTTATCACGTCTTTGGTGGGCGCGTCCGAAGCACCAGCTTCCTCGTCGTCGTCGGCTAGCTCGGCGCCGTAGATATCGGGATACTTCCGGAAGCAGTCCTGCATGTGTCTAGAACGAGTTAGCCGCTATGTCATATCCGAACCGTTGATTCACTTCTTCCTCATTCCGCCACATACTGGAACTTGTCAATGCAATCCATGCCCTTGGGCTCCTCCTTGGAATACACAAAGCAGCTGAACGCCGCCTTGAACTCCTCCCCACACGGCCCATCCGCCATGCCGCCGAGACACGGGCAATCCCAGTTAATTTCACCCGTCTCAGGGTCGAAAGCGCCCTGATGCCTAGCTTCGTGTTCAAGGGCCTCGGGCGAGCCGGGCTCCAGCGCTCCCGCTCCGACCGTGGCCGCGTCTGTTGGTCCGGATTTTCCAGATTTTTCCTCATCCTTGCCCTCGACAGAGCCTAGAGTTTTGTCGGCTTCCTCGGGTTTCCCTTCGATCGCCTTGGGCTTTGGTTCCTTCTTCGGTGGCGGGATAGCGGCCGCGGCTTGGCGGCGCTTCTCTTGGATCAAGGCATCAACGGTGGGAAGGTCGGCATCAGAAAAATGGGGGGGTGCTGGCCCGACGTGTGCTTCGGGATGATCATGTTAGCATGGTCCTGAGATTATCGAAACAGAAAACGGGGTGGTTCAAAGGTACAGGCTTCCTCATCGGCGAAGATGGGACTGGTATTGTAGAAGTAGACGGCGCCGCCTGCAAGGCCCCATCGTAAAAAGGTGCCTTTCCATGTCCCCCTCTTCCTTTTCGGCGGGGGCGGAGGAACGGTGGAAACGTAGCGCCGGGACCCGGACGCGAGGGTTGGTCGGGCAGCGCGCAGTGCGCTCGGCCCTGCGGTCCGAAGGGCTGTGCGGTACATTTTTTTCGCCGGCCTTGGGGACTAAAAGAATGGTATTAGAACAGCAAAAGAAACGGAAGACGGAAACAAAATCGGGAGGCAGTGTAGAGAACGAAGGTGGCCGCCGCGACCCTCCCGAACGTTTGTAAGCAGGTCCGGCTCCTCACAACGAATGCGCCAAAATTTTGGAAGCCATCGCGGCCAGACCGGGAATTTCCCGGATGGATCGGATTGACCAATGGCGGTGCTCAAGGACCCACTTCTGTGTCCCGCTGGGGATCTCAGGAGCTCACAGCACACAAACCGAACAACCAAGAAGGAAACAACACACACAAGAACACACTAACCACGCAAGCCATGGTCGCCATGGTATCGCCATGGTACCAAAGCGGTGCCATAGTCCACCATGTGTACGTACCAACCCCTTTGCTTGCGATCAATGGCTTCATCTGCTCGAAATCAGGGCTTAAAATCTCATGTGCGTAATTCATGATCACCCCTCCAAAGGTCTCCCTTCCAAGAGATCGATATAATCATCGTGTTCCTGTTCTCCTAAGCTGCGCTAAACTAGTATCATGCTGTGGTATCGCAATTTTGCTCTTCGCTAAAGCTCCATGGCAACCATATCGCTGACCCAAACATTTTGCCCAACATTGTCCGATACATTTCCCGGAGCACATCATTAGTACCCACCACCCAAAGGTCCACGCCCATAACGCCGGGCTCTCTCCAACTGTGCTCGCCTGGTAACTGGCCCGGAGTCCCCATAAACAGCCACCGACTCAAAGCCGCCTACTGTCTCCTCGCTGGTGGGGAGGGGTCTGCCGCCAACACTCTCCTGAGACTCTGCATCATGGGAGAGTGACTCTACAGCGCTCATCCCCGATCTTGTTAGCGATGCCGCGTTCCCAGTCCGCAGCATTCCTCCGGACGAGACGGACGCGACCGCCCTCGATGTCGCTGATACTTGGTTCTGTCGCGTCGCTGTGGTCGGGGGGCTGTCTTGCGGCTGCATATGCCGCATGTCGGTAATTTGCTCTCGGTCGGTGGAAGGCCCGTGGTTATCGGGCAACGGGTGCCAAGCCGCGGTGGATTGCATCGGCCGTGGGTCTGGGTTCCCCGTCAACCCGAGTTCGGGTGCGTGGACTTCTGGATTCCCTCCCTGCCAGCGGGCTTCCGGTATTTCGGGTTGGTATGGTGAAAATACACTGGGGGCCATCAGGAACGTTGATCGGGGCTCATGATGCTGCACCCCATCCCGCGCGTCCTCGCGCGTCTCTAGGGTGCTGTGGTACTCCGGTGGGTTGCCGGTATCATCGTCGCGATCTTCGCCTTCCTCGTTACTGTCGTCCTCGTTGTCGCTCCCAACGAGGGCATACCCCTCGGCAAGTCCTTCTCCCGCATCGTCGAACAACCCCCCATTATCGTCCCCGAAGTCATCGTCGCTTTCGCTCTCCGGCGATGTGGTACTGCTTTGCGGGCTATCGACCACTACCCAGCCGTGGTCGATAGGCGGCGCGGGTTCTCGCCCCCGCCCAAACACCCAGGCCCTCACCCTGTTCACAGCCGTGGCCGTTGCCGTGATAGTGGCTGAGGCCGTGGCGAGGGCTCCTCGAACTTGTCGCGCCCCCTGGAGGGCTAGGTCGTCGAGTTCACCCGCATGACCTGCTGTTGCTGCGATGGTGGCTGACGCCGTAGCAAGGGCGCCTTGAACTTGTCGCGCCCCCCGGACGGCTAGGTGGGTGAGTTCACCCATCCGGCCTGCTCCCCAGACGGACACTCGCAGCAAGGTTGCGATGACATCGGTTGCTTCGTTCCGGTAGCGTAGCATGGTGGTGGCTATGATGGATGATGTTGCAGCAAAGGGGAAACTCTGCGGAGCTAACGAGGAAGGAAGTCAAGAAATATATTCCTAGATAAAGGAGGTCTTCCACTACATCAACCTGGTGTCACTCGCAGCTTGCATCCGACGCATGTAAGTACGCTAAGCGCAGGTTCCGTCACCACTGCGAAATGTCCAGCACTGCGTGGGCGGACATACGGGATACAGCAGGCATACGCAGTAGAATGTGCGCTGTTGGACCTTTCATCTTCTTAACAAATACCCTCCACTCCGTAATTGTGGCGATGGCTTTTTCTCAGTGTTGCATGAGCTGCTTGCGTCGGCTTCACCTACACGCCTTGTACATACATGTGTGGACAGACCGCTCAGACCGCTGGTGGATAGCGTCGTCCCCGAGCCCCACTTTGACAACATGATTGTTGAGTCAAAAGCGCTCAAAGAGAGCGAAAGAGCAAACTGTCGCATCATTTCCAAGGATTCAATTACCGTATCATCCACTTTTCTTTGCATCAGTAACATGGAATCGGTGATGACTTACTGGGATCCCGCCAGGATCCTTGGGCGTTCCGCAGAGCACGACGGACCACGCTCAGACTCGGACAAGTTTGCGCTCGTCGTGCTGAACCAACCACTACACCACCTCAAAATTACACGAGTATTATGGGATAATGGTGTGTTTCCTGTTGTAGCTACCACATAGAGACAAAATTTAGCCGTAATAAGAAGAAGCTGACAGCCCAAAGCACACGTTCGAGTTGCTGCAGATGGCGGGGCCAACGCTTTGTATGAAGCAGCCGGAAAGCATGGGGATTTGTCCTTTGTAGGTGTTCTTCATCTGCAACATGCTTCTGCAACCGAACATCACTCACTGACTCACTGACTCACTGACATACACACAGGATGGCCTCGCTGCCATCGTAGGCGATCTGGACAGCCTCACCACAGAAACACAGTCCTACTACGAATCGAGATCCGCAAAATCAGCATCCAACCCCTTAACACAAGTCATCCATGAACCCGATCAGGAGTCTACAGATTTCTTCAAAGCCGTAGCCTATGTGCGGAAACATTACCATCACTCGAGCGGCAACGACGATGCAAACCCTTGCCGTCCTCTCGATATTGTCGCCATCGGTGGTCTCGGTGGTCGTGTCGACCAGGGTCTAAGCCAGCTGCACCACCTGTACCTGTTCCAGCCACCCAAGCGCGAGTATGCGGATGGCCGCGTGTACTTATTCAGTGGGGAAAGCCTGACATTCCTGCTGCACCCGGGCGAACATCGCATTCGTGTGCGGAGCCCACTTCAAGGAGGCGAGAAGGATGTTTTTGGGAAACACGTCGGCATTGTACCAATTGGGACGACAAGCCGGATCACAACAAGAGGATTGGAATGGGATGTGACGGATTGGGAGACACGCTTTGGCGGGCGAATTAGCACAAGTAACCATGTCCTACCAGAAACGGAGGTCGTGGAGGTGCAGACGACGAAAGAGGTGTTGTTTACCATTGCGCTGAAGCAATAGGATGAAATATTTGTGGGTGTTAATGGTCATTTTAGACATGTGCAAACGCAGCTGTATCACCAGCCGCATAGAATTTAAATTGAACTCCAAGAAACGAGCCCGCCGCCTGACGCCCCAACTCCGCGCTGGATGATAGGTACACACACGGAGGAACAGAGGTCGTAGAATGATCATTCGCCAAACACACCCAACACCCCCAACAACTTGCTCCTCATCGCAAATAATGCAACACCAACCAGCAAAACAGAAAAAATACCACTACTCCCCCTCCAAATATCCACTTGTCCTCCTTCGCCCGTCTCTCAACCATCCGGATCGTATCCCCTGAAATCCCCAGCGTGTTCCCGACGGAGTACAGCCGTCGCTGCGTCGACTTCAGCATCTCCCGCTGCTGGCTTAGGTCCCCCAGCACCGCCTGCCCACGTGCCAGATACTCGTCCAGCGCCGAGTGTGTGTTGGCGAAAAATGCCTGCTCCCGCAGTGCGTGGCTCTCCCGCGTGGCGTCCCCGCTGCCCATTCCCAACCCACCACTACCGCTACCGCTCCCGGCCTCCGCGATGCTGGTCGTCCGCGCGTGGCCTCTCCCAGCTCCGCTTCCGCTTCCGCCCCCATACCCAGACGCTGTCGAGTTGGCGTACGGGTTCTCTGGCGTTGCCCCGCCGTCCCCCGCATACCCCCTCCTCCCAAATAATTCTGCGCGGGTCTCTACTAACACGCTCTCTTCACGCGCAGCCTTGAGTGCATCCACCTGCGACCGAAACCCGGAGAGTTCTGCCCGGAAATCGCGGATGCGCTCGAAGGCCTTCTCTTGCTTGGTTGTGTTGAGTTCTTGTTTTGCGAGCGCGTTGTACTCATCGATGGTCCGTTGAAAGGCGGTTAGGGAGGCTGTGAGAGAGCCTAACGCGGCTGGGGTCGGGATTTGGTTGGGCTGTTGAGAGGGTGAGGACAGGGTGGAGAGGTCTTTGCGGATGGTTGTGCGCTGTTTGAGCGCCGAGTTGAAGGTTGTGTTCTGCACGAGAGGGGTTAGCTAGTTGTTGGTCTACAGAGACGGGGAGCGGGCTGACCATTTTAAGCGTGCAGGATGTATCGCGCCCAACTTAAGGATGTCGATATCGATCCGCCGTTGGAACAAGTAGGAGCAACCTTCGATCTAGTTTCTTCCTCGTGGTGGGCGCCGCGCTGTGCTATCTTTGCGAAGTTGAGGAATCAGAGAAGTCGACTCGATGCGGTCATGGCTGCGCTGCAAGCTGGCATTTGCATCTGTGACCCACTATAATTAACTAACGTTCAGGGTCGAAAGTCCAGGCCTCAAAAAAACCGGGGTTTTCGCCAAGACCGACATGAGAGTGGGGCTCGTTCGTCCCAGCCGTGACGAGTCGCCGGGAGTATGGAGCATCAAAGTCAACATCATCGTCCCCTGAAATTACCAACGCCTACATATTCATATGTTGATTTGCCCACCTGAACCCGGTTGACATCTCAAAAAACCGTTGAGTATTAAGAATATGACGGGTCATCAAGCCCATTACTCCCTGGGAGTAGTATTCGCCCGGGAATGAATTGTTTGTGGAACACCACTTCAAAAATACATAAAATCGGTAAGGTATGTATCCAACAAGGTATCACCGTCTCTAACCAAATAAGCCCAGCCTTCACTGCTTAACGCGTCTTCACCTTGCGATATCGAATAACCTCGTCCCCATCCTCACCAATCACCCGCTCCGACACAATTTTATGGCCCCTGACCGCTGGCCAGAACTTGGTCCAGAGCGTCCAGTAGATACCGCCAAGGATCAAAACACCAACGCCGACCACGGGGAAAACGTAGTACGGATACCCATCGGCCCACACGTCACCACTCGCGGGCGGGATGAAGGGCACAATGGCCAGGAAGGCATTGCAGAGCAAAAATATGATCGTCACCGGCAAAAAGGTGCGCCACCCGGGGTTCCAGGGCTCGCGTTTTTGGTATTGCAGGTAGATGAGACCCGCAGCGACAAAGCTGTTGATCCAGGCGCCAGGGTAGGTGTATAGGTTAACGATGAAGTTGTAGGCCGGTCCGGGGGGAGGGGCGAGGAGGACAATGATAGTCACGATCCAGTGGAGGAAGAGCTGTAACCTTGTTAGTTGCTTGCTTTCCGGGGGCTGTTCATGATTTCGCGACAACTTACCGCAGCAGCAGGCGAGTTAAACGGTTTGTTCGATCCCCAAAACCGGCTCCCCGGCAGCAGACCCTCCTTGCCTAGCTCCTGGTTCAAGCGGGCATGCGCAAAACTCACAGCCAACACATTCCCCAGGTTGCTAAGCGCTACAAATGCCGGAAGACTCCGAGCACCGGCGCTATCGCCAAAGACGTTCTTGAAGAACAGACCAGCGACAATGACTTCTGAGGTAGCCAAGTCTGACTTGGGGATCGCCGCAAAGTACGCCACGTTGGCCAGGACGTACAAAATCGTCACGCCACCGACAGCAAGGGGCGCGGCGATGGTCAGTGTGCGCCGAGGGTCCTTGATCTCGCTCAGGACGTAATTGGCGTTCTCCCAGCCCTTGTAGCTGTAGACAATGTTAAGCAGCGCGTTGGAGTACGCATACGCACCGCCGCCACCGTATCCCTCGCCGCTCTCGATCGCGAAAGCGTTCTCGAAGTTGCGCGGGTCAGGTACCAGCCTATGGCCAGCCAACGCCGCGAACCCAGAGAACACAATAAACACCAGGACCGCGACCTTGAACACGCCGAGCACATTGAACAGCCGGATGCCCCACTTAGGCGCTACAGTGTGCAAGACGACCGCAAAGGTTGCGCAGGCGACACCGACACCACGCGCCTTGTAGCTGTCCTGGAGCTCGCCGCCGGCGGCGTAGAGGATGTAGCGTCCGAAAGCCAGGGAATTGCCGGACGAAAACCCGAGGAGGATCATCTGCGAGGCGAGCACGCATGTTGCAAGGTACTTGGGGTGGCGGTAGATGTGTTCGAGGTAATTCTTTTCGCCGCCAGAGCGGGGGATAGCGAGACCGAATTCGAGCCAGACACTGAGACCGCAGAACGTGAGGAAGCCGCCTAGATACATCATCAGTACACCCAACTCATCTTCGATGATATGGAACATGGGCTGGGGCCCGGGAGCGTACCAATGACCCACAGAAACAAGCACACGCCGACGGACCCCGTCGCAGCAAAGATGCTCGAGGGGGTCGAAAAGATACCCGTGCCGATCATCTTGTTCAAGATCAAAAACACGGCGCCTGTGATCCCCAGCTTACGCGAGTCGTCGTACGCGTACTTGCTCTCCTGCTTGACCTCGCCCACCTCGATGTCTTCGTCGGTGTGGTTGGCATGGTCTTTGATGGCCGCTTCGGGGGCCGCTTCTGCCCCCTCGTTTGAGGAGAGATTGAGTATTCCCATGATGGCGGTGGTGGTGGTGGTGCCTCTGTTGTCTCACTGGCTCTCAAGCCAGCCAGGGCCACACTTTGCAGGTGGAAGTGGAGGGAGGGGAAGAAGTGTTGAGAAACGGTTCACCTTGGACAGGTTGCAGCGCACGGCCGCCGATCTTATACGATTTACTGTCACCATCCTGCAACTCCTTCGGCCGTCACTATCCAGTCCACAGCGGCACGCGATTTAAGGTTCGGGGCCGACCCCCAGTGACCTTGCAGCGTTCCCACTTGCCTAATGTGACGTGACACGGACGATGCACTGGCGCCATCGATGGCAAATTCGCATGGGATGGCTGTTTCTGCTCTGGGCATTCCCAGGGTGCGTCGTGCAGAAGACTACATAGTAGTGCACACGACTACCTAGAGTCGGTATCGACATACTTGTGATTTGGCACATCAGGCCGCGCCGCACCGAACCCTAGCGCCACGAGGGGACCCGACTCATGGAGAGACTTCCCCTTTCAGGTTTCGATGACTTTTTTTTTTCGTTTCTCCTTCCATCCTTCTCTGACGAAATCCCCCGTTCTAGGAAGCTGGTCCGATGCCCTGATTGGAGACCTAGAGAGCCAGTTTCACCAAGTTGACATGGTTCACCGCAGGTCGGAATTTTCACGGGCCTTTTTAACAAGATTCGGTAAACGAAGCTGGACAAACTAGGGGTTGCCGTTGGGCCAGGCGCTCGTAGGCTCAGATGCTTACAAGAATTGTCGGCAGTCCTCCTGCAAAGCCGACAGCAGGTCGTGGTGAATGGGGTTTTGCGAGTTGCAAAGGCTCCAGATGGGGAAGGTCGTCAGCAGACTCGCTGGGCATCCATAAACCTGCCGAATCCCCCGATGTCGTGCTCCGGGCCAAGAATTACGGCAGAACCAATGCTCAAAATTTGACCGTTGCCCGCTGCAGCAGGGGCATTTGGACCTCAACCCATTGCCTGAGAAGAAACAACCACCTTGTCAGAAGCCCATGTGGTGGCACTGGTTCTCGAACGTTTCTCAGAAATTCTGCGGGGTACAGAGTTTTCGCTCGTTTTTCCCCTGCCACATAGGTACTCTAACTAGTACAGCGCGGGCTTCGCACTTCTGTAACTCGCGAATGCGGTTTACGGCGGATCAATGCGTGGAAGGGAAAATGGAGCGGGAGACCCCCACGCCAAAACTCTCGCCTCTGGTACTAAAAACGGCACGGGTTCCTTTTTCGTGACAGGAGCTCCCTCAATAGTAGACACCACCATCGTGGCATAACCAATCCCGACAAATTCACCCGTCGAACGCGCCAAGGTACTCGGGCATCTTGTCATCCTCGATACTGCTGGCGTCATGGCCGTTGGGCTTGTTGGAACGGTCAGCTTCGGCTGTTCCGGGCGCCCGGAGTTGACGAACAGCCGCTGCCTATGTAACTGCTCCCACCCGGGCACCCCGTGGCGGCCGGCTGATGGTTAAAAGGGCCGGTAACTATTTATTGACATTCAAGTTCCGACCGAGTTGCCTCGGTTGCCTCGTTTCGTTGGCGACTGCTCCTGCAGCTTGTTCGGAAGAATCTTTCGGCCGGCCGTTCCTCAGCTTGGACTGAATCCAAAGGCGAATGTCAAATTTGCGTGTTCAATCAGATGAATTTGGAGGGTTCCAAATCCAGAAAGCGGGGCAGATCCCAGTGTTGAGCAACCTGCCAGCATCTTGAGGCGGCCACACGGCTCCAAGGGCTGGACTGATTTCGAGCTGATGTCATCCAGCGTGAACCGGCCATTTTTTTGAGCCTCGGCCCACCTGCGAGAGAACGGGACGTTGAAAAAGAAAGAACCTAAAGAAGTAAGTTGACTAAAACGTGAACTACACTAATTAACGGGTTCTGACCTGAGAAGGGACGGCCCGCAATTCAATGACACCACATATCGAGCGCCTTGTCCGGCATTCCCAAGCTCCCAAGAACCGCCTGTCGTCTCGTTTGTTTGCCCAAGGCAGTTTCGTCCTTCCCTTGCGAGTTTTTTGGTTTTTGTGTTTGAGCCTCCCAGCCCAAGCAGGTTTGACCTTGATGTGTTTTTCTCCTTGTCTCGGGTTCGGTATCCGCCCCACCGCCAATCGAGTCAGGATCGCCTGAGAAAACTGTGTGATCGGGTAGCCCCTTGGCTTTGGTACCACTTCAAATGTTACCAGTCGTTGCCGTTCGACGATGCTGTCTGCATCTTGAACGACCAAGGCGGTGGTTAAAAACAAACAAGCCCTCGCCCCAACGGTGCCTCAACGCGTCAAAGAGCAGGATACCACGTGACTTCGCGTCGGGGGTTTGGTGGGGCAGGGTTGGCTGGTCCAAGCGTCCCCTGCGAGGACCTGACCTGAACGGGATCCGGACAGTTGCACCTGCACACCATGGCAGCCGGCACGTCCGAGTCGTCACTTGACGGGCCGTCCGCCCGCGGCACGGATGGGACAGACAGCGTTGAAGGTTACATGCCCGGTTGTTGCCGAACGCGTTGGGTTTCCCGCCGAGTGTTCATTCCGACGCCGGGTGTTGGGATCAAAGTGATCGTTTAGATTCCTCGTCCTCGCGAATTTCAGGTGGCGCAGGTCGCACACTTTCTTCCAGATTCCCGTGCCACTTCCCGACTCCAAACAGCGTATCGTGTCCAGTATTCGTACATACAAAGTCAAGAAACAACACGGCATTACTATGTACATTCCCAGATCACGGGCACCTTGTCAAAACTCTTGTGGATTGCAGGTGGCGGAACACAAGGGCCGCGTGGCTCGCTCTTCAGCGCCGTCGGTGGAAAGAAAGGTGGGGCCTCATGGCCTGTTCCAGGGCTCAGCGTTGTGTCCAATCCTTCCATGTCAGAGCACAGCACGGTCTCTGGCAGGTCCCAGTTGTCTGACCCGCTGAATCGCTTGCTGGGCCGCGGCGGCGTCGCGCGAACCGCGTAACCAACTGACCCCCTCGAGACACGCTGCACGGCGCACCACCAATTCGCCAAATCTCGCACCTTGCTTGTCGCGATCTCGCCTTCCCCTCCACCAATCGGCACCCCCACCACAATATCTCACATCCCACCTTTTTTTGGCCCTTCTCTCTGGCGACGCACTTGCACATCCGAATACTGTGTCCCCCAAACACTGCTCGTGCCATGGCAGGCCCGGAATCGACCAGCATTCCGCACCCGCATCTACTTGACCCACATCCCGGACCCGGCGATCGAGGGTCGTCAACAATCCCCCACGCTTCTTCCTCGGACGGAACGGGAATCGGCTCCTCGTCTACCGCCATGAGCCAATTCGGCATCACGCCAGCAGCTCCCGTGTTTGACACGCGCACTCTAGTCCCGGACGACGCGACGACGCGCGCCGGGCCGGGTGTGAACACTTCGAGCGGCAATTTCACGAAACACGACCATCCCCTCGCTTCGGGTCCCAGCGACTCGTCCCAGCCAACCAATTATCCTACCTCCTCTGCGCCGGAACGCCGCCTCCACCCGAGCGACACCACCAGCTATCCTCCGCAACAACTCGCAAACCTGCACTCGCTCGCTCTCTCGCGGAGCAATTCCCAAGGCACGGCTTCTACCAACGGCGCCGACCCCGTATTTACCCCGCCTACTAGCGGCGGAAGGTTGAGCCCCGGCACCGGCAGTGCCCACGGCTCCAGTCAAGACTCTTCCTCACAGCTTCACCAGCTCTCCCAGATTGCAGCCGCCCAGGCGAGGATACCCGAAGACGCGACCGCCGACATGGCCGACATGACCCAGGGCGCGTCCAGGAAACGGATGGCCGACGGCGTGGTCAAGCACGCGCGCTCCAAGTCGAACGTCTCGCCAGGGCAAGCGATCGGTCATTCGAGGAACACGAGCACCGTTAGTGTGGCCTCGACGGCTGGCAGCCGTATTGGAGAGGTATCGTGCGAATCCAGAACAACGACAGCAAATGTGGGCTCCGCTAACATACAATCTCAGCTCTCGGCAGAGTTGCGAGCGCGTTTGTCGTACGCAATGGTCAAGGTCAACCACGGATGGCAGTCACACACCATTGACCAAGTCGAGACCTTGGCCTCTCAGGCCGCGTCGCCCGTGTCATCATCTTCGACAGTTCACCTGCGTAACGGCTCCTCGACGAGTCCCCGGCTCTCCGCCGGGTCACACCGGGGCAGCAACAACACGACTCCAGCGACGGGTCCACAACCTCCATACCCAGGCCGGTCAGGGGAAGCTCAGTGGAGAACCTCTCCACGGTCCACATCACGAGGGAGCTCGGCCTCTCCGGTGAAGGCCAGCCATGGCCTCGCTCCCCCAGTTTCCATCCACCCGTCACAACCCATAAACCCGCGAAGAGAATCGAACCCACGGCACATCCCAGCCTTCCTCTCTCACCACACCTCGCCACACCTGAGCACGGCTCACACCAGCCCCTACGTCGCGCCAGGGCGACCCCGAACCATATCCGACGCCATGTTACTCTCCCCGCACACTAATGTTCGCGAACAGGACGCGATAGAATCGCTCCTCTTCATGAGCAGCCCGGGTAACTCGGCCAACCTTAAGCACGCATTCCCCACCTCTTCCTCCCAGCCGCTTCCGTCCACCCACAACAATAATTCTACCCCACAACGAACAGCACTTCCCAACTCCCAGCCTCGCAAGAGTCTCCCGTCCGGCCGACCGCCGACCCACGCCCGCTCTCAGTCCCACTCCCAACCACACACGCAAAAACGCGTCGGTTTCGAGAAATCCCCGTCCACCATGGATATCGATGACCCGCCTTTTGCCGGCTCACCCATGTCCGTCTCCCGTGGCACGCCACGCCGGCGTATCAACGGCGACCACTCTCACCAATCCCCACGGACACAACCCTACTCGCACAGCCACAGTATCGGCCATACTGCCCCAACGCCCCGAATGAAACAACTGCCTGTTTCCACGGGATTGACGGTGTCGTCGAAACCGCGGCAAGCCCTGGGGGATGAGGAAATCGACCGCATGCTGGAACGGGCCGCAGCCGCAGCGGAGGGGGAGTCGGATTCAGATGGAGAGATTGAATTACCGGGAGGACGGGGGGTGGAGGGTGTGGTGAGAGTTTAGGACCGCCATTGGACTTGAAAGGCGCAATTTCGGAAAGATGTAGGAGGAGGTTTACGATGATCTTGCTAAGTGCGTTTAGGCTTAACCAGATTATGATGACGGGGGTAACGTTAATGGAACCGGACAACCTTTGAAGTTAGAACGGCCATTTTTATGTTTGATTCCGGGACGTAGTGTAAATTATTTATTGTCGACACTCGGCGCTAGGTTGGTGATATGCATGGGGAAATGGCGTTCTGGTCTGATTATTCGGGTAACTAGGACGTATATATTTACTTCTTTCATCTAGGAAGCTTCAACAACAACGCTCGTCCCTTTCCTCACTCATACGGAGCCGGTGGTTGTGCTACCATGTATGTTTCCTACCACCATGGTCCGCTCGTTTCACGTTTCCCATAGGAGGCCACTCTCAACCAAATAATATAATACGGCTACTTAAACAGGACGAAGTTAATTCCATCAATCATCAACCCTGGACGCTGAACACCTCCAAACAACCCCCAATCGCCCCTTTGGGCTCCTCTACCCACTAACTCGACCAGTACTTGGTCAAGGACACGGCCACAGCTTCCCGGAACCGGCTCTCCATCCTCTGGGTCGCGTCCAGCTCAACGGATACAGAGATAAACAGAAAGTGACACCGAAAAGAGTGGGTTAGCTTCATGCTTGGCCGCCATCGAAGCCACCCGCTGCTGTCTTGCAGACTCGCAGTGCGAGGGAAGAGCTCGGGTTCTTTAACGCCGCTTTCGTTGTGATGTGCGGGACATTCCTCGTGGGTGTTTATGGATTCAAGAGAATTGACGAGATAATGATAATTGAGAAAGCTGGTCTTATTCTCAATAAAACCCAGTTAAAGCAAGGAATCCCAAATGAAAATAAAAACAACTAATTTACAAATAAAATGCAAGCAGTGGTGGGAAACAGACAATAGCTGCCGGATGGGGAAAATATAAAATTATCATTCCTAAATTCACCCACCTAGGTAGGTGATTATGTATTAAGAACATGGCTTGGTACTCGACCTCTAAGCTGGCTCGCTGTGGCCAAAAAAAGCGGCACACTCAAACAGATAGCTCAAGTCTAATCCATTAACATTCGAAAATTTCGATTGATTCACTCTTTTTTGTCTTCGTTCACTTTTTTTTGTTTATTCTTTTTCGTCTTCTTTCACTCTTGTAGAAAACTAAGTTCTCAAGGACTTGGTCTGCCGCTTTTTTTGGCCACAGCGAGGCTGGTTACGCAACTGTGACCGAACCATGCATGTGGGAGGAGATCACTCGGGCTTGTGTCTTGTCTAATTAAAAAAGGATAGGAACTAAGGGTTTTTTGATATTCCTACGGGGTTTTAGGACGAGGAAACCCGCAGCAGAACAAGTCAATGGCAATAACCGTTTCCTTGGGGCCGCAACTGAACGGCCGCTGAATATCTTCCCGGGCTGTTTTTTTCTTTTTTTTCAGCAGATTTTGAGATCGGTGGTCTGGAATTTGGCAGACCACCTGTCCGTTCAAGGCCCCGATTGGACACAATGTTGCTTGGCATCGCATCTGGCGCCCAGCTATCGAGGCTAACCTGAAGCGGCATTGCCCTTGCAACTTCGCCCCGCCGACCATTGGACCTTGGCGTCGGCGTTTTGGGGCAAATGTTCAGCCCAGACCTCGTGTCGGAAAACGGGAGAGAACGGGAAAAAGCCATCTTCGTGTCGAGTTCGATCTCGATGCCAATCCTATCATGTATCTTCCATCGCTGCTTCCGTCCCGTCCTCCATGACGCCTGCCGGTTAGGGTACCCGCGCCAACAGTGAGCACATCGTCTCTGGGCTGTTTTGTTGGGACGACCTCCATTGGCATCGGCCACCACGATATCGCGGTAACGCCAGCTGCCGAGCATCCCGAGCGGCCAAAGGTCGACGGCCTCAGAGGTGACGGGTAGTCCGTTGAGAACCACCTCTCCCTTCCCGACGAAAAACCCTTGGGCAAGCCGCGAGCTTCCCTGCCTTATCGCCCGAATCCCGCAATGTCGTCGATCCCCCGAACATTCGCACGGTTGTTGGTCGCTGCCAGTTTCCTCCGACCAGCTTCCGCCGCGAACTCGAAGCGCGGTCTCGTGTTTACACCGAACGAGTCTACGAGAAAGGATGATCAGATATGGGTCGAGACACCAACGACGATAAAATGGTACTACAATTATCAACCTGGGCCTGACCCGACATACAAAGACATTCCCCAATCCCAACTGGAGTTTGTGCCTATGTTATGGGGCGCTCCGGATCCCACCTCCAAAACCTCCTTCCTCGACACTGTGAGGGCCATGATCGAAGACCAGGGGGTTAACATCACCAATGTACTTTCGTTCAATGAACCCGACGGGTCTTTTGCATACGGCGGGAGTGATATGGAGCCTTCTGTCGCGGCGCAGGCCTGGGTGAACAACCTTGTCCCGCTCCAAGAGATGGGTGTCCGCGTCGGGTTGCCGGCTTGCACGGGGGGTACATCTGGGATCCCATGGCTCCGCAACTTCTTGGACGAGTGTTCCAAGCTCATTAGCACCAGTGATAGCCCACGGAATTGCACTTATGACTTTGTGACGATTCATTGGTATGGAAACTTCGAAGGGCTGGCGAGCCACATGGGGGAATATTCGGCTGCGTGAGTCTAGCCCCCCCCATTTCCATCGGCTCCCAAGTCCCAGTTCGTCTAACACTTGCCTTCAGCTTCCCCAATAAGACCATGTGGATTACCGAGTACAATCTGAACGACCAGGACCTGGCGACGACTCAAACCTTTTACAATCAGTCGGCTGAGTATTTTGACCGGCTCGACTTTGTGGAGCGTTATTCCTACTTCGGAGCGTTTCGAAGTGATGTGTCGAATGTCGGTCCGAACGCGGCCATGCTCAGCAACAACGGTAGCTTGACGGATATTGGAGCCTGGTATCTCGGTCGCCCGGCCACCGGAATCGACCCCACGTCGTCAAGCAGCTTCCGCTCCATGCCCCCCATAGGAAGTGTGGGCCCACTTGTCGTCGCACTGAGCCTCATTTTGCTACTTTGAGTGCAGGGTTTCAAGTCCCCGAAACCTGTAACACTGAGTGAGTGACTGGCCTGGGGCGGTGTGCCTGACCGTTACGACCACGCCTTCTTAGAGCACGTTCCTACCGTGTGATTAGTTTGTCTAGGCCTGGGGGCGGAGAAAGGATGTCCAGCCCGCATTTTTCTTTTCAGCTATATGCTTCGGCTCTTTATATTCCCATTTATGTGTCGTTCAAGGTCGCTTCAGGACGTTGGTAGAATATGGGCGTTGGCTTCCCAGAGACGATATCTTTCATCGGGGCCCCATTTAAGGTTAGTGTCTCCAAATATGCAACTAATTATGGGTTAAGTCCGGCAAGGAAACCGTGACCATGTGTTTTGATCCCCTGGCGTAGTCAAGGTTGGTTACTTGAACCCCGAAACGGATCTCAGGTTGTTCGGATTCCATTACCCAGCACCGTCTCCGCTCCGGTCCCGCCCGGGCTGGCCGGGCCTCAATGCGGAGCTCCTCCGGCCTCATCGCATTCCGGCTAAATGCGCAGGTGGAGAGCGCTGCACTGCGGTGCACCTGACCATGCCAGTCCCCTCACTTCCTCTCATTAGGCCCCGTGTGTAAGTCAAAAGTGTGGGCAGCAACGTGCTTCTGCCCATCTTATAAATCAAAAAGCCGTCTGCCCTTGCTTATACTTTCTTTGAACTGCAGGAACCCAAGAGCCCAAAAGTCAGGACCATCTACCTGACCAACGACGACGATGCCACAAGTCCGCAACCCAATCCTGCCCGGCTTCAACGCCGACCCCTCAGTCCTTCGGGTCGGGGATGACTACTACATCGCGACTTCTACCTTCGAGTGGTATCCTGGCGTGCAAATTCACCACTCGAAGGACCTTGCAAACTGGGATCTCGCCATTCGTCCCCTTAACCGCAAGTCCCAGCTGGACATGCGCGGTGACCCGGATAGCTGCGGCATTTGGGCACCCTGCTTGACACACGACGGCGAGAAGTTCTGGCTTGTGTACACGGATGTCAAGCGGAAGGATGGTGCCTACAAGGACGCGCACAACTACATTGTCAGCGCTCCGACCATCGAAGGTCCTTGGTCTGACCCCTTCTACATCAATTCATCTGGATTCGACCCTTCCCTCTTCCACGATGACGACGGCCGGAAGTGGTTTGTCAACATGCTCTGGGATCACCGTCGCCGTCCCTTGACCTTTGCGGGGATAGCCCTTCAGGAATTCGACCCCAAGGCCGGCAAGTTGGTCGGCCCGCGCAAGAACATTTACCAGGGAACCGACTTGGGTCTCGTCGAGGGCCCTCACATGTATAAGCGCAACGGGTGGTACTACCTCCTGACGGCCGAAGGTGGCACGGGGTATGAGCACGCGGCTACGCTCTGCCGGTCACGCAACATCTGGGGCCCGTACGAGGACCATCCCCAGAAACACATCGTTACGTCCAAGGACCATCCCCACGTCGCTCTCCAACGGGCGGGCCACGGCGACATCGTTGACACACCGGATGGCCGCACTTACGTCGTCCATCTGACCGGACGACCCATCACACAGTTCCGCCGTTGTGTGCTGGGTCGTGAGACCGGTATCCAGGAAGCGTACTGGGGAGACGACGACTGGCTCTATGTCAAGAATGGTCCTGTTCCAAGCTTGTTCGTGGATTTGCCTGGTGCCCGCAATGAAGACGTGTACTGGGAGCCTAAGCGTTACACCTTCGAGTCTGGTTTGCACAAGGACTTCCAGTGGCTCCGAACACCCGAGACGGATCGCATCTTCAACACCAAGGACGGCAAGCTGACTCTCATCGGCCGTGAGGCTGTTGGATCATGGTTCGAGCAAGCCTTGGTGGCCCGGCGGCAAACACACTTCTCGTACGACGCGGAGACGGTCATTGACTTTTCGCCCACGGACGAACGGCAGTTCGCTGGTCTAACCGCCTACTATTGCCGCTTCAACTATTTCTACTTGACCGTGACGGCGCACTCCGATGGTCAACGCGAACTGTTGATCCAGGCCTCCGAGGCCTCGTGGCCTCTGGGGACCTTGACCACCCCCTTCCCAGAGGCTGTCCAGATTCCCAACGAAGGCAAGGTTCGCCTTGCCTTGACTATCCGGGGGAAAGAGTTGCAATTTTTCTACGCTTTGGAAGGGGAGGAGCTGAAGAAGATCGGCCCCGTCTACGATGCTAGCATTATTTCTGACGAGTGCGGTGGCCACCAGAAGCATGGAAGCTTTACCGGTGCGTTTGTGGGCGTTGCTGCGTCCGACATCAACGGAACGGCCGCGGAGGCTAGCTTCGATTATTTTATCTACAAGCCGGTCCATCACGAAAGCGATCGGTACGAGATTTGAGAGGGCGTTGGACACGAAACCACACTGTTCTGGGAATGTAATTAACTACCTAACTTCATCAATTTGTTTCAACAATGAGAAAATAATTGCACAATTCAAAGCGATCATATGTACCCATTCATCCTAATTAATAAATTGAACCACGAACGAACCGGGAGAGCACCTGCTATCCCTAAATTTCCCGCTGCGGTTTAACGCTTTGAAACCGGGATTAACTTGACGTTGAGAGGGAGCTTTTCCCAGAGCAGATAAATCTTTTGCTTGTTCCAGGTCTTGCTTTCGGGCATGAGTTCAAGATCAAAGTTCCAGAGCAGGCGGACCAGGATAAGGCGCATTTCCGCGTAGGCAAGACTGTCACGAATTAAGTTAGCGACTGCACAGCAAGGTGCAGAGATCTTGAGGAGCGTGGGAGACGGCGAGACGTACTTCTTCCCGATACAATTACGCGGGCCCAACAAGAATGGCTGCATCGCCGCGCGGGAATCGTTCGCATACTTGGGGTCACCTAACCACCGTTCGGGAATAAATTTGCTGGCGTCACGGAAGTTGGTCTCGCTTTGGTTAGCGGCCCATTGCGGGACCCCAACCGCTGTCTGTGTGTGCCCTCGTTGTTAGTTTACAGCGTGGGTAGTGGTGATGCTCAATGGCCGAGGTAACCAAAGTTATTTGTAAGTGAAGGGCTCTCACCTTTCCCGGCATCCAATACCCCTCGATCTCCTCCCCGTTGGGCGGGGTGCGGCGAGACAGAGCAAGAGGTACGGGGGGATCTGCCTGAATGTCAGCTACCGTATGGTACGAGGTGTCGAAAGAGACACGCGGCACAATGCAATTCTAAGACGCTGGTGCTTACACATGCGGAAGCCTTCTTCAAACACAGCGTTGGTGTAGGCGAGCCCGTTCGCGGCCAAAAGTGTGATATCGTCCTCGGTGTTGAAAGAGCTCCGAATCTCCTGGACCAATTTTCGGTACTTATCAGGATTGCTGAGGAGGTGGAACGTTGTCCCGCTCAACAAGCTCGCAGTTGTCTCGCTCCCCGCGATGATGAGGACATTTGCGTTCTCAATAATCTCTCCAGGAGTCATGCCTTTCTCATCATTGTGTCGTAGGATGTATGACATGAAATCCTCGCGAGTCACATTCCCACTTGCGAGCCTCCGTTTTGTCGTCTGTTCGACTAGTTCCCAATGTTCCTTCTGGCTGTTGATCAATCTTTTGGAAACAAACAAGGACTTGAGGAGGTTGAGTATCGGGTACCGCTGGAACGTCTCCGAGAACACGCTTAACTTGATATTGTCAAAGATCATGGCAACCCAAGGGTGGTACCCCCCGTCCTCAAGGCAGTTAAAGGACTGGCCAAAGGCGAGATCACCGATCAGGTCGAATGTGGTGAAGTTGTACCACTTGACCAAGTCGACTGCTGTGCCGGACCGGGCCTTTTCGGACAGTTTGACCAGCAACAAATCAACGTACTGCTTCATGATGTCCTCTTGACCGCGCAATGCCTGGTCGGAGAAGGCATGCGAGAGAAGTCGGCGGTGACGTCGGTGGTCCTCGTCATTGGCTAGGACAATGTGCGGGTGCCCTGATCGCGTGGTACCCCGGGTGACTGGGTCCTTGGGGAAGGATTCTTGTCCAGCGGCCCGGTGGCCGTAGATGGTTTTCCATGCCCCGGCCGAGATGAAGGACACAAAATCAGGCGTGTACCGGACCGTTGGTCCGTATTCGTCATGGAGCCGCTTGAGCTTCTGCGGCCATTCCCCGCGGAGAAGGTAGTAAAGGTATGGGAGGTCGGAGAATGCGTAGAGTTTGGGCCCTGGGACTTTGGCGAGAGGGTGGAAGAACGCAAAATACACGCCTTTCACCACAAGGAATAACACTAGGATCTGCAAGAAGTGTTAATGTCTGCACTGGGGATATTACTCGTTTGGAAATGGGGGGGGCTGTCGACCGCTCAGCCACTTACTCCTGCCGCTGAAACCCCAAGCCCAGCGAGCGAACCAAAAGTCACAAAACCCATGACTTTGTGAATACTGTTAAGTAGTCGTTAGAAATGTGATTCAAAGTCAACGGCTTGGTACCCTAAAAGATACGGTTGGATGTTTCGAAGCTGAAATGTCCAACCTTTTAAATGACGGAGGACTCTAGGAGCATTTGGTTGACCATGGCACCCCCCAGCCACAGGAAGGGTGAAGCAGGTTATAAATGCTGACTGATATTTAGAGATTGCCTAGGCGGAAGTCGAAAGTACCCCACTCAACCATGACAGGGTTTACGAGGCTCACCTATTGATTCGAGGAGAAGGTTAGCGCCTCGCTATGCCGGGTTGTTGTCGTGAGATCTAGGGTAGTAATCTTTTAGCTTTGGTTTTAGTGACTTTGGTCTGAGGAGGGTCGGTCTTTCAAGTGACTGGGGTGCTCCTTGGGGGTTTATATTCGTTTTATTCTCCGGTGATGTCTCCGCAACCTGCTTACCGTTGTTTGTCGAAGGGGAGAGGGGATGAAGCGGTTGTGGTTTATTCTTGATGAACCTCGGGCTGCTAGGTTAAAAAGGCTGTCTGGCTGCTCACCCCCGTTCCTTTGTCCACGCCGGCGCTTATATATACATAGTATCCGCCTTGTCTTTTCAAATGGGCTAATTAACAGTGGGTTTCCGGGATCTTGCGGAGTGGGCCAGCCCTACAACCGTTCAACGGTTTGAAAACCAGGTTCAAGGTATCATTGTCACGTCGCTTCCACACCTCCTGCCGCGGGCCCCCATGATCATGAATCGATGCGACTGACACCACCCAATGGTTCGACCTCAATGCGGCTCATCGGTCGGGGCCTTGGAGGAACCCGACTTGGCGAGGGGCCGCACTCCGACCGTTGTGATAATTGCCGTTTGTCCGACCGAACTTCAACGCGACAGCCCGAGGGCGAAGGTGTTGCGCACGGTTCGTTTAGACTGGCAGGCATTGATGTGACCACCTTTGGCCCTTCAACCTGAGTTGATGTCATTAATTAACCCCGCGCCTCCGAAAGAAGGAATTAATTCGTCAAGTTGAGCCGTCGTGCAATTCCGCCAGGGGCTCGGCCGGCCGGCGGATGGGGGGATTCGGAGTTTCCTCCGGGTTCTCTTCCGTCTTGTCTTTATTACTATGTTACGGTTCACTGTTGTCGCGCAGTCATCTTTCGGGAGTGGCTTGCGGCCGCGCCGAGGCTTTGCAAAACACTGCGTGGTGATAAAGAATTAACGATCACTGCGTTTCGTTGAGCATAAACTTCTCGCGCACGCAGGGATTCTGAACTGAGCGGGGCTTCCTTCCATTTCCCACTCACCGTAACGACCTTAGTTATCTCGTGAGTCGTGTTGTAGTACGTGGATGCTCCCATCCCCACTTTCCTGACAATCGTTCAGTTGAGAGTTAAACTTTCAACGAAAAATGGAAACACAGGAGTCCGCAAACCGCCCGCCCAAAAGTTCATACGAGTGGCGGCTAATCATGTGATCATGTGGGTTGAACAGCGATACACGCCAGTTCCAGACTGACAACCGCACGTTTTCCTTGGCCTTCTGTTTTGCCTGGTAGCGGATGAGGGGCTGCTTCGAAGGGTGTGATTTACCTGCAGCTTGACCACGGAGTCCGAGCTTGAAGTCATGAAATCCTGGTTGAATTGGTTGACGAGACCTTGAAGCCTTCCAGAATTCGTTAGGAAATATTGTTTTGTGCAGCTTGGCCGCAGGACATTGGGACTTCGCCAGGCGGGGGCATTCATGGATTGAAATGAGCAGAAGTACTTATTTTCGTCCGCAAAGCTTCAGCTTCAACCTCCCTCAAGTTGGTTATCTCTTTTCGTTTGACCAATCCAAAGGAATTTTACGATGGCGCTTACCAAGTTCTTGATTGGCACCGTTGGCCTCATTTTGCTTAGGATTTGTGACGCATATAATCCAACAACTCGTTCTATTTCCCATTCAACGATACTTCCTGGGACTCATGACCTTCTCCCCGAATATGATTATGTGGTTATTGGAGGCGGGACATCCGGGCTGACCGTCGCAGACAGGTTAACGGAGAATGGCAAATGTGTGTTGAGGACCCTGGTAAGAACAAGCCGGTGGTGATCAAGTCTAAACTGACGCGTTGCAGATTCTGTGTTGGTCCTCGAGCGAGGCGTGTTCCGTGAGATCCCGAAAGAGAGACTTTGATCTTTCCAGTTATTAATAATACCTAACTGGCAGAAAACACCACTTCGGTGACCTTGGTCGCGGGAGGGTTTTGGGGCCTCATTGACCCAACCCTCACCTTCAACATCTCTTCTGCGCCCCAGGAAGGTTTGAACAATCGCCGTATATCTGTCATTGGGGGGATCCTTCTCGGCGGTAGCTCTGGTGTCAACGGAATGCAAGTTGTCAGAGGGCAAAAGGAAGACTATGATAGATGGGGTGCCTATTTTGGCAACAAGTCAGACTGGAGCTGGGACGGCTTGTTACCATATTTCCGAAAGGTTTGTGTCTTGAGCCCTCCTCGGGGAAGCTGAATAGGTAGCTAACGAGTACGGTGTCAACAGGCCTGGAATTTCCATCCTCCACGTCCTGAGCTCGTGGATCAGTTTGGTATCAAGTACGACTCACAATACTGGGGCAACACATCCCACATACATGCATCTTTTCCGACCTTTTCATGGCCTGTTCTTGGTAAGTCTTTTCTCGGAGGATATTTCAAGGGACACCTGCTCATTTATTGGCAGAGATTGAAATGGCTGCGTTCGGAGACATTCCTGGCGTCAAATACCCGTCGGATTCGGGCGCCGGGGAAACCGGTGCATACTGGCATCCCGCTTCTGTTGACCCCGCCACCGTTCTCCGATCTTTTGCTAGGCCCGGTCATTGGGATGAGGTGGAACACAAGCGTTCCAACTACCACACACTAACCGGGCAGAAAGTCTTAAATATCAAGTTCCAGGGGAGGCGTGCGAGGGATGTGGTCTTTGTGCCTGCGAGTGCCACAGACAGGAGCCGCGCCTATTCTGTGAGGGCTAAAAAGGAGGTTATTTTGGCCGCCGGTTCCATTCACACGCCTCAAATCCTCCAGGCCAGCGGGATCGGCCCTGAGAAGTTGCTAAGGGACGCAGGGATTGCGCCTGTAGTTGATGCTCCTGGTGTCGGGAGTAACTTCCAGGATCAACCGTTCACGGTCGCCCCATCTTTTAATTGTACGTCAATCTATTGAATGCACATCACTGAAACTACCACCACTGACCGTTTGCTCCTCAACTCTAGTCAGTTCATTTCCCTACCACCCGGACTTTTACGATTTGCTCCTGAACCAAACCTTTATTGCTGAGGCACAAGCCCAATTCGACATCGACCGCACTGGGCCCATGTCCATTGCGTCTGGCAACTGTGGTAGCTGGATCCCGCTACAGGTTGTTACTCCTAGGCTATGGAGCGCCATAGCTAAGCGTTACGAAGAACAAGACCCCGCGGCCTATCTCCCAAAAGGCACCCACAAGACGGTTGTTGCCGGTTACAAGGCTCAGCAGAAGGCTTTGGTTAAGTCAATGAGGAGCAAAGATTCGGCCGCTCTGAACTTCTTTCTTCGTGGTGGGTATGAGGAAGGTTCAATCGTTTACCTCCATCCGACGAGCCGCGGGACTGTCCACGTCAATCGTACCGACCCTTTTTTCTCGCCACCTGTGGTGGATTATCGGGCGCTCAGTAACCCGACGGATCTTGAAGTTCTCCTTGAATTCACGCCATTTACAAGAAAGTACTTTTTGGAGACTAGGTTGAAGTCTCTAGACCCCATCGAGTTGGCTCCAGGCGCCGATGTGACCGCACCTGAGGACATTGAAGCTTGGTTGCGGAGCGTCATGGTCCCCTCTTCCTTCCACCCTATCGGAACAGCCGCCATGCTCCCCCAAAGTCTTGGAGGTGTCGTGGATCAAAACTTGCTGGTATATGGAGTGGAGGGACTCAGTGTCGTTGATGCCAGCATCATGCCCGACCTTCCGGGGTCTTACACCCAGCAAACGGTCTATGCCGTCGCGGAGAAGGTGAGCATAGTCAATACAACACGCCGCAATGCTTACAAACACTAATAAGTTGCAGGCAGCGGATCTTATTAAGAGCCGGAGATAAAAGAGTAATCACGGTCATATAATTAAGTTACGCCTTTGTAAACGTTTGATGTATTATGCACATAATGTGAGAGACGAGAATCTATAACATCGAAATAAAAGCGCTCTATGACCCAACAACGCCTAACCTTTCCAAATGAATTAATCGAAAACATCTGTGGCGTAACGATCGTTCCGAACACCCTCGTACCACTGCGCGGTTTCTTCATCGGTCACTTCGCTGCCAAGGACAATCTTGCCCATCACCTTCTTCACTTCCTCACCGACGTGCCGCGAGCCGCAGACGTATACCCGGGCGCCACTGTCCCAAAGCTTCTTGACTTCCTCCCGTTCCGCCCAGATCCGGTCTTGGACGTACTTGGACCCTTGCCCTTCCGCTTCCTCCGGCGCGACACGGCTGAAAGCCCGCCGTACGTCCACGGCGCCCAGATCCTGCCATTTATCGAATTCTTCACGATAGAGGTCGTCCATTTGTGGACCGCGGCACCCAAAGAAGAACAAAGCTGGTGCCAGCTTGGCCCCCTTGGCTAGTTGTTCGGCCCGTTCTTGAACAAAACCACGGAATGGCGCCAGCCCAGACCCAGCAGCAACGCAGACAATCGGCGTTTCTTCCCTGTCGGCTTCTTCCGGAAGACGAAACGCGGTGTGGGTGGGCCGCACGGAGACAAGCAACTTGTCGCCGGGGGAAAGAGATGAGAGGTACGATGTAGCGACTCCAGTGTATCTGCGGTCAGGGTTGGCGAGAGACGGCGCATCGAGGAGCGAATACGTGAGGGTGACTCGGTCAGGACTGTGGAGCGGTGAAGACGAGATCGAGTATTGTCGAGGGCGGATTGGTGGGAGGAGGGACAAGAATGTGCCAAAGGGAAGCGAGACAGAAGGGAATTGATCGAGCAGGTCTAGGATCGAAGCACGCTTCTGACTGATCTCGTTCGCGTACAAATCCCCGGCCAAGTCTCGAAGCTTTTGCTTCGTGCCTTCATCTTGGGCGATATCGGCGAGTTTGAGGATACCCTGGATGGAAACACATTAGCACACCGTGATCTGGGCTCTGGAGTTGAACACCAATTACTGGGCTTGACGTACTCTCTTCGTGGCTGGCTGTGACAGTTCAACGTATGAACCGAGCACATCGTAGACCGGTACGGGCGTGCCGGTAGGCAGGGCAGTCCATCGGTCGGAGCCGATGGTGATGTGGGAGTCCCAAGATATTTTAAACTGCCGCATGACGCGGTCGATGGTTTGCTTCGAGTTGATGGGGAGAACCGCCAAGTAGTCTCCGACCTTGTACGACACACCTTCCGGGAGTTGAACCTCGATATGCTTCTTGGGGAAAGCCCTCGAGTTGGTCAGGACCCTCTCCTTAAGCACAGTTGCTTCCTTGACGTCTTGCCGAAGAGTGGACGATCGAGGGCTGGAGAACTGAACGTCTAGACTTCCCGAGGCCGGTCCATCCTCCCCCTCGGTTGCCCCACTGGCTGCGCCGTATCGAGCCTCGAGACCCGGCCAAAACACATCGTCTTCCCATTGTTCAAAATCTGTGAACATGTCACCTTCGGCGACATCCGTCAACCCCATCTCACAAATAGGCGATGCACCGCGGGCCTTCATCGATTTGTCCACGGTCTTCGGCACGCGGTGGAAGGTTTGTGTCCAGTCGTGATGTCCACATCCAAAGACAGCATAGGAAACGTTTTTGAGCTCATCCGCCTTCAGGGCTTGAAGCCAATCATAGAATTTTGCAGCGTTGTCAGGCGGCTGGCCTTCGAACGATGCTGTGATGATCACGGCGGGGCGGTCTGTGGGCAGTTTATCCGTCGCTGTGTCCATGGAATCGATCAAGGTAGCGGCGTATCCGTGAGAAGCTGCGTCGGTCGCAAGACGCTGGGCTAGGCTTTCGCATGTGCCTGTGTTGGAACCGTAGAAGATGCTCATCGGCCGGGCGGGACCAGAGGAGGAGTTGGTCTGTGTCTTCCTCTTGGAGGGGCTGGACGAGCGTGGACTTGCCGCCCCATCGCCTGCAAGGCGGTGCTCGAGCTCGGTTGCGGTGAGACCGTCTCGAAGGCTGGCGCGCATGTAGAAGTCCTTGGGTTTCGTTGTTAGCGTTTGCTTGTAGTGAAGTTGATATGCGGGGTCGTCGAGGGTGAAGTCAAAGTTTTGCAGGAGCATAGCCATGACGAGGACAGCTTCCTGCCAGGCGAATGGACGGCCGATGCAAGCGCGCATGCCAGTGCCAAATGGCTTCCAGCAATCGGGGAACTCTTTTGTCAGCCGCTCGAAGCTCTCATCGAGCATGCGTTCCGGTACGAACTCCTTAGCCGAGTCTCCGTAGACAGCCGAATCCAGATGGGACTGAGCGAATAGAAGGGCAAACCGCTGGTCTTTTTGGATAGCGTATTTGCCGCCAATAATGCAGTCCTCCTTCGCCTGGCGGCTGATCATGGGGATTGTGGGGCAAAGCCGCAACGACTCGCGAAGCACAGCGGCAATGTAAGGGAGCTTTGGGGGCGAGTTAATAATCTGTACAATTTGTCGAGGAGGGTTATGTTGAGGGTGGTGTGCTTACTTGCTTAATGTGCTCGACCTTGATTGGGCCCTTGCCAATGACCCGGTCCACCTCCTCTTGGGCCTTACGGTAGGCTTCGCGGTGTTTGATCAGGAGGTAGAAGGTAAAGCTCAGAAGCCCCGATGTTGTCTCGTGCCCCGCGATCAGGAAGGTGATGAGATTGTCAATAATCGACGAGTCGCTGAGCTTCTGGCCCGTCTTCGGGTCCACGCCAACCAACATGGCAGACAAAAGGTCTTTTCTTCCTGTGGCATGCTTCCTGCGTGTGTCGAGGACGCCCTGCGCAGTCTTTCGTAGAATATCAATGTCCTCCCAGTACTTTTGTGCCGCCTGTGGGTAAAGGACCGAAGTCAGGGCCGGACGCATGGCTCGGGCCCCCGACTCGGTCAGAAAGTCTCCCATGGCGTTGATAAAAGGGTGCAGTTCATCGTGGTAGTACGAGTTGAAGCGGAAGTTCATGGTGCAGAGAGCCAGTGTGTCGAGCGTCAACCGTGTAAAGTCGTCGGTGACCATGATGGGCGTGTCGGGCCCATGCCGCGCCCACTTGAGTGACAGCTGAGCCGCAATTTCATGCATCTCGGCGAACATGCCCTGGATGGAGGCTGGCCCAAAAGCGGGCATGAGGATCCTGTGGGCAACGCCCCAGTTGGTCTCTTCTTCTCGGGCTGTGAAGAGGCCATCGTGCACACCGTTACGGATCTCGGCGAGGGCAGCAGCAACAGGCTTCCGGAACCTCGTGTCGTCGCATAGCTCATGCACCAGCGCTTGGGAGCTCTACATGTGGTTAGCAATTTCTGAACGGTGTCGCGTCCGAAGGGAGACTTACCACAACTAACGTAGAGCCGGTCGGCAGGTTCAGCCGGTAGATTTCACCTGATGTCGGTTAGCGTCAGCGGCCCGGACCGCGTTGTTTGCTCCTCGTCATTGTCTCGGGGTCCGGTCAACCAACCATATTCTTCCGCAAACCCCTGAAATGAACCGAGCGGGAATCCCCTATCGATGGCAAATGCATTGCCAACGAAAGGAAGCCCAGGGGGCGTTGGGATTGGTGTTGTTTTTACTTCGCCGTCTGCCATACTTGAGTTAAATATGGAAACAATAGCGGGAGTTGATGGTCTGTTTAATGATGGTGGGCATCAATGGCTTGGTGGGGGGTGTTGGTGTTTTATAGCGGTCAATCGACCCACCTTAACCTTTTAGAGTTGAGTTACTAAGTGCACATTCTTTTCTGAGGCACCCATAGTACGACCCGCCGCCTCCGGGCTCCATCGGCGCAGGATTCGTTTTCGTCGTCATCGCCGCAAGCTCGGTGTTCCGCTTCCAGTTCCGCTCCCAGCGTTAGGGAACAACGCAAAATCGGCCGCGGGCCGATCTGGACCCGCAGGTTTTGGATCTCGGCGCACAGGCCCAATCAGAGGTGACCCTCTTGTGGCGTCGGGATTCGGAGCGTCGCATTTGCCTGAACACCGGGCAAATTGGCCCGGTCTGAACGTGTGGGGCCTCGGTACTCGGAGAGACCGCCTGTCGGTGTTTCCCAAAGTCTCTGGTAACCCGTCAACTTTAAATCCGTTCGAAGCCGTTGGAACGGTTATTCTGACGACGAATGGATTTAAACCAACGGGTGTTTGTTTCGCTCCGGGCCCGCTCCGGACGCCTCATTCATCCGTTGTACATCTTCAACGACCTTCGTCATAATGCCGGGCGTGGGCGTTCAGTCCGGGCCCAGGGATGAGAATCGTCAATTGGCTCGCCATCTTTTCTGCAACCTACCAAACCTCGGCTCGCTTCTGGAGCTGTTACGTGCCGATGCCGTGTCCTTTATTAGCGCATCTTCGCGATGGGCTTCGGTCGGCCGAATGTCAGAATAGGCTGTGTCAACCAGGGTCTCTCGGTCTGCAAGAGAGCTGACCGGACCTGGTGAGCCTGTATCCGTATCCCGGCACGAAAGCCCCTGAGTCCCGTCTGTGAAAGAATACCCTGACCCCGGATCTTTTAAAGCGGAGGAAGCCAATGGCCAAGTGGTTACTTTATCACACTCCCTTTACATCCTCTGCATACTAGGTAATTAATAACACTGCTCGAGAGACAAACGGCGATCAGCGACCATGGATTTATTGCGGCGCTCAGACACTCTGTCGCCAGCATGGGCTGTCGAGCCTTGGCGTCGCGCTTGAGGTTCTCCCGCTTGCCCCCGCTGCGCCCCAATCTCACCGAATGTCAACAGCGTGGTCTGACTATTTTGACCGGAACTCAGCGTCTCCGCGCGCAAACTTGTTCATCTCGACGAGATACGATACCTGAGACTTGCTCCGTCAAAAATGGAAATAGTCCAGGTCCGCCGGACTCTCAGGTTTTATAACAAGGTTAAAACCGGCTGTCAAACCTGCAAGTGTGTCACCCTCACCGGGCAACAAAGAACTCGAGACTGACCCCAACACACCAGGAAACGAAAAGTAAAATGCGACGAAGGGAAGCCATATTGTAATCACTGCTTACGTACCGGTCGGCGATGTGAGGGTTACTCTAGCGTTCCGCAAGCCCCGTCTCTCCCTATTACGCGGGACCCAGACTTGCATACGAGACTGTTCGCCTCCTCGGAAGAACGGAGGAGTTTCTTCTTTTTCCAAAACAACGCTAGCAAGTCGCTCGGGGGCATTTTTAACACTTCGTTCTGGGGCCGGGAGGTCATGCAGGCGGCAATCCATTACCCCTTGGTTCGTCACCTCGTTATCGCCTTAGGCTCTGCCTACGAGACCTTTGAATCAGGAACGGTGATCCAGGACGGGTCCCTCGCTTTGCAACAACGGGCTTGCGCAATCAACCTCCTTCACAACCTCATGCAACGGCCAGATATTGCATCAGAAGGAACCACAGGCTGTATCCTCACCGCTGTCGTTCTGTTCATCTACTTGGCGTGCGTCCGTGGGCGGTACGCTGAGGCGTTTCAACACATCCGCTCCGGAGTCACGTTATTGCAGCAACTCGAAGATTCTATCCAAGAGCGCAAAAGCGTGTTGCGTGTAGGATACCCAATATCGTCATCACGGCTACGATACATGCTCAGCTCCACATATGGCCAGTTTCGTGGGATGGTGAATGACACATTCTTGGAAACCGGGTCCTACGACGTCTTGCGAACCGAGGTGAAACCAGCAGTGCTCTTCACCTCGCTCGGAGATGCTCACTCATACATCGAGAACTTGAGGAACAATGCTCTGTCTTTCCTCCAATCCTGCGAATTTCGACCAAATATTTTGACGGATGAACTTGAGTCAACGGTTGGTCGACATCGACAGCTCTGTCTGGCGCTCGAAAGCAGTCAAAACGCGTTGGATAGTTATGTACGGGGTTTGTCGGCGCACGAACATGACACGATGCAGGATGGCATCTCGATCCTGCGAGTTCATCAACTATTACTGGTAATTCGCTTGCACATCAACGTCCTCAAACCCGAGGAACGCGAGTCCTCTTACATCATCTGGGAAGGCCATTTCGAGGAGATCTTACGGCAGTGCGAGAGCGCCGTACAAAGGGAACAAGATCGAATTGATGCGGGAACTTTCAACTCCTGTTCGTCTGGGTTGGGCTACGTGATGCCACTGCACGCAGTAGCCGCTCGGTGCCGTGATCCCCAACTTAGGCACCGGGCCGCCGAGCTGCTGCTTAAGGCACCGATGCGGGATGGACTTTGGGATTCGCGGGTTATTGGGAGGATTGTTTCCAAGACCATTCAGCTCGAAGAAGGCTCGAGTGGGACGATGGGGAGCAAAGTGCGGGAGGTCAAACTTGAGGCGCTTGACGATGAGAAAGTTACACTTCAATTCATCACTGTAGATGATTGGAGGGAGGGTCGGCGAGGTCAAGAAATGGTTGTACAACTCTAGTATAATTAGGACAAAAGGACGTTGCTAATTTCAAATGAGATGGAAGGTCGCGTTTCACCTGAAGACCCATGATGTGAACTTTGTAATGTTAGGAGCCGAAGAATTAGTTAATACTGGAACCAATTGCCTTCAAGTAATTAATTAGAACGACCGTTGGTTACAGTTGGTTCCATTGAGTGACTATCAAATAATACTAGTGCCTAGGTCCATCCAGTTTGTCACTCCCGATGCGTCAAAGGCCCCAGTTTCTGGGGTACGTTTGGATCCGCTCCTTTCTTCCACCATGGAGGCAATCGAAGCATCATCTGACATTCCCATAACGACCAGTCGAAGCGCACGCCCTGCTCGAGGTGATCCCTGCCCCCTGTGTATACGAAGGTCATACCAAACTCCTTCTCATCGTTATCCTTCGGGTTATCAGTAAATCTAACCCAACAGGGCATCAATCTAAACGCCCTCGTCTCATGGTACGCCAGCCTCAGCTCGTCCTCCACAGACCGCACCAGGAACGCATGACCTGTCACGGGCTCTCCGGGCTCTCCATGAACCATGGTTTTATGATTACCCCAGCTTTTCAGGGTGTAGCCCAGGATTTTAGCATTTCGTAGTATCGGATCCTTTTCAAGGCCCAGGACTTCTTTGATTGCTGAGGGGTGAGTGTCGTAGAAGAAGTAGTAGATGGGTTTGTATTTGTACGGCGGAGGAGGTGGGTCCCGTTGGGAAAGGTAATCCGCAGGTATAGCGGCCAACTTTTCGAGGTAGACAGAACGTCGCACTCTCGTACCAGCCTGCGCCGCTGCAGACCCTTCCCCATCATATTGTGGCACGTCTTTTTTTTCCTGACATGGTGTGGTCGAAAAATGATCAGAAGGGCGCCCTGGGGATGAGGGCGTGTGGAATGACTTTTCGAGGTGTGGGTGGCCTGGCAACAGATTGAACAGAGTAACAGTAATTAATTAGAAAAGCAAGAGTGGGTAATTGATGAGGGGGTTATTTACATATCTACCAGTTGGTGCAGGATCACCCTCTACCGCGCTGGGGGAAATGCAGCAAATTGAACCAAAAAAAATGAAACACAATTGTTTGGTTTGTCTGTAGGAGCTTGAGGAGGATTAAATGTCCAATTGCCTGCTGGTTCAGCTTCCATGCCAACAGCTCTGAGAACCCCGCAAGAGGACCCACCATGTGGGTCCAGCCCCCAGTCTGTGATCTCGAGATAATTTCCTAATTACCGTAACGTATCTTATAAGCGAGTGACGCATATAAGTGAGTGACGCATATAAGTGAGTGACGCACTGATAAGGGTTGCACTGAAATTTTGCTACAGCACTAACACCTGGGATTAAACCGGGAATTAGCTCTTAGTGTGACAACTGAATGTCAGTAGAGCCCTTATCAGTGCGCCACTCGCTTATATACGTCACTCGCTTATAAGATGCGTTAACTTCGGTTCAACCTCCCTTATAGGTAATACCCCCCAAAAATCGCAAGGCAATGACTCCCACAACACCGGAAAGGCAAAACAAGAATTGATTATAAACGACAAGCTCTTCTAACTGTTTCCCACATCGTTCGTTTTCACCTCAGCTCTCGGACACGGCCACTTTTGCGATAATCTTGTCGCAAAACGCAGTCAAGCTCGCGGCGTTCATAATATCCAAGGTAGTCACAAACGCACCGAGCTGGGCGCGCACCCAGTTGCGGACCTCGACTGCGGCCAGCGAGTCGATGCCGTAGACGGATAGGGGGCGGGCTGGGTCCATGGGCTCAGCGAGTCGCAGCATGCGCACGAAGCAGCCGTTGACGACCTCGACGGTGGCTTTGAGGCGTGCGGCGGGATCGGCCGACTTGCTCTGCAGCAGGACTAGGAGCGCCTGCACGTCGGCATCGCCTCCTCCTCCTCCGACTTTGTTGCCCCCGCCCTCCTGGGCGCTGTTGAAGAGGGCTGAAAACCGGGCGTCGCCTGCGAGGAGAGAGTCGGCCGGCTGGGAAGCGATCAAGCCTGTGATGATCTGCGCATGCGCTTGGCTGGCCGTGCCGTCCTGTTGCTGGAGAAGAGAGAGACATAAAATCCTACGCAGCAGACCGTCGTTAATACCCTTGAATACGCGAGGGTCGAACTGCTCGTGAAGCTTGGAGTTCTCGGCGATGACACCGGCATCTTCGATGACGCCTAGGTCGACCGAGCAAGCAGCCTGGCCGCGGGCACGGCGGTATTCGGCAAAGGCGTCAAGGAAGGTGTTGGCGGCTGCGTAATTAGCCTGGCCGCGGTTGCCGACTACGCCCGAGATGCTGGAGAGGAGGGTGAAGAAGTCGAGCTGGAGACCGAGGGCATCGGCAGTGTTGTGCAGGTTCCAGGTGCCTTGCACCTTGCAGGCAAATGCCTCGTGGTACTCGGTGAGTGTCATCGAGTCGAACGGTCGGTCCTGTGGGTTATCTGGTCAGAGAGAGAGACGGAATCAGGGACTCAGGGACAGTGTGTCAGGTTCAACGTACCCGAAGTACCATGGCGCCTTGGATGATACCGGTAATAGGGACCTTGGTCTGGCGGAAAGCGGCGTCGACCTGTGCGGCATTGGTTACGTCGGCGGTCAGGAGATCGATGTGGGCGCCGAGAGCGGTGACCTGTTTCACGACGTAGCGGGACTTGTCGTCATTGTACCCGCTGCGCGACATGACGGCTAGGTGCTTGGCCCCTGACTTGGCCAGGTAAATGGCGAGCGAGCCGCAAAGGCCACGGAGACCTCCAACAATCAGGTAACTGCCGTCGTCTCGGAGAGTGAGTTGCTTAGGAGCTTTCCGAATCTGCAATAGCCCGGGGTGTCAGCTTTTAAAGCCAGAAAAGCGGGAGGAGAAAAGAGAGAAAGAAATGAGAAAGAAAAGAGAACTTACGGGAACTTGGATCTTGGCCTCGGCGCCCCCGTCGGATAGGACAATCTTGCCAATGTGCTTACCGGCACGCAGAAAACGGATGGCAGCCGGGATATCAGTCCACGAATAACGGTGGATGGGGTTGATGGGTTTGATATGACCCCATTCGAGGAGGGCAAAGAGCTTAGAGAAGAGGCGGGACACCAAGGCGTCCGGGGCACGCTCGGGGGAGAAGTCAACGGCGCGGAACGAGATGTTGCGGTCGAAGGGGGCCATGGGGAGGTCGTTGCGGTCGAGAATGTCTCGCTTGCCGATCTCGACCATGATGCCGTTGTCGCGTAGGATGCGGAACGACTCGGCCAACATGTCTCCCGTTAGCGAGTTGAGGACCACGTCGACGCCCTCGCCGGCCGTAGCGGCCAGGATCTGATCGCCAAAGTCGGTGTTGCGCGAGTTGAACACCCGATCGTCGCCCAGGCCGAAGATGGACCGGAGGAACTCTCTCTTCTCGGGTGTGCCGACTGTGGCAAACACGTCGGCCCCAACGGACCGCGCGAGTTGAATGGCCGCGATGCCGACGCCGCCGGCGGCCGAGTGGATGAGCACGCGCTTACCGGCAGACAACTTGCCGACGTCGAACAGCGAGTATAGGCTGGTGAGGTACACCACGGACATGGTTGCGGCCTCCTCGAATGACATGCTGTCGGGAATCCGATGCATCCTCGCGGGAGTCGTCCTCACGCGGTTGGCAAAGGTCCCTTTGCCGAACACCACAACCCTCTCTCCAACGGAATAGTTAGTCACAGCCTTGCCCACACGCCTCACAATGCCGGCGGCCTCATGGCCGAGCTGGGTTTCGTCGCCGGGCACGATGCCCATGGTGACGACAACGTCCTTGTAATTCAGCCCGGCCGCGTACAACTCGACCTCGACGGCGTCGTCGGCCAGCGTAGCGACTTCGGTCTCCGCCTCGGCAAAGTGTACCGAGTCGACATTCCCCAGGCGCTCGCACCGCAGCTGCACGAGGGTGTCGGAAGCGTGCAGGTCCGCCGTGGCCACGTTGTCGCTGCCCTGGAGCTGCGTGAGCGCTACGTCAGGGAGAACACGCGCCGTATGGAGGATGCCGTTGCGCGAGGCGAACTCGTAGTCCGTCGCGGTTGAGGGGCCCGAGGGGAGCAGGACCCTCTCTAGTACAGCTGAGAGGGCCGAAGCGGTAGCCTCAGTGGACGACGTGCTTGGGAGGTCGAGGGTCGAGAGGTGCAGCTGCTCTTCGGCGCGGATGGTACGCAGCAGGCCGACGATGGCGGCCCGTAGAGGGTGCTCGACCTCGAGCTGGGCGCCGGCGGTGAGCCACAAGAGGCGGCAGCGCCGGCCTGTGATGTGCTTGAGGATGTCCCACTGGCGTGCATCGAGGGTGTCCATGACAGGGGCGAAGAGCTCGTCGAGGACCACGACGACCGTCTCCTCGGACGTGATCTCCTCGACGGGGTTAGCTAGTGTCTTGATGTCCCACTGGTTTCTGGCCGAGACGGCGGCTAGTATGTTGGATGTAGCTTGCTCGTGCTGGGCCTGGATTTCTGACCCGAACAAGCTAACGTGGACGATGGTTGGGCGTGGCTCGCTGTCTGGTGTGGTGCCTTCCGTGGTTGCAGTCGCAGCGGCCTTGACCTGGCAGATGGTCGTGTTCTTGCCGGCGAGAGCAAAGTGCTTCCCAAGGCGGCCCAGTCCAGATTCGTCGAACCCCAAGCTGCTGGTCACGATGAAGCCGCCTTCGCGGACCGACTCGGTCAGGCTTGTCAGGAGCCCTTCCTCATCCACGCCGCCGGCCTCGGGACCGCCCTTGACAATGACCAAGTCGAACTTGGTGTCGGCCGCTACGGACGCCGGCTTGGAAGCGCTCGCGAGGTGGAATTGTGGGCTCGGTGTGCGGGAAGATAGCTGCTCCTGGGCCTGGATCAAGACCTTGGCCTCACGGACAGCGAGGTGGTACTGCGAAGCCGCGGCCCGAACCGGGTTCGGATGGCCATCGCTCGTCATCCACAGGCTGGACGCATCGGTCACGTCCAGGTTGAGCTCCAGCACATTGAGGCCAGGGGTCTTGTGTGCTACAGCGTCCACCAGGTCGGCCGCAGTCTTGGTCTGGAACCAGTCACGCGCAACAGCGTCGTCGGTCCTGGACATCAAGAGGTCGACATCAGCGTTCCACGTCAGGCGGGTGAACGTGTGGCTGGTCTTCCCGTCGTTACCGTCGTCGTTGTCGGCCGTCTGCATCTCGCCCGAGGACAAGCCACGCATCTCGAAAAGGAAGCCACCGTCGAGAGGATTGTGGACTCTGACATTGGTCGCATAGTTTCGCGGGTTCTCGGGGCTACCGACACCGAGGAAGCTCGCCGACGCAAGCGCCACGCCCTCAGCAGGGAGCTGAGGGTTATACCCCTCAATAACAATAGTATCGATCAGCTTGGGCACGAGCACCGCAGCACCCGGGCTAGGAAGGTCGCCCTTCCACAGGGCAGGCGACGCGGCCTGGAAGCAAGAGTCCATGACAGCCGGATGCAGCGGGTAGGTAGACTGTCCGCCGGGGTGCGACGGCGGAGCCTCGAGGTCGACGATCGATCGGCTCTTGCGTTGGCCGATGGTGACCTCGACCATCTTATGCTTCTGGAAATACGGGCCGAACTTGTAGCCTAGGTCTGCTAGGGCCTTATACCAGATTTGGGCAGATGTAGCCAGCTGCAGAGGGGCGACCTCCTCGGCGGTTGCCGGCGTATCCTCGTAGTCGGTCTCGACGCAGACACGGCCGGTGCTGTGCACAGGGTCAACGGGGAGGCCGTCCTGCTGCGAGCACACCTGGAATTCGAACCAGGACCTGGTCGAGCCACCCCGGATGGGGCTGAGGGACAGTGTGAGCCGGGTCTCGACAGCCTCGTCCAGCACGAGCGCACGGAGGAGCTTAACATCGCGCAGCCGGAAGCGGTGCCGGGCTGGTATCTGCTCGCTCCACTGTGTGACCATGGCGGTCTGGAACGCAGCCTCCACAGCCATAGCCACGTATGCGGCAGCCGGGAACACAATGTCGCTGCCGAGCTTGTGGTCGCGCAGCCAGGGCACGTCGGCCACACGCAGCACCTTCTTGAACAGCGGTGTCTGCCAAGGGGTGCCGGGCACCTTGGAGCCAAGGAGGTCGTGGTTGATAAACTTCTTGAACCGCCAGTCGGAGCTGGCCCGCGTCTCGTGCCAATAGCGCACCGAGTGGTCCCAAGCGTAGCCGGGGAGGTCGACAATCACCTTGGCGTTCCGCTGGCTTACCTCGTTGACAGATGCCAAGTCGACATCACCGCCCGCCAAGAACAGACGGCCGGCTGCATCGTACATGGCCAGCGTCGAGTCGGCACCGCGCTTGAGAACCGATGTGTAGGGTGTGTCTGTAGAACCTCCGATGTTCTTCTTGATTTGCCCAACGGGGCCGGCGAGAGCGTTGCTAGGGCCGAGCTCGATGAGGAAGTCGGCTCCATGGTCTGCGTCCCTGAGCAGGGCCGATGCCGCGTGGTCAAACTTGACCGGCGACACCATGTTGGTTTTCCAGTACACTGCGTCGGGCCGATCGCTTGGCGGCAGCAGGCCGCCGGTCACAGAGCTGAACATGCGCACGCCGGTGCTTGTGGTATCGATGGTGGTATTAGTGGTGTCAGGGTTAGGGTGCCGGAAGAGGTCCTCGTCCCGTAGCAGTAGCTGCTCGTACACGTCTCCGATCTCAGCCATGTAATCGGAATGGTAGGCAAGGTCGACGAGCAGCATCCTGGCAAAGTGGCCCGCCTCCTTCAGCCGGCTACAGAGCTTACCGAGCGCCGCCGCAGTGCCGGACATAGTCAGACTGCTGGGGCTGTTGTAGCACGCGATCTGGACTTTTCCCTCATCCGGGCGGAGGAAGGGCTCGACAGCGTCGGCACCGATACCGACAGCAAGCATACCGACCGGCTCGGCTTCCTTGGCCGCCGTCGTGGCCTCCTTGGCTAACTTGGCCGCCTTGCCGCGGTAGTACGCCGTCTTGATAGCATCGCCATACGTCATGAGCCCGGCCGCGGCCGCTGCGGCGATCTCACCCGACGAGTGGCCAACGACGGCAACCGGCCGGATGCCCCAGCTGTTGAGCACGTCCAGCTGTGCGAGCTGCAGCGCCGTCACCAGCGGTTGCGAGAACTCGGGCTGGCGTAGCGCCTCAGGGGTGCGGACCGCCGTTAGCTCTTCCAGGAGCGTCCAGCTGGGCGGTTCTGGGAGCGCCTGCAGCACCTCGTCGAGGTCTTCGATGGTGCGCTTGGCACGCGGAAATGAGCTGACAAGCTCGGCACCCATCTGGGGCCACTGCGCGCCCTGGCCCGTGAAAACGAAGCCGATCTTGGGCTGCGACGAGGCTTGCTTACCCGTAACGAGCGCCTCTTCGCCAATGCTGCCCTTGGGGTTAGCGGACCGCGAGACGACGAATCCGCGGTAGTAATGTCGGCTCCTCCTTTCCGATAGTGTGTACGCCAGGTCGGCCCTCTCGACAGAGACCATGGGGTTCAGGAGGTGGGACGATAGCGCTCGCGCGTTGGCCTTGAGCGATGTTTGGCTGTTAGCCGAAAGCACCAGCACCATGGGTCTGGCAAACCCGCCCTCCTTGTCATCATTGTCGTCATCGCTGTCTTCGTCATCATCGTCAAAGAAATTGGTGGTAATTTGCTTGTACGACGACACGTGGTTCAGGGCGTCGACAGAATAATAATTCTCGACAACCGCGTGGGCATTGGCACCGCCGAAACCAAACGAGTTTACGCTGGCACGGCGGATTGGTGACGACAACGGGCCACTACCCGGCCACTTGATGGACGTCCTCGTGGCCCGGACCATCGACGTCTTCCAGTCGATCTTGGGGTTCGGAGTAATAAACGTCGGGTTTCCGGGAATAATACCACGCTCGACGGCCATGATAGCCTTGAGGAGGCCCGAGATACCCGCCGCAGCCTCCGAGTGGCCAATGTTGCTCTTGATGGACCCAATCACAAGCTCCTGACCGGGCTTGCGGCCGGCCGAGAACACGGACGCTGCGCCCTGCACCTCGACAGGGTCTCCCGCAAGCGTGCCGGTGCCATGGCACTCGAGGAACTGCGTAGCAAGGAAATCGTCGATCCCGGCGTTCCTGTACGCCGTCCTCGTCACCGCGGCCTGCATGTCCGGACTAGGGTTAGCCAAGCCAGCCGTGCGGCCTGATGCGTTGGCGGCTGTGCCACGAAGCACAGCGCGGATCGGATCGCCGTCGCGGATGGCGTCATCCAAACGCTTGAGGTACACCACGTTGATGCCCTCAGCCTTGACGTAGCCGTCGCCCTTGGCGTCGAAGCTGTGGCATCGCCCTGAGCCGGACTGCGTCATGTTCATCATGCCCACCTCCTGGTTGTGCTCCGGCGTGAGCCAGAGGTTGGCGCCGCCCACGATCATGCCGTCGGCCTGGAAGCTGTCGAGGTAGCGGCACGCTACGTCCACAGAGACCAAGCTCGCCGAGCATGCTGTGTCGATCGTCATGCTGTTCAAGGGGAGGTCAGTCGAGAATCCAAACATTAACTCTAGCCTTAACCCTAACCCAAGCATCATCTACATACCTCGGGCCGTTGACGTTGAGAAAGTGGCTGACTCGGTTGCTCAGGATCGACGACGCTAACCCGATCGTGATGGAATCCGCCCGGTCTTCAGGGTCCCGGTTTTGAATCGCCCCGTAGTCTAATGTGTTGTTATGTTCATGTTAGCCCTGAACCCTTAACGGGAAGCTTGTTTGGTTTGTCTTCCCCAACCACCCTCCTCCAGAGTCTAGAAACTAGAGACGACGCACCGATAAAGTTGGTGCCAACAATGACACCCGTTGTGGTGCCGCTCAGCTTTTGGAGACTGATGCCGGCGCTTTCGAGGCACTCATACGCCACCTCGAGAATCTGACGCTGCTGCGGATCCATAGCGATGCAGTCGACCCGGCTGATGTTGAAAAACTGGCCGTCAAACTCAGCCACGTCCACGTCCTCGAGGAACATGCCGCCCGGTGACTTCATCGTCCTCGGCCGCCGAGTGCCGTCGTAGTGGCCGCCGAGACTAAATCTCGAGGCCGGTGGCTCGTTCTTAGCAACCCCACCACGCTGCAAAAACTCCCAGAGCTGCGTTGGCGAGTTGCTGTGGCCCGGCAGCCGACATCCCATGCCTACTACAGCGATGGGCACCTGCGTGCGATGGCCTGCGTCGACGGGCCCGCGCCCGGCGATAGGCACTCCGGTGAGTCCATCATCGCTCGTACACTTGCTTGTGAACGCGGAGTCTGCCGGGCTCGTGCTGCTCGTGCTGGTGAGGCTGGCCAGTGTGCTGGGAGACATGGTGCTGGTTGCTGCTCGTAGTAAAATCGAGAGTTTAGAACACCACGTGCAAAGTACAAGACTCGGGAACCAGGAGGTGGGCTGCGAGCGGGCGGTCGGCTTTGGTTCTGACTATAAATACAGGAGTGGCGGTTTGTAACACGGGTCCGTGACAAACCAAAGCCCAATCTCTGTACTCTGTGCTTTTGAATCAAAATATCAAGCCCTGAACCCTAGCCGAACGTCCTCTGGTAAAGGCCATTGGCCGCTGAGAACAAAGGGTCGAAGGCTGGCTGAGCTGCGAACCGACAGGGGACTGGGGATGATTACTTTGCAGCTTGGTAGAGTAGTAAGCTTTATTCCTACCTTTTACTTACCTTGCTCCTTGCCGCTCGCCGAGAGATAATCTGGAGATAATCTGCATGAGCCAACAACAAACGCCCAGGACTCGGTCGTCTCTGGTAAGCGACAGTTCCGTACGTTGCAACGTACCACTGCTTACATGCATGCAAAGGCTGTTTCCCCTTTTGGACCCGGCGCAATCGCAACGGGCGTCCAACGGATGGAGCAAAATACACAAAGTTATCATCGGGGCGAACAAAACCATGCCAAAATGGCAAGCACAACATTGGAACACGTTCTAAACGGCCCGCTGTCGAATCCTCTCCCGCCCTGGACTAATTCTGCTCACTCCCTCGTCTCATTCTCGCACAAGGAACCCTTGCCCAACTCTTTTCGCTGTTCTCCTCTCTTCCCCAACCACTCACCTACATACACACAAAAAAAAGGAAAAACAGGAAGACAAAAAGGTCGCCGTCATGAGAGGCAGGCAAGATGTCGAATTCCAGACGCTTGACGGGCTAACGCTCCGAGGGTGGCTGTTCCCAGCTGCCCAGAGAGGGCCCGCAATCATCATGACACCAGGGGTATGTGTGCCTATGTATATGCATAATTATGTGTACGACGAGCGAAGCGTGGACCGGGACATGGCCCCGAGAAGCGACGGACTGACAAGGCCCCCAAATAGTTCAACAACGTCAAGGAGATGATCATCTCGGAAGTCGCCGAATACTTCCACGCTGCGGGCTTCACAGTCCTTAGCTACGACCCACGCACCATGGGTGCCAGCGACGGGGAGCCGCGCAACGAGGCCCACCCGCTGCGCAACGTTGAGGACTACCACGACGCCCTCACATACCTCAAGCACCACCAGTCGCAGCTCGTTGACCCTAAGCGCATTGCTTACTGGGGCTACTCGTTCAGTGGGATGGTGGCCCTCTGTGCTGCCGCCCTCGACAAGCGGGCCAAGGCCGTCGTCGCTGTCTCACCCCTTACCATCTGGGAGTTCACCAAGTGGAAACAGGTGCTCGCCAAGTCCATGAAGGACCGCGAGTCGCGCCTGGCCGGCAACAACCCGGTGCGCCTGCCCATGTTGACCGAGGACGGCGAGCATCCCGCCGGCTTCGGCACGGGCTTCGACGTCGAGGACGTCTACAACATCATCTCGAGGGCCGCCGAGGTGCAGCCGACGTTTGTGGCCGAGACGACGCTAAGTACCTACTACCACATCGCTGCCTTTCAGCCATTTGGCTTGATGCCCCATGTCTCGCCCACCCCGGTCATGGTTGTCACGGGCGAACAAGACCTGGTCTCGCCCGCGGGCCTGCAAAAGACGCTGGTTTACGACGTATTCAAGGAGCCGAAGCAGATGCTCAGTGTTCCGGACAAGGGCCACATGAACATCTTGAGCGGGCAGGATGCGCTGAAGGTACTGGACGGCCAGATCCAATTTCTTCGCGACCATATGGGGTGAATGGAATTAAGATAGATACTAGATTGATGTGCTGATGATGGGTCGTTTGCGAAAAATAAAATAAAAAGTCAAAAATTTGTTGCAATTAATTAGTGTCCGTTATTAGACACTTTCTGTCGCATTCTTAACCTTGAATGATCTTTTTATCTATTATCTTGACTCAAACGTGTTAGGGTGACGAGATGTGACGACGAGGAAAAAACAAAAAATGAAAGCAAACTGTGCCTGCCCTTCGCCCGCTTGGCACTGGCCGGCCGGACCTTCGTGTGCAGCGTGGTTTACAGTAGCAACTAGGCTCCACTGCTCGTCGACTTGTCCATCCCGTCTGCAGCCGAAATTGTCTCCTGCAAATATACGAGACCAACTTCTTGATTACTCTTGGGGGGGCGGCCGGGGAAGGACAAACCGCGCTGTGGGGTTATGCACATTAACTTAAAGATCAACCCATAATCAACATACATCTTTCGTCGCGGTCTCTTGACCCCCCTCGGCCCTTCCCTCGGTCCCGGGGCATAATCCGCATGGAGTCCCCGATCTCGGATCCAACATTGTGAAACTAATTTTACAAAAAGCAACAAGAAGGATTCATTGCGCAATCACACCCTTCGTTAACACTGGCGCTACATCACTACAAATTCCTCCTTCCCACCCACCTACTAACTGCTCTCCGCCTCGCTACCCCCCTCCAGCAGCATACCTAAGACTGTCGGCTGTCGCAGTGCTTTTCTCTAGCAACAACTCGACCACCTCGCCAAAACCCCCCTCAACCGCGGTGTAAAGTGCCGTCTGGCCCCGCAGGTCGCAGATGGCCGGGTCCGCGCCGTAGCGCAGCAGCAGCGCTGCCAGCGACTCGTCCCCCTGAGATGCCGCCACATGCAGGGCCGTGCGGCCTAGCTCGTCGCGCTCATTGGGCGGTACGCCGTGCTTGAGGAGCGTCATCATGATGCGCCGGTTGCGGGATCGTGTGGCTACATGTAGGAGAGGCGCTGCTGCCGTTTGCTTGGCGGCTGTGGTTGCGGTGACGATTTTGTGGTAGTCGTGGTAGTCGTATGTTGGCTGCGGGTGGTGTTGCTGCTGCTGCTGCTGCAGGTGGTGGTCTGGGATGACTCGGCAAGCTGCCGGGTTTGCGGGGGGATACTGCGGCTGCGGGCTGGTAGGGTTGTCATCTTCGAGGTTGCTCGTGAATGGGGTAGAGATGGTGGGTAGAACGCTGCCGGGGGTAGCAGGTGTCTGGTATCCCGACAGCTGGTGCGGTACGGAGCTGCTTCTGCTTTGTAAGGATGGCGTCCACGCGGTCGGCGAGTCGTCCAACGAGAAGGCGACTGGGAGGATATAGTTGGCATGGTGGGGGTCATGATCTTCAGCTTGGGTTGTTGCTATTACGTCGTCTGGGTGTACGCTCTCGCCTGCAAATTGGTAACTCCCAGCTTCCAATGCCATATACGCTGATTCGTGGTCAAGCGAAGCAAGCGCCAAGGCCGCGACTTCGTCGTAGCAGCTGTCGATCTGAAAGTAACCGTCCATGTCCCCCGTATACTCATGGCTGCCTACCTCGTAGTGAGCCTCGCTGTCGCCTGGATCGCATGGTTGGCCGGATCCGGCGTCTTCTGGATATTCCGTCTGTGGTTTCTTTTTTTGTGCTTTCCTTTCTGGGGACGGCGTTAGCGGATGCTTTCGGCGTGCATGGAGGGGTGTGTATATGTGGGGATGTGTGTGTGGGTGAATGAATGTTTGTGTGTCTGTGTGACTGTGTGTTTCCCCATCTCCCGCATCTGGAGAGCCAGGTGCCGAAGTACTATCAATTCACTTACCCCTGAATTTACGCTGTGCGAGTCTGTTCTGCAGGCGGCGGCGCTCTGAGACTGATGGTTTTGTGTGCGCAATAATCCTAGCGTCTTCAGCTTCGCTGGTGTTCATAGTAGCTTGTCGTCAGGTATGTACACATGTTTGTATGGTTGATCAAACAGGGCAATGCGTATATCCTTATGCAAGCCTCTCGCAACGCATTCGGTCCAGTTCCGTGCTGGCTGCATGTTTACAAATGCTAACAAGCTAGAAGCGGGATCTCGCCATTTTGCGGAATTATCATTGATAAATGCTCCGTTTGATCGAACCCTCCGAACATTCGCAGTACATGCAGCATTGCAGCTTCGCCACTGCGCTGCGCTGCAAGGGGGTGGAGGGAGTGGGGTGGTTTCGAGGCGAGACATGAAGGCAACGTGAACGATGTGGGGTATGTGCATAACATTTCAAGACTCCAAAGTAAACACCACCCTTCTAAACGTTGGCTCTTGAGTGGTTAGTATACGTACGCAAGCGGGCAGAGCGACCTTCCGGCATAGTCAGCGAACAGCGTGCGCAGCGGCCTCAAGCCCGACCCCCGGGGCGAGAACTCTGTCCAAGACTCCGGCACAAATGCAGTAATAAAAGTCGCGGCGTTGCCCAGCGTCAGATCGGGGGCTAAATCCAGCCGAAGGTGCCGAACAACTTGCGGACTGATGGATGTAACCCCTGGCGAACGAGAGTTTCGGAATGCGAGGATATGCGTGGCATTTGTGATGGCATTTGTGTGAAATTCGTTTCCTGTTAAACCTGTTGTATGTACCGTTGTCTGATCACAGGGCGGGCCTGGGTGAGGCAGAGCACCTCCGCGACACTGTTGTCGCCACACCGAACCGCACGTGCCGCGTACTCGCTTCCCCGGGTCCTAACACCGCAGGTAGACATATATTTCAGCCTCCTCACATGGGACGGGCGCTCTCGTGTGAAGATGTCGCAGTCTGCGCCCTGCGGTGGAAAGCTGAAAACTGGGCGAAAACGGGTCAGGGTTCGCCATGGCACGTGTCCGACAAGTGCGTTGCTCACGTTGCAGCACCACGGATGTGTTGAGCCGTGTTGGTGATTTAATTATTTTGCGAGTCGTGACTTTCCAGCGTTGGAGTAGAGGTGGGGATGGAGTCTTGGGTTGGATAAGGAGCTGCAGATGGATCATGGGGGCCAAGAGGGTCGAATGGATCGTAAGCTTACTGGGCTTGACCCAGGCGATATCATCGGTGGTCTCGGGCATGGATTGGACGTGCAGCAACTTGTGATTCCTCATGTAAACAGAGCGGACGATCCTCGAAGTCGAAGGTCTTTGTTGAAGCCCCCGGAATGCGTCTCAGCTTCCCCAGCGCTTGTAGTGGAGACTGCAAGTGTGGAGACATCCAACCAACTTTTGTCCATTGATAAGATGAGTCCATGGTTCATCTAGCCAAACGATAAGGCTACCGACCTTGCCGGCCACCGCAGTGTCGTACTTCGTACTGGAGGCGTCTTTCCCCCCATCCCAAGTAAGCTGCCTGTCTCCGAAGCACGAAAGTCCACATCTTGTCATATTTTTCCGCGTCCGGGAGTCGATCCGATCTCCCCGGGTGTCTTCTGCCCTGACATTCCGCCTGAGCTCTCCGAGATCGATCCACACCAGGGTCCCCGGGCCCATCGACGGGTTCGGGCCGGTGGGAGTTCACGAGCTAATGATCGCCAAGCATCTTGATCGGTGGCATTGCTAATTCTGAGAGACTTTTTTGCTGCCAGCCTGCGCGCATTATTGGCTCGAAAAAGCTGACCCCACTATATGCTTACGGGAGCAACGCTTATCTGCACATTCGGCGCCGATTTCATGCGTCGGATCGATGGATGTGCGGTTAACGTTAATCTTGGGCCGAACCCACATGCCCGCATGGAAGGCGCTCATGGAAAGACTTACCGGGGAAGGGATATGCCCTCTTCGGGAAATATTCCGTGCGGGCGCTAGAATGAGACGGAGAAGAGGTAAAGAAGAGGTAACCTTGGCGGATGCTACATCATGGCCAGCGTCAACAAACCCCTGAGCTCACCCCATACAATGGTACTCACCCCTGCCCTAACCTGATTAACGCTCGATCCCGTCGCCATCGGCGCAAACGCCAATGGCTGACGGAAGCCACGATTCAACCAGAGGTAAATGGTGCCACGCCGCAGCCATGAGTTCGTTCAGGAACCAGCATCGGCATAAGCATTCCCAGAATAGTCCGGAGTTGAAGTGAGGCAACCAGGAAGCCAGGCGCAAAGCCTCGTAGATTGACGTCCTTGTGGTCAGGGGGCAGGTTAGAGAGTGAATGTACATAACCTTGGCCCCGGATCATCCTCCTTCACATGGTCACAATGTAGCCTAGCTCTGGCGTTCCTGCGCTCTCGAGGAAAACATGGCACTGTCTCTTGTTAATATCGGCCTCGTGGTTGTGGGTCTAATCGTGGGTCGGGTGGCCGCCGCTGTCGCCAGTCCTGCTCCCCACCAAAGCACCTGCAGAAACATCCCCGGTGACGCACGCTGGCCCAAGTCCGCGGAATGGGATCGCCTGAATGCCACTGTGGACGGCAGGCTGATCGCCACAGTCCCCATCGCCCAGGTCTGCCACGACCCGACCTTCTCGCCCGAGGAATGTGCCCAGGTTGAGGGGCAATGGAATGCCGCGATTGTCATGTAAGCGCATCAGCCTGTTATCTACCTATACTCTCACAACTTATTGGATGGAAACGGAGGCTGACTCGCAGGCTTGCACGCCCATCTCCACTCTCATAGGACCACACGGCCTGCCGAGATTATGACCCCTTGGTTCCAGAACCAGTCGTGTGTAGCCTTTAGTGACCGCTCCACGCCGTGCGACCTGGGCAACTACGCAAGCTACTCGATCCGCGTCAGTAATGCCGACGACGTGGTCGCGGGCATTGGATTCGCGAGGAAAAATAATATTCGCTTGGTGGTAAAGAACACGGGTCACGAGTAGGATCAACCCCTCCTTTTTTTATCATGTTTTAAGATTATCCCGTTACTGATAGATACTACCTTTTGCAGCTTTTTTGGGAAAAGCACCGGTAAAGGCGCACTCTCCCTCTGGACTCGGAACCTACAACACAAAGAGCTCGTCCAGCACTACAATACGTCGTACTACCGCGGCCCAGCCATCAAGATTGGCGCTGGCGTGAACGGCAAGGAGGCCGCGGAATTTGCAGCCCAGTATGGCTACCGCTTCGTGGTAGGTTCGTGCCCGACCGTTGGTGTCGCAGGCGGTTACACTCAGGGAGGCGGGCATTCATTCTTATCCGGACTTTACGGTCTTGGTGCCGACAACGTGCTCGAGTGGGAGGTGGTGACCCCCACAGGGGAGCGCTTGGTTGCGACACCAACGAAAAATTCGAATCTCTACTGGGCGCTGAGCGGTGGTGGTGGCGGCACCTACGGCGTCGTCATCTCCATGACATCGCGCGTGTTTTCCGACGGCCAGATCGCACTCGCTAGCCTCTCTTTTAACACTACCACCGTCGGCGGGGATGACCCCTTCTGGGCCTCGGTCGGCGTGCTCCTCTCCCAGCTCCAACCTCTCGTGGACGACCACGGCGCCGTCGCCCAGGTGTCCATGACCCACTCCATATTCTCCATCTTCGGCCTCATGGTGCCCGGAGCCGACACACACGACCTCGCTAACCTCCTCGCCCCGCTCCTGACCGCCTTATCGCAGACAAACTCAGCCCTCACCAGCTCGGCCATATCCCTGGTCATAACACACAATTCAACCTACGCTGGTTTGGTCGCCGCCAACGTCGAGGCAGTCACCGAGGCCATCACCCTTCCCCCCGTGATTGGCGGCCGCTTCATCTCCCGCAGCAACTGGGCCAATAACGCTACCGCCATCCTCGCCGCGCTTCGCAGCACCATGGCCAACGAGCGGTTTGTCGTTGCCCTCACCGCGCTAAACACGCAGTCTGCGGCGCGCCTGGCCAAGCCTATTGCGCCCAACGCCGCGCCACCCGCGTTCGCCTCCGTCTACCTCAGCCTGATCGTCACTTCCATGTGGGACTGGCACCGGTCGTGGGCCGACGCCGCGCCGCTCCAAGCCGAATACTTGGAGGTGGTCCGCCCAACTCTCGAGGCGGTCACACCCGGCGCCGGCGCGTACGGCAATGAGGCCAACTGGCAACAACCGAGATGGCAGGACGTGTTTTACGGATCGACCTATGAGCGGCTGAAGGGGATCAAGGCGCGATATGATCCCGAAGGCTTGTTGTATGGGTTGACGGCCGTGGGAAGTGAGAAATGGGCCGCGGATGGGCAGGGGAGGTTGTGTAGGAAATAGTAACCATAGGGAGAAGAGACTTTTTGTTAAAAAAAAAAAGAAACCAAAAAAGAAAAGTGTGGGGGGTATGGTGTTCGATGTTCAGGGAGCGGGGACTACTGAGAGGGACGGCGGAGCCGGTGGGAATTAGGTAAAGATGGGTAGATGATGTGCTATTTTCTCTTGAAGCTTTGTATCATTTACAATGTAATCGGTAATTATTTGACCGCTTGATCCGTCTGTTGTACTTACTCTCCGTCCTTCACAGCCCAAATAACTAGATGCTGAAATGGAGGGTGCCGGGTAGGTATATTCACTGAAGTGCTGATAAACAAATTAATTAGACTGGCAAAAATACTGCTGTGAACCCTTTTACGTCGCGCATAATTATTACAAAACTATTCAGACGTAATAGCTTAAAGGGTTTCCTTAACGAAGGTGGTAATTACGGTCGGCCCAAAGATCGGTGAACCCAAAAGGTCCAGTTACAACAAGTGCACAAGCAGATGGTTCGATGTTTAATATATGAAGAATAACCAGCAGGCACCGACTTCTATTGCTTACTGGAAAGCTTCAGATGCTCTCTGAAATGTGAGGAGAAAGTGCATACAATGACGATACCATTCACTCCATTTTCTTATGAACCTGTTACCGTAGGGCCATACCCTGTCCCACCTGGAGGAAGCACTGTTCTACCATGGGAGCTCGGTGTCATCATCGAGGTTAAAGAACTTGCCAGAAGTCTTCTCGCGTGTGGCTTCCGCAATCTTTTGTTGTGTTAGTGCCATGATAGAAGGGACGGGGAAAGTAGGGTCGCAACGCGACTTACAAAAGGGAGGAGCTTGGACGTCACGGTTTCTAGGGTCACGGGGGCCTTCTCCAAGCCGGCCGCGCGAGCCCCGGCATTGCCCATGTCCGTCTGGACCAGGCTGTGTCGATGTTAGTATTGCGGGTAATGTCCGGTATTTCGTAAGACAAATTGAGCTTACCCAGGATGGACCGAGAAGGCGATGAGGTTCTTATCCGCGCCTTGAGCAGCGCTGTAGGGGAATGAGTTAGCCACTGTCCCTGGATAAGAAATGGGCATCACGGTACTACTTACACGGTAATCCAGTTCAGTGCCGCCTTAGCCACACCATACGAAATCAACCCAGACACGCCATACAGCTCGATGTTGGTGATGGATCCGACGGCTGATGACATTGTTATCCACTTGGGTGCGCTGGACTTGTCGAGTAGGGGCTTGAGGGCCTGGTACAGAGCGAGGGGCGCAAGAGCATTAACACGGAAGGACTCCTCGACGTCCTTGAGCGCAACTGAGTCGGCGCCCGCAAACGGCGGCGAGTAGCCGGCGTTGGCAATTGCGATGTCGACGTGGCCAATGCCGGCGGCCTGGATCTCCTCGACCGCTTGCTTCGGGTCCGTCTGGGAAGACGATTCGATGCTCACCAGGATGAGCTTAGAGCCGCTGGCGGCCGGAGAGTTCTGGAGCTCCTGGTATTTGGCATCGGCCTTGTTGCGGACACTGCCGATAACGGTGGTGTTTGGCTGGGCAAGGTAGGCCTCGACGAGGGCCCGACCAATACCCCTGCCAACACCAGTAATGAAGACGATAGTCATGGTGTGTGATATGTTGCGGTGTAATTAATTAGCTTATCTTTTGTTGAGTTTGAGTGGGTGAGTATCGGAGTATTGTTCAGCTCTTGAACGGCAATGGCAATCAATGTCAGAGCTGGAGGTAAGAGTCAAATCTAACTCCGCCACGAGATTGGCAGCCAGGCATGGGGTTTTGGCTAAAAAAAAAGGTGTTGTTAATAGTCGTCGCTTTTCGCGCCCTCCCTTGCGTTCTGAGGCTCCCGATCGATTTCTAAGCAGAGTCACAGAGAGTCGCAAACAAGGTCGCAGCGCAATTTGCCGATGCGTGATATACAGTACGCACACTCGGTTCGTTTGCGGTTCCGGTCACCCATAACCAGACCAACATCCAACAGTTTGCACTGTTTTTTAAGCGCCTCCGTCTGATGAACCCGTTTTGATTCCGCACCCCGCCCCTGTTGGTCATATCCATTTGAGGGCTTGAGACGGGACATGCAATGCAAGTAAGCATGCATATGCATGTGCCATGACGTTGCACCGATAACGTTACACACCCATCGATGCGATAAATTTTGTTTTGTTTACGCCTGTGGAGCATCGCAGTCCTTTCCTGTTCGCTGCTTAGAGAAGTACTTTGTCAAGCATCAGCCACGAAAGCTGACGTACTTGTATTATGTGCATCTACTTGGATTATATGCAGGTCCAGGAAACGCAACTCCACGACTCCAATGTCATCTTGGTGTTCAAGTCAGGCCTTGTCGACTCGTACTCGGATCTAGAGGAGCAATGCGGGCCTTTAACATGGCACAACGCCAGAACAAGGCCCAGCGTTGCCCGGAAGAGAAGCTTGCGCGCGACCTCTCAACGCTGCAAAACACCCAACGCCTGTCACTGTCACCATGGGCGCCTTGCTGGAACATGTGCGCGCGGCGCCCGACATCATTGCCAACCTCAACACTTTTCAGATCACCGGCATCCTTGGCTTGGGTTATCTCTTGTACGGTGTGTGCCTGGCCATCTACCGGCTGTACTTTAGCCCACTTGCAAGATTCCCAGGCCCCAAGCTTGCCGCCGTGACGCATTGGTATGAAGTTTGGTATGATCTCTTTTCTAAGGGCGGCGGTGGTCAGTTTACGTGGAAGGTGAAGGAAATGCACGAGAAGTACGGCCCCATCGTCCGAGTCAACCCCGATGAAGTGCACATTGACGATCCGGATTTCTGGAACGAGGTCTATGGCGCCAGCACACCGTCTAAGCCCATGGACAAGTCCGGCAAGTTCAAGTACCGTTTCGGCATCCCCGACGCCACATTCAGCACCACGGAAGCCGAACTGCACCGCGCCCGCCGGGCCGCCCTAGCGCCCTTCTTTTCGATGCAGCGCATCCGAAACCTGAATCCCAAGATCTCGGAAACCATCGAGCGCATCTCATCCCGTCTCTCGGTCGAGTACGCTGGAACGGGCCGGGTCTTGAACGTCTCGGACATGTGGTCGAGCATGACAATCGATGTGACATCGGATCTGGCCTTCAGCCGCCCAGTGAACTGTTCCGCGGCGCCTGATTTCAAGTCCCCCCTTTCTGTCGGAATGCAAAACATCATCTGGGCGGGCCATTGGAATGCGCACTTCAAGATACTCGTCGACGTGATGGGTTGGATCCCGGACTGGATCTTGGGCACAATCATCCCACCCTTCAAGCCAATTCTCGAATTCCGCGAGGTATCTTTGTCCATCCTAACCGCGGGAGGAAATCCTTAGCCATGGAACAGACAGGCTAACCAGCGCCTCCCAGACAACCCGTCAGCAAATTAGGGACATTCTGGCCGGTCGGAACCAAAAGAGTATCGACTCGCAGGATATCACCATCTTCCACGATATCCTCGCGTCCAACCTGCCCCCTCAAGAGCTGACTCTCAAGCGGTTGACCGATGAGGCGGTCAGCCTGAACGGCGCAGGCATGGAGACGACTAAGTGGACGTTGACGGTGGCCACGTTCCACATACTTGACCGCCCAGAGGTTCAAGCACGCCTCAAGGCCGAGCTGGCCGAGGCCATGCCCGATCCGGGTCAGATCCTGCCGTGGGTTGAGCTGGAGAAGCTGCCATATCTGATGGGCGTCGTCCAGGAGAGTGCGTACCAAAACATATCCACCACCATAGTTACCCCATTGATTCTCTGACATTGTTTGAACTTCCCAGGTCTCCGTGTCTCTTATGGCCAAGTCCAGCGCATCCCGCGTGTCAACCGCCTTCACGCCTGGAAGTTCAAGGATTGGGTGATCCCCCCCGGCATCCCCGTTGGCATGGATGCGTACCACATGCACACCAACCCAGAAGTCTTCCCGGACCCGTTGGCCTTCAAGCCCGAGCGGTGGCTCAACGACGCTCGCGGCCCCGGCGGCCGCCACCCACTGACCAACTACCTGGTTCCATTTGGCCGTGGGTCCCGCGTTTGCCTCGGTATGCCGCTGGCCTACATGGAATTGTACGTCGCGATCGCCACCATCTTTCGCCGGCATGACCTTGAATTGTTCGACACAACGCGGAGTGATGCGGATTTTGTCTTAGATATTGTGATGCCCATGCCGAAGAGGGACAGCAAGGGAGTGAGGGTTATTGTTAAGCGGTGATTCTGACCATGATGGGACAAGATTTGTAGGTACCTCGAGGTTTTGGGAGCAGGCCGAGGGCGGATCGAACTGTGGCTGAGGATGTGCTAGTACAACATCAATGTAATAGCTGGACCCGTATATAACTACGAGAGTATAGTTTGTCCATGAAGGGTTGTGACTCGATAAATATATTAGTATGTCTGAATGATTTAGTACAATTTCTTGCGAGACGCGGCGGTTGCCATGACGCCGTAGTGACAATGGACGACCAGAGATTGCTAGCATTAATTAAATTAATTAATTAAGCGCTGCTCCTGTTAATGGACTGATTCAATGAGTGATTCGGTTTATTAAGTTCGTTGACGCACCACAGCCCCGGGCTGCTCATATACATATCCACCGACAGTCAGTGATCCAGGGAACCGGTGAGAATTGGCAAACTGCAATTTCTGGTTTCACTAGCAATGGGACCGAAAATCTACAGAACTCTTCCCTCGAGGACGATTGGGCCGGGATTGGGAGACTTCGGGTCAAACGACCCCCCACCCAGGGATTAATAACGACGCACCATCTACCAGGAAGAGGGGAAACGATCATTTGCAGCCCGATGGAAAATACACAGAGCAAAAAGCTACAGGCCGTCAGCTAACACTACCCAAGCCATCTTTGCAATGTTGAGAGGTGTTGTTTGTCGGGGACCTCCCCTCCCATCCAAAAAGAAGACTAATTATTGGTCGTTCATTACATGGTAACTCAACCTTCGGGAAGTTGACAACAGTATCTCACACACCTGGTTTAAAGAAACTTTTCCGCAGCTTTGACGGTAGTCTTGTGAGTCTTCCCATTCTGGCGCAAGAAGTAAATGGCCAAGGCAGTTATGACGACCGTCAGAGCCCACCGATCCCCGAGTTCTCCCGTCTGCCCAGCCCCCTTCAGTTCAAGGGTAAATAGATGCGTCAAAGAAAATAGGCGAGTAAATCTGATCTGTAGAGCCTATACCAGCTCCCTTTTTTTGCCCCGGTGGTCTCTTCCTTGTCTTTCAATTTCCTCCACTCAAATTCCTCCCCATGTAGTTTCTTGTCTCTAGTCTCAATGGTAAAGTGGAAGATAACCCCATACTCCTATATAGATATAGCGCTCAGGACCTCTTGGACTTTATCGCAGGGGTTTTTGTCCCAGTCTAGGGGTGGCAGTAAAATGGAAGTCCTCGGGTCGAAGAGAGATACCAGCACAGGCAGTCGCATGACCTCGCCGGTGGCAGCAAGGATTGGGTCATTGAGGCTGGTTCCGTTACACAGGTAAAACCCGCGCCCGAAATGGAGCGGTCCACGCAGGGTGAAGCCAAAATGCACCTCAACAGGGTTAGGGTTAGGGTTAGGGTTAGGGTTAGGGTTAGGGTTAGGGTTAGG